ATATAAAGAAATAAATATATGTATGTTTAATAGAAATGAATCTTTAGAACAAACAGCACAAATGAAACCATAATTGCATGTTTTCACACGAGAACCGATCTCAGTTACCCCCTCCCCCTTCATTTTTCTACTCGCTCATTTAACATGCAGCGAGGGTTGTCAGCACAAAAGGGCTGCTCACAAAAAATGATCTTGACGAAAAGTTTTTCGCTTGCTTAGGCAAGCGGCGCACGCTGTTTTTTTTTTGTTGGGCACACGCTGAGAGCAGAAAGTAACAGCAGCAGGAGCAGCAGCCAAGATCAGAAATGTTCGATCTGCATTCAAAACAATGCTTGCACAATGCACACAATAATAACTAACAATAAAGAGAAGAAACAGAATTTCGGCGCATTCTCAAGGCAAGTTCCTCAATACAAATGTAAAAATGTGTATGTGTGAGTGTATGTGTGTAATTTGGCATATACACATGAACGTATACATAAAGCAATGCATACGCTAATTGAACGAAAGCCCATAATTATGGATATTCTAATAGCGCTTACTCATATTGGTTTTGTTCTATTTATACTTATATATATATATATACATATGTTTTATATGTTGTATTTGTGTCTGTTCAATTAAAATAAACTTGCATTGGTATATAAATTTGCATAAGACTCCGTTTTTGGTTATTGTCAAAACCACAAAACCAAAATCGCACCCACAAGCGTAAAACAACAACAACAACAAAAACAACACCAGCAGCAAGCAAAAAGGGCAAATTCAAGCAGACACAAACGCTCCCAGTGAGCGAGAGTGGGAGAGCGAAGTATGCACACAGAATGTATACATTTGGGTCACACATCACAAGCAAACTCTGTGGTCAGGATTCGGGTAAGCCGCAATTGCACATCGATACAAGTGCAAAGCAGTATGTGTGGGTATGAGTATGTGTGAGAGTGTGTGTGTAGGTAAAGGTATGTGCACGCTTGAGCATGTGTGTGTGTGTATTTTCGTATGTAAATATGCACACATACATATGCATGTAGAAAAGGTCTATACAACTGAGCAGCATTTGGTTTTATGCTGCTTGCTATGATATTGAGCAAAGACATTACATATTTTAATAATTACAGGGTAACTCCTAGCCAAGCACTCCACTCCCCCTCCCTCCTTCATAGCGCGTTGTTGTTTAATTACCAAACTCTACCAACAATATAATACTTGCTTAGTTGGTTTGGTTGTGGACTCTGCTGGACTTCGTTAAGTGAGTACATTTTACTAATTTATCGAAAGTGAACGACATTCTGCGCACAAATTTCGCACTTATCGAAACTGAGCAAAATTTTACTCACTTTACGAAAAATACCGATCAATTAGTACAAAAAAAAAAAAAGAAACAAAAAAAAATATATTTTTTAACTGGCCAATTTTAAAATTAAGCTGGATTGCTTACTGCAATGCAATTTGCTAAATTTGCTATAATTCATACAATATACAAAATAAAAATTTTAATTAAAATTTATGAGAAGAAGTTGAACAAAAAATTTCTGATCACGGAAAGAAAAGCGCCAATCAAGTTTTTTTTATAGGAAGTAATTGTTGTTAGTTGTAGCAAATCAAGTAACTCCTAAGGGACAAAAACACGGAGAGACGCTGAAAACCAGTTGGAAAATCGCAACAAAATGATGAATGGGTATCAAAAACTGAGCAATTGATGCTCGACGCGACTCGTTAGTTGTCAACATTTTTGCACTCCTTCCCTTTTGAGACCAACTGTTTTTGCGTTTGCTTTGTGGCCACTTTAAAGTTGAGGGCCTTTGGAGATAATCGAAAGCTTTCTTTGATAATAGTAAAAGGTGTGCTCTACTAGCAAATGCACATTCCAATTGGTTCACTTACTTGCTAATATAAATGGCCTTAGCATATTTACATATTAAGTGTACTAATTCTGGTTCAATTACTCGCTAAACGAAAGTCTATAAACTTTTGCAGTTCTAATCGATTATGGGCAATTGTGTAATTGTGTAAAATTTATTTATTAATTTTATTAGCAGAATTAAAAATACATTATCTACTATTATTTAATTATTTTTACCACTTACCTTAATTTTGTTAGATCATTTATTTAATACATTATTATTTATTATATTTAAAATACAATTTTATTATTTATTTCTACTATTATTAAATTATTTAACTCTTGTCTCTAATTTTATCAGGGTATTTTAAATTCGCGCCTGACGCAAAATGCCATCCAACTTAGTTCATGTCAAACAAACAGCAATCAGAACAAGAATGCTTTAGAAAAGTCAACAATAGTCGATTCGAAAATACCCTGTACAAAGATGTATATCTATGTGTATTTATTTAAATTTTTGTTAAATTAAATATAGATACAAATAATATAAACATCTAAAATATAATAATATATATATATAATATATAAACTAATAATAAGCATTAATTAAAAGCTGTTTTAATTTTTACCCAGGGTATATATTTAAAAAAATCAGGTCCGCAGCACGGGTGCAATCAGCAAAAGCGTCAATTGCAGCTGTTTATTTTAGCAGCAGATAAGAGTTTTTTTTCGCTGCTGCAGTTGACAAAAAGGTGACGGATTCAAACAATGAAAGAAATTGCGAAGAGCGCAGAGTGAGAGAGCGCGTGAGTGAGAGAGCGAAGAGTGTAGAACGATATAAAATGCTTGCGCCCACCCACACACACACACATACATACATATAAATGGGACCTGCTGCCCTAAGCGAACGTCGCAGCGAACACTCATCCTCAACGGCGGAGCAGCAGAGGCTGCTGCTTCTTCTTCTTCTGCTTCTTCTTCGTGCTTATGTATGTGTGTGTGGTTGTATGGATGGTGGGATTCGGATCTGTCAGTTAGTTGTTATATGGCACGCTCAGGCTCCGTTGTATATCGCTGCCCATTCTGCTTATCCCGATTGCTGTCAGCTTCCAGCTGCGCTGTTTTCGTTTTCGTCTTGTGTGATATTCGCCAGTTCGAAAAAAGCTCGAAAGAAGCGCGTTGCAATTTTCGAAAATCGAAAGACAAGTGAAATTTATAATTGAGACAAATGTGCGAATTACACACACACATATACATAGAGAGAGAGAGAGTATGTGTATGTGTATATCTAGTCTTTATATTTATACACACGCACACAGACACATTGTCAAATGTTCAAAATAGAATTTTACGTACACACAAATTAAAACAAAAATACACACATTCATACATATATATATATATTTTGCACGTCTTTAAATATGTTTGTTATCTCGATACGTAATAAATTGTATATGCATAGATTTAAGAATGTTTGTGCGAATATAAGTGTGTGTGTGTCTGTTATACGTAAGTTTATTTACTTATGCATGTGTGTGCGCTGTTATACACATGTTTGTTTACATATATATGCTAATGAACATGTATTTGTATGCAAATATGTGTGAAAGGAAATAACTGCACTTTCCAGCACTGAACTGAAGTTCAAGAGCACAAAAATTGATTATGATGTTTATAAATGGATTTAATTGAATACAATAGAGTGTGATCAACATCATCATCATCATTATCTTCTGAATATAAAACGCATACACACATACACATGCATGCACATATTCTTTTATTCGACTTATGCATATGTGTGTGTGTATGTGTACATTGAAGCATTGCAATTTCAGAGAATAAACAAGCGCGAAAAAAACTACAACAATGAATGCGACTGCTGCTGACGTCGCTGTTGCTGCGCTGCTATTGCTAACAGAGAAAGAACAGCAACAACAACAGTGCCCAAAGTGAGAGTGAATATCTACACACACACATACATCTGTATGTCTGTATGTCTGTTATCACACAGAATTTATTAAATTCGGCATTAAATAAATAAAAAGTCGTCGTCGTCCGCCGGCTTCAACTTGAGCAAAAAATGCATTGTACTTGAAATAAAGTCTAAATATATATATGGATATATATGTATTTATATATTATGCAAAGTGAACAATAACATTAAATATAACAGAATATGCTGAGATTGAAACTGTTAAAGTGATTGTGGCTGCTGATTGCTGATTGGTCTTACTTGGATAAGAAAATCTCTGGTGAGTGCACAAACACACATACACGTACACATACATATTTACAGTAATGTTAATGTGTTATGTATGTCCAGCTGTGGACACTTAAATAGCACAAGTGAAATATTAGTTTCTAATTATTAATTAGTTTTCATTAATTAAATCATAATTGAAATAATAAAAATAAAAAACATAATAAAATAACGATTAAAATATTAAAATAATTATTAGTTTTAATTTAATTATTTCAATAGTAGACAATGAATAATAATTAAAATCAGAATAAAAAAATTATTAATTATTATACATTAGCTAAATAATAAATCATAATTAAAATAGTAAATATAAAAAAATAAAAAATACTTTCATTAATTAAATAATTATCTTAAATAAATTAATAAGCAACGCTACTTTTATATATTTACTTACTATTTACTTATTTAACTTAATACACATATATTAAAATAGACTCGCCAACTAAATACAATTGCGGTCATAATAATAGCATCACTCGCACAAGAAATATTTATAAGAGCTTAAGCAACTTATGAATACGTTTTCAATTTATTTATATATTATTTTATATTTTAATTTAATAGTAATATTATCATAATATTATTTGTTCATTTAGATTATATATTATTTATACATACACCATAATAAAAATTGTCCTAGAGTAGTGCTATTATTTCACCTGCAACTGTAGCACATCTTGAAAAAAGCCTAAATTTCGCAATAAAAAAAAAGCTAATGCTGGAATACGTTTCGAACATGGCCTATGTCAAATTCTGGCGAGGGTTGATCGAACTATTCTCGAGGGTCCATTTGCAAATCTGATTGGAAAATTATAAATAAATTAAATCGATTTTTATAATAAATTAAAAATTAAATTAAAAAAGCGCTCATATCTAATCTTATTCATTTCAGCAATAACAAACACAATACAAATTCAAAAAAATATGTCTGCCAAATTATTGAGCAAAAGACCAGAACAAAACAAGCGATTACCTTCGAAATCGAAAAGCTGCACAAAATTTGTCGATCAGTTCTACATACAAATGGACGACGATACAGCACATCCTGCTAAGACTTCGACATCGAATTCGAATAGCGAGCGCTGCTGCTGCCGACGTCCGCAGCAACGACAACATCTGCATAACAGTAGCTGGCGCCTGCGTATGTTAGTTGTTCGCTATGCGACCATAATTCTGATGTCAATGCTTTTGCTGTTAACTACGGCACAAGATGTAAACAATCATCAGGCGACGCCGACTGCAACGAAAGTGGGTGGTGTGGAGAGAGGCGCAAGCAATGCTTTTAGCACGCTTTCATTAAGCGAAGCTGACAATTATAATGTGACACACACACTTGCAAACCTGACGAACGAGCAGAGCGAGCAAAGCGAGCAAAGCGAGCTTAACGAACCGAACGAGCAGCGAGAGCTTAACGAACCGAGCGAGCTGCGAGAATCGCAGGTGTCGAATCGACGCATCGTCAGTAGCAAAGCAGGACTCGAGCTGTCAGCAGCAAATTTTGCTCTGCCAGCGGTTAGTATGAGTCGCAACAGTTTAATTAGCGGTGACAGTGTTCTACAACGTCAACTGCGCGAGAAGGCCAAGCAGGACAGTCTCGAATCGATAAAAATTCACATTTTAATGCGTTTGAATTTGAAGCGTCTGCCGAACATAACCAAACCCATCGCAGTGCCACAGAATATCTTGGAGAATTTCTATAAAACCTACAATGCATCCATTTTAAGCACAACAAAAAAAAGGACAATTGATCAAACGTTACCCAACACTGAAAATCCAACAGCATCGCTTGAAAATTCATCGTCTGAAATGCAGGCTGACGATACGAATGCTTTCAAGGATTATTTACCATTTATTCAAAATTTTAATTTCGATGAGCATCGAAAATTCGACAGTGATTATACATTGAATGGAGCTGTGGATGCTTATGGAGATAATGGCGAACAGGAGAGCATTCTTTCGCACATCAGCAGCATATATGTGTTTCCAGAACGTAAGTAAAATGCACATAAATTAATATAAATATATATTTTTATAGAAGAAGCTTGCACACCCTCCATGCAGTCTGTTTGCTTTTATATCGATGCGTGTATATTTAATTGGATTGTATCATTTGCTTATTGCTACGGAACTGCTTTGTAAAAAGCGAGTCTTAAACATTGGCAATCTGACTGCAGGCTGCTTGCTTTATTTATGTGCATTGTTTCAAATTCTCGATGCTATGTAACTACTTTGCCAACTTGGCTGAAAGCATATCTTAAACTTCGGTTTTTTATTGCAAGTTGCTTGCTCTGATAACTATTAACTTTTGATTAATGTATCGAGCGACATCATTTGCTCACTGATATATAACTACTACTTTAACCCTTTTTCGCCTCTCAGTAGGAACAACTGCTAATTACTTTTATTGTTCCTTAATTTGTATTTAGAACACAAGGAGCCACACCTGCGCCATAATCGCAAATCGGATGTGCTACGCTTTAAAATCGATACAGGCTACTCAGATATCTCATATGTGACGCTCCATTTATATTTGCGTGGTTTCGATTGGATTCGCAGCCATCAACCCAAAATCCTTGAAGAGTTTTCCGATGCCAAACAGAATCAGGATATTATAGTCGCATTACATCGGCCGATTCGGCGCACGAATAGCAGTAATTATACGCACAAGGCGAAAATGTTTGAATTTCGCCACAAAATACCCTCTGGTCAGGGACAATGGGTTAATGTCGATTTGAAGCCGCTTTTTGGTGCCGTCGGGCAAATGACGGCCACAAATCAAACACAGGAACTACTCATCAAAGGCGTCGATCCTTGGATGCGACCCTTGATTGTGACAATGGACAACGATGCAAGCAGTAAAAATCCACTGGTAAAATATATAAATTTAAATACTTATCCATAATCGAGTAAATACAAACAAATACTTATCGATAAATATATCTCTCACACACAGACCGTTCACATTGAAATCGGCACGAAGAAGAAGAACCGACGGAAACGCAGCGTTTTCATGGACTGCACGGAAAGTGATCACGATATGCGCTGTTGCCGTTATCCGCTCAAGGTGAATTTCACCAGTTTCGGTTGGCATTTTGTGGTGGCGCCAACATCATTCGATGCCTACTTTTGCAGCGGTGATTGTCGTGTGGGTTATTTGGAACAATATCCGCATACGCACATAACGGCACTGACAACGTCGGCGACGCCATGTTGTTCACCAACCAAAATGAGTTCCTTAAGCTTATTATATTTCGATGATAATCACAATCTAGTGCTGAGTGTTATACCAAATATGTCCGTTGAGGGTTGCAGCTGTTCCTAAAAAATTCATTTTCAAATTATGCATTTACCAACACACCAAACACCCGCATATATATATATATATATATATATACTTAGGTACATTCATACATATGCATAGTTATGTACATACATACACACACATACATATACATAAATACGTTAGAAATGTACCTGTAATATGTTTGTTTACATCGCATCTAGTTGTCGCTAATTAATTAATTTTATTTGCTTGTTTTTTATTTTTGGCATTTCTTTTTTGACAAGTAAAATTTAAATGTAAATAACTGCGTAAAGGTTCAATTTTAAGGGTCTCAATTTGTAAATAACCTAATAAGTGTGTCCAGTTTTTTTATTTTGTCATTTTTTTTAATTTTTTATGGCAATGAATAATAATTGCCACAATTCAATATTTAGAGTGACCAAATATATTTACTGGAAGAAGCTTTTACTATTACTGGAATGACTGTTTTTACTGGTATAAGAGCAGCATATATTATTACTGGAGTGACCATATGTTTTTATTGGCATTAAACGAGCACATACCCGAGTGACCATATATTTGTACATAAATATTTATTTAAATGTACATTTTCGTTTATAGTATTTTTATTGGTTAATCAATATTAATTTTGCCGTTTTACACGAAACGTTACACTGGTCACACAGTCTCGGCGAATTCAGCGATGTCTGTATTTCTATTGTGTGCGTGTAAATTTCTGGCAACGAACTGAAAAAACGGGGCCATCTAATATGTAATTTGTTATACAATATGTGCTCGAATAACTGTGTTGATGTTGTTGAATTGGACTATGTTGTGCTAAAGGTGCGTTAAGCGACGACTGAAATACCCCTCCTTTTCCCCATCACCTTAAACAGTATTCGTTTTGTATCTGTGTGTGTGCATTGGTGTGGTGTATGTGAATGTGTGTATGTTCATGTAGGCATGCATGTACACAGTTTTCGCCTTATTTTTTGTTATTTATTTGTGATTAATTGCAGCTAAATGGCAGCGATATTACATCATTGTCCAATTATGAAGCGGTTCAAATGTTCCTTCAAGCAAAAGAAAATCTTGTTGTTGAATTATGTCGCAAGCAAAACAAAGAAAGAAATTCGATTAGTGCTGATGACGTCGATGCGGCCAAAGATGACCAGCATGCGCAAATGTCAACAACAAAGGTGACCAGCAATACGAATGCGATACTATCACTGCCAGCAGCAGCACGGAATCAAATCATTTTAAGTCTGCGCTCATTCAATGCTGGGCCTTCGTCGGCAACAAAGGAGACGCAGACGATTGAGGATTTTGTCGATTTGAAAAAGAATCGCGCGCGTTCCGATCACAACAATAAACTAGCTCAAACGATAGCCGATCATTTTATCGAGCGCGAACATCATCTGTTCGAACAATGCCTGGAGCCGGAAATCGATATTGAGGTGAGTTTTAGTCTCTTTCGCTCTTTCTCACTCAAGTTTGTTTACTTTCTTTTGCAGGAAGTGACGCTGGTGAAAAGCGAATCGGCAAGTGATCCAATTGGATTGAGTGTTTGTTGCAACAATGGATTCTTGGCCATCAAGAACAGCGTTGAATGTATTAAGCCTGTGATATACAAAGAGAAAACAACTGATGGCGCTGCGGAAGTAGATGCGGAAGCGGATGTAGATGTGTGTGAGGATGTGTTCATTAGTGATATTAAGCCGGAGAGCATTGCGTATAGAGATGGTCGCCTGCGGCGTGGCGATCAAATACTACGCATCAATGGCATAGATACGAAAAGTCGAAAGCAAGCCGAAACGCAAATTGCCGAAAATAATATTGCAATCACGTTGCTGGTCAGTCGACTTTTATATCCGGTGAGTTAACGAGTAAAATAAAAATAATGGATCAGTTGAAAGAAGTCGCTCATTTTGAGCGTTTATTCATTCATTTAGTTCGTTCACTCGCTCACTTAGTTCATTCAAGTTCGCTGATCGAACGCACTTAACGTTCATTAGGTTAAGTAAGCAGTAATTTCACCTAAGTGCAGTTAGCCGAGCAGCTCAAGCGAACTGATTCAAAGGACAATTCGATTTTCCTGAATTTAATTTATGTTATATATATTAAGCAATTAATTTATTTTCCAGGATGACGATGACGATGATGAGATTGTGGACGAGGACGAGGATGATGATGACGTTGACGTTGACGTTGATGACGATGAAGACGATGAAGAAGAAGATATGGATAGTAATTTTGAATATGCGAATAGTTTCCTTACCGATGACTACACAAATGTTGTCGATAAATTAGACAAAGTGCTGCTAACACAACGCCAGTCAATCAAACCGGTGATCGAACTAATAACCGGAACCAGTTCAACGTCCAAAACTAACAAGAAAGCAAATGCCGAAATATCGATGAAGAAAGTTCCAACCAGCGATAAGACAAAGGCGCGCAATGCAAATCAAACAATGTTGGTTAAAAGCCAACCGCCGCCGCCAGCGGCATTGGTGCAAAGGGCTCCAAAAGCGAAACTATATGATTACGATGAGAGCGAACATATTTACGAAACGATACCCGAAGATGAAACGGAAACGGAAACAGAACCACTCTACTGTTCTCCATATCAAAGTTCCAATTATATGACAGCCCTGGGGTCATGCTCTGCCGAAACGGATATTCTGGAGATGCAACAGCAAACACAGCGTGTGGCACAATGGCTGGGTATTAAATCGCAGCCACGCAACGTACACACTTTGGCAAGTCGCTCGAGTTTCTCCACTAATAATAATAAACAGCAAAAGAATCGCATTTCCTCATCGCATCGAGTTTACACGTTGCGCAGCGGAATCACAACAAATACGAGTGGTTCCAGCAGCAGTGGAGCAGCCACAAATATCGAACCGGAAATGATCATCAGCAATCATCAACAGCAACAGCAGCAGCTACAGCAACATCAGCTGTTGCATCACAATCAGCTATTGCATCAACACGAGGAACTGGAGAATTCATCAAGTGCCTATAATACGGGTGGTTCCAATAACAGCGCCTCGCCTCGCCAGCAACAACAGCAACAAAATGGCGCCAATAATATCGAACTAGATTCAGTTCCAATAGTTGCAGGCCAACAACAGCCTGCCACTGATAATAATCTCATCACAAGTCCAATTGGCAACATTTTAATGTTGCCTTTTGGCAACAAAACAACGCCTCGCTTACAACAAAATACGCCCAGTGGTATATTATATTATAAATAATATATATTTGACTTTATTCAACTTATTTGTCTCCTCAATTGCAGATGCTGCCATTTTGAGTAAAGTCTGTGGAGATGACTCGCTTCCGTTTCCGCTCAAGCAGGACTCGAAACTAATGCGAGCCAAAGCAATAACAACAGGAGCAACAGCAGCAACGGCAGCCGGAACAACAACTGCAACAGCAGCAGCAGCAGCAGATGAGCAACTGGCTCAATGTCCACAATTTAATGCTCCCAATTTGAGTCGCTATCATTTTGTGAGCAGTCAGGAGGTAATTGAAAATTGTGCAAATCTCAACGATTCCTTGCTACTTAACGACAACCGATCGAATCATTTGCTTGCTAACGCTGTTAAGCTGAGTACTATGGAATCGCATCTTAATTTTGAAGTTTATTGTTGTTACTATTAATGGGTAAATAAGTTGGGTTTCCGTTTGCAGGCTTGTAGAGTATTTAATTAATTAATTTGTATTAATTCGTATCCTGCATTTTATTTTTATTATTTTAACGATGACTGTCCGCACTTTCTGGCAACGCCAAATGATCCAACGTAGTGCTGCCTGTTACCTTTTTTACAGGCACAACTGATAAAAATACATTTTATTTTTATTATTCATTTTAAATTCGCCCAGGTTGCAAATAAAACTGCCACAGTGCCACTGAAGTCAAGTTCGATCCTAGTCACCACAGAGAATGTTACCGAAGAGATACCGATGGTGTGGAAGGTAAAACGACGACCAGATGGCACCCGTTATATTGTGAAGCGACCAGTGCGCAATAACGTAAGCGTTGGCATACGTAAGAGTATACGTAACAGCGAGTTGACCACAACAGAAGATGACACAATATCAGAGGTGAAGATCGGACGCTATTGGACGAAAGAGGAACGTAAGCGACACATAGAAAGAGCACGTGAAAGACGTCATCATCAGCAGCAACAGCTGCTGCAGCAACAGCAGCAACAACAGCATCAGCAGCAATAACTACTGTGTAATTAGCTTTACAGCCCTTTCAAATCCACTGTAGAATGAATTTACTTTATATGTTATTAATATATATGCAATGGCTATCGCCATAAATACGTATCCAAAAAGAAAATGAAAAGAAAAAATGCCGGGTTTCACAAGAAAAAGTATTACTCGTATAAATATAAAAATAGATTATCAAATGGAAACCAAATATGCAATTGTTTTTAAGCAGGATCTTTGGCTTTAAAAAAGTCTTAAAATAGTGTGGCAACTCTGCAAGTATTATTTTGTAATTCAAACAAGAACGAACATTTCCTCCTACTTTCGCATTAACCTTAGGTACACATAAAATACATTTGACATACATAGCTCGATTATCACTAATGTTAAGTGTGTTGTCTACAAATCTAGTTTCGAATAAATATATATTACATTTTGCCAGTGTTGCAGTCATTTGAAACGTGTGCCTTTATTTTATTTTAGTAGTATTTGGAATTAGTAATAATAAATTACTATTTAAATACTGATTTCCGAGTTAGAAAAAGCATCAAAAATAATATTCAATAAGAGCGATAAGAGGTCTACGTAGCCAACAGATTTAAACAAAAGATTGAGATACACTACGTTAAATTTGCAAATATCGGCCTATGTAGATTGAAAATTTATCTTACGTTAAACTTACTTAAATTTATACAACAGACTATGAAATCCTACAGATTTCAACTTGAGGCTATGCATGCTTTTCATTATTTAATTAATTATCAATTGAATTTTATTTATAAAAACCAAAACGATTTGCGTAACGTAGCTGCGCAACTAGCGCTACGTAACGCAATTACTCAAATTGGCTAACCGTTTGGCCTTAATATAAACTCAACAGCAGCTGCTAAACAGTTGTTAACATGGCTGTTGTGTGTGCGCTGCTAGCGTCCTGTTAGGTGTGTCTGTTTCACCAACATTCGATACATGTTAAATGTGTATGCTAATTTGTGAAGCCGGCAAAAAAAATTAATTCCGCAGCCGGCAAAAATATACAAAAAATATTAAAAATTAAAACAATATTAAGACGGAAATAGTAAGCAATCTACTGCGTGTGTTGTGTGGGGTGTTGTCGAAATTGTTTGTGCATTTTACATATGTACATGCGTGTGTGTGTGTGTGTGTATAGATATCCTATGCTCTACAAATGACGAGGCGTGGCTGGCGATCCTGACGCAAGCAACTGTATAGATATGCACAGCTTATGTGTGTGTGTCACTGTGTAAATTGGTTTTGTGTGTGTGTCTGTTTTTAACTGCGAACTAAAATTAATGCTGAAGCATTCAAAGCTGAATATTTTTTTTAGCAAAAAGCAGCCACACATACATACATATACATATGTGCATACACATTTAAGAAAGGATATGTTGTAGATGGTGAGGGAGCGGGTATAAAAATGAGAGATAGAGAAAAAGAGAGAGCGAGAAGTGGCAGGGTGAGTGACACAAGCCTTGTTAGGGGTTGTTCAACGTGAAGAAGAAGCAGAGAACGCAGAAATATATATTATATATGTGTATACGGAAGCAACGCGGCTAAAACGGGAATGGCCAAAAAATGCTCAAAAATGATTTACACATACGTCAAAAAAAATAAAATGCCAAATAATAGAATAAATAAAGTGAACGGTCTACAAAAACAGGTAGCTTTGTAAAGTAAGCACCATTTATTTTTTTCCTTTTATGTTATTGTTTAGTCTGCCTGTGTGTGTGTATGTGTTTATCTATGTGCATGCCTATACATGTAATCGCACGCAGATGCGTGTGTGTGAGTATGTATACCAAATGCATTTCTGTATTTTTGTCTCTTGCAGAAAAAAGAAGCAGAAGAGGAATCCAAAGGCAAATGCCAAATCAGCGTATGTGTGTATGTATACGTGTAAAGTCTAGATCGCTATATACACACAACACATGCATAATTTTCGTTTACACGGAAATTGAATCACGGTTTCGAATGGAATATCATAAAGAGCATTTTAGCTGAAAATAAACAAAATACTCGAAAATGAGAATGGCGCATGGGCGACAAGTGGTGAGTTAAAATAAAAATAATATAAAAAAAATAATAATATAAATTATTTAAATTAAGGGAAAATGCCGTTGATGTTATAATTATTGTTCAATTTGTCTGTCGGCATTATTCGTTGCATCCTATCAAAAGACAATATAAGAAATCAACAATCAGTGTTATTAGTGTTCGAAAATGTCGCAAATGCTCAACAACATCAACATTAATGTTAATATGACGGATTCAATGCGCAAACTAAATCAGCATCAAATGATTGAGCAGGTGAATAAAGTGCATCAGCATCAGCAGCCACTGCCACTGTCCGATGATCCGCGCACCTTGCAGCTGGCCTTGGAACTGACAATGGTCGGCTTAAGCGAGACAAACAATCAAAATTACAGCGCACAACAACAACAGCAGCAGCAGCATGAATTCGATTTGGGTTCGTTAAATGTTGTCTCTGCTGCTTTTGCACGAACTGAGCTTGCGACGAGCGGCAGTTCGGGTCTGTTGATGCCCAGCGTTGGACTCGAGGACAGATCGAAGAAGTCACAAAATATGACCGAATGTGTTCCAGTGCCAAGTTCCGAACATGTTGCCGAAATCGTAGGCAGACAAGGTAAGCTAATTTTACAGCATACAATTGAGGGCAAAATAATAGCAACATCTCTCGCACTAAAAATGTTTTCAAAGTTTGTTTTTTTGATTAAAAGAAAGGGAGAGAAAAAAGATTAAAACTCAATATTTAAAAATATTGTTTTGTTTTTCTTATTCATAAGAAAAAATTTCAGAGTGATGCTATTATTTACCCCGCAAATGTCTGATCAACTACAATACACCTATTGCAACGAAAATCGCACATAATGCAGCGATCGTCATCTAGAAATGCTTGGCCTGTGTTCTTTAACAAACTTGTTCGAACGTTCGATGTGTGTTTTGCTAGCAACTCTATTTTAAATTGAATTAATTCTAACTTAGTAATTGATTATTATTAAATTTGATTAATTGATTGTTAAATTAAACTATTGTTAATTTTTACTTAATTAAAGTTGAATTATTATTTATTTATTGATAATTTAAAATGGATTTATTTATTTATTAAATATGAAATAAAATTATTTTTTGATTGCCTATTAAAATAAATGAAATTATTAATGTATTTAAAATTGATTAGGTATTTAATATTGAATTACAATTAATTGCATGATTTTTAAATTGAATTATTATTTTATTAATGATTAAATGCAATTATCAATTGATTTGAAAGTGATTAATTACTGAAAATTGAGTTAATATTAATTGATTCGTTTTTTACTTTGAGTTGAATTATTCACTTGTTGATTACTAAATTGAATTTTATTTATTTAATTTACTTAAAATTTATTAATTGAATTATTATTAGTATGTTGATTACTAAACAAAATTCTTATTAACTTATTGCCAACTAAATTAAATGATTATCAATTGATCAACTAGGTTGCAAGATAAAAGCCCTACGGGCGAAGACGAACACGTACATCAAGACCCCGGTACGGGGAGAGGAGCCCGTGTTCGTGGTGACCGGTCGCAAGGAGGACGTGAACAAGGCCAAACGGGAAATACTCTCGGCAGCCGATCATTTCAGTTTGATACGAGCGTCGCGCAAACCTTCGATTGACGGAGCGAGCAACTGCAATAGCACCAGCACCAGCAATAACAGCGGGAATAACAGCAGCAATAACAGCACAACAACAGCTGTTGGCGGCTCATCTTCATTGGCCGTTGGCATTGTGTCGCGTGCTCAGTCGGGTCCGCCGTGTCTGCCCGGTCAGATCACGATACAGGTGCGCGTGCCGTATCGAGTTGTTGGTCTCGTTGTCGGTCCCAAAGGCGCAACAATTAAGCACATTCAGCAGGAGACACAAACGTACATTGTGACCCCCTCGCGGGAAAAGGAACCGATTTTTGAGGTCACCGGTTTGCCGGAAAATGTGGAAACGGCACGCAAACAAATCGAAGCACATATTGCATTGCGCACCGGCAACAACAACAACAGTGCTGGGCACCTGAATGAGAACGCCTCGGTTGCTGGCAGTGAATCATTGGATTCGTCTGAATTTGCTGCAATGCATACGATAAACACCCTGAGTCAGATATTGAACGATGATCTCAATTCCGATTTGTTGTCATCGATTTATAAGAACGATATATCCAATTATGGCGACAATTCCATAAATATGCCAGTTCATAATTTAGTTGGCTGTTTTGCCAATTCGGAACTAGTTGCAGGAACTGCAACGGGAGCAGCAGTAGCAGGTTTATCAGCCACAGGCCTAACAGCAGCAGATTCAAATTTCTCACTGTTGCCTACTGAGTTGAACGATCAACAGCAACAGCAGCAACAACAGCAACAACAGCAACAACAACAGCAGCAACAACAGCAGCAACAACAGCAACACACAAAATATCGCACATCGAAAAGTTTAACATTTTGCCCAGCAGCAGCCACAGCCACAGTTGCAGCAACCACTGTTGTTGCATCGAACATGTTGACGCGCTCATGTTCGTCGGCCTCCTCAACAGCGTCCACAAAGAGCACCAATAACAGTGCCAATAGCAGCATTAATACACCGCCCGAACTGTTAAACATATGGAAGAATTTAAACGATTCAATTGATGTGGACGAAGGCATTGGTGACTCGCCCAGTATTTGGAGTCTGCCCACGACAGATAGACAGATAGTAACAGCGGCTGCCAACTGTTCACCGAGTGCATCGATCAGTCCAACTGACTCGCTGTTAACCGAGCACAGCCTGAAACTTAACAGCAGCAGCAACTGTAACAGCAGCAACAGCAACTGTAATCCAACCGTTAACAGTCAGTCACGTATGAGCGCGGACAAGTTGCATCGCGAGTGTTTTGTGTGCAACGAACGGGAAGTGACAACGGCTTTGGTGCCCTGTGGACACAACATGTTCTGCATGGATTGCGCTAATCAGATTTGTGTCTCCATTGAATCCATTTGTCCCATTTGCCATTCGATCGTTTATCACGCTATGCGCATTTTAGCCTAAGCAAACAGCAGCGGTCAAAAAATTGGAAAGTTGAATTTAAACACAAACAAATCAATACTGAATTTAAGTAAACATTTACATTTAAATTGTCCTTGAATTTATTAACTTGCTATTTATTTTTTATTATTGAAACTGATCATTATTAGAATAGTGAAAGATTTAAAAAAAAAAATTTTATATTTATTTGCTAATTATTTTTATGAAATTATTGAAATTGATCATTATTAGAGTAGCAGCAGTTTTCTCAGCTAAATAATAATTGAAAAAAATAACTATTTATTATGGCCGCTTATATGTGGACTATATTTAGTATTTGGAAAATAATATTTTAAAACATTCCGAAATAATTTGTTTTGCTTTTGCCAAATTGAATCTTTCGTTAGTTTGTAAATTTTGAAGATATCTCGATTTAAATACCATTAAATGAGTCATATTTTTATAGAATGCTACTATTATTTTGAGCGCAACTGTAAATACATACATATATGCTTACATAACATACATACATAACATACATACATTCATACGTTCCATACTTTAGTGCAACATTTCAGCGGCTGGTTGATGCATTGGCTAAATGCAGATGTATACGCTTGCAGCGCAGTGTTGTGAAACGATTTCGTATTCAATATTTACATTAATAATTGACGCATTTAAATCAGGAATAAAAAACAAACAAAAACATGCAAATAAAGACAAACAGGCAAAGAGACAGAAAGCATGTAAATATTTTCTAGTTTATTTAACTGGCATAGTATTCTATGTAAGCGACGTGTTTTAATCCCTTTTTAGACTTTAGATCACATTTAATTATATATATATATATATATATATATATATATATATATTTATATATAAATATAATCAAGCATTTTAGTCAAATACGATTACCAAAAAGAATAACCCAAATATATATATACATAAATCTGTGCTCCTCTCTCTCGGTGTGTCAGTATATAATATATATAATTTTCTATTCTAAGTTGACTGATAAATAGGCAGTAATTTTAAGTGAATCATAATATTTACATAAAAATACATAAATAAATAAATATATATATATATATATATATATATATATATACATATATATATATAAATTATATTATTTATTCAATACATCAAAATACATACGCATATATAGAAATAATCGGAAATTTAAATACATACTATTTAATGTGAATAAAAAAGACTTATATATTTATATATATATTAAATAGCCAATCTAATATTGACAAGATCAAAAATGAAAAAGAATATCTTGCGCTGAAAATCAGATTATTTATTTGACTAAATTGTATTATTTAAAAAGAAGAACAACAAAAGTCTAGTCCAACAAGAAACTAAATATTAAAGTTGATTATTATTATTATTATTATGAATTTATATATTTTATTATATTATTGTAATATTTAATTTTCCTTTTTATCATCATATTTATGTTTGCTCGTTTTCTTACAACTAAAAAATAAAATGTAGAACAAAATAAAATATGAGTGAGAATAAAAAAGAAAATAAAAAAATAAAGAACATAATTAAAATAAAATGCGCAAAATATTGAAAAACTTACTTAATCACATGCAGTAAGTTAGTACAATGTAAAAGATACCAAAAACGTACATATTTACACAATTATGTTTTAAATATATAATACATTATATATATATATATATATATATATATATATATATATATACATATATATATATATTTGTATATATATTAAAATAATATATTAACTGAAAACACTATATGGAGTTTAGAGAACAAAAAAAAACAGAAAAATGATTAAAAAGAGTTTACAATATCCATTAAACAAATATTATATATAAAATTCACATCAATTTTGTGTTCGGCTTCAGAAAAAGACGCATTGCAAATTAAATTCTAAGTTCGCTGAAAGGGGCAACGAGGAAAATGGCGAAATGGGAAATGGAAAAGTTTTCCAACTAATCAATGATTACTTAATCGTTCATCTTTTTCTTCTGCGGGATTTAAAATCAAATTTAAATAATTGATATATCTTTTTTAAGGGCTAAATCTGATTTCTTTTTTTTTAAGCTAACAACTCTTTTATTAATTTGATTTTTGAATATAGTTGAATTTGCTGTAATTTGTTTTCATTTGTGATTTGTTTGCTCAAAAAAACCTTTTATTTATTTATATAGTCGAATATGCTTTCTTTTTTATTTAGTTAAATTTGCTATAATTTCCTCTTACAGCATGGTTTTTTTTAACTTCTCTTTAAAACATTCATTTTTTATTTACTTACATACTATTCACTTTTCTTTTTATTTATTTATATATATAAATTTGCTGTCATTCATTTTGTTTGCTTTTCCCTTTTTTTATATTTAAGTAATTAAATTGGCTTTAATAATTTTTTTTTATTTATTTAAATCTCTTCTTTATCTCTCCTTTTTTTTAAATATGTATATCGATATATTTGCTGCAAATTTATTATTTTATATTTTCCATTTTTATTTGCAAAATCTTTATTGCTTTTCTCCTTTTTCCTTTCATTGAGCATTCCTTTGTTTGATCTGCTCTTACCAACAATTTATGAATATTTATTTGTTCATAACTAAAAATATTATTAAATGGAGGTGTTTACGATTAATTAATTGTACTAAATGCACACAACACACTTAAAAAACCGCATGAAAATATTTTTTTACACAGAATGTAAGCTTTTACATCGCATTTGTAGATGGCGGTTAAAATATTTACAACGAATATTTTATAAATGTTTCTTATTAAACTTGTAAGGTCTATATTAAATACATAATACAAAGCAGAAAATAAATATTATATATATATATATATATAATAGTATTATCAATAGTGAAATATCCGCATTGTGTTCGTAAGAAAGTATATCTTAAAAATACATTTCATAAATACAACTTTAATCGACATTAATTTTAAACAAATACTAAGCAAATACTAATGTCGATTAAATAAAAAAAAATTAACTTTATATAAAAAATATATACAAAAGATATGTATCACTAAATGGTTATATAATAAAATTTTTCGAAAATATTCAAAGGCGTCTCCAATTTTATTTTTATTTATTTTTAATGAACCGAAAGCACTGGCCGAAAATATATATATGCAGAACGTGGCTAAAACTGCAACAATTTATGCTACAATGCAAGAGTATTCCGCTTACCTGTCCTTGTTCCTTATCCGGATCGTGGCTTTATAGCTTCAACTATTATACGAACCAGATAGTAATCAAATAGAAATGGAAATTGAATAAATTTACAGCTTGCAAATGTCCTTGTTCCTTATCCAGATAATGGTATATATGTATGTATATACATGCTATCCTTGTACGATCCGCTGCAATTAAGACATATCTTCAGAACCCATTCCGAAAATAAAACATTTGTTTTTGTTGTTTTTTGTCATTAAATAAAATAATAACAGTATTTTATGTACTGAGCTTGACTTTTATATTTTTTTTCTGAATTTGTGGTTGGTTTTCTGCTTGGGCCTTAAAACTGATTTTTTTATTTGCTTATGTTTGCATTAAGAGATTTTCTGTTTAGATCTATAGACGAGTTAGAACTAACGAAAATATTAATTTTTAAATGAATAAAACATAAAATAGTGTTTTTGAAATGATTTGATTTCATCTAAATATATATATATATATATATTATGAAGTAATATAATGAAGTAATGATGATGATGCCCTGACACCGAAACCAATAATTCTACATTTGCCAACTTACCAAACGTGCTGTGATTCGGCCAAGCCGAATATTTAATTACCCTTGCAAAGTTTGAAGATTTGAAGTCCGATAAATGATGTGAATAAATTTCTATTTATATGTCTATTTAAATTTGAATTAATTTATAAATTACGATTTCCATTTTCAAAACGTTAAACGTTAATTTAAATCTAAATTAATTTAAAAATTCCAATTTCCGATTTCCTTTTTCAAAACATATGCCTGGCTGTTCCCGAAATCGACAATTCTTTCCATTGTAGCAACGTAAAAAAAAAAACAATTAATTAGTGTTTAATAATAATAACAATTGCTTTTGTTTATAGTATTAGTTTTAGTTGCTGCTTTATACAAACTATTTCTGCTTGATTTGTTGATGAATCATGAATTATTTATTGTTTTTATTTGTTAAATAATTGCATTGAAGTTGAGTCTTATATTAATTATGGGGACGGAAGTGCTTCCTTCTATATACTCTTTAATAGCGCGTAGCTGTGAAAAGTAAGCATGTATTTTGTGGTGATTTTTGCAAGGATATTTCTCAAATCAATGAATTAATTTGCTCTTATGTGTTAGGTAAGTATATATATTATAATATAATATGCGTTTACTCTGGCTCTGGGTATAATTGTACTATGTGTTAGTTACACTTCACGTTAAATATATATATATATATATATTTATATATATAAATATATATATATATATATATAAATATATATATATATATATATATAGAGAGAGAGAGAGAGAGGAATATCTAAGTACTTGCTGCCACTACTTAGTTAGCTGTACACACAAACATTTCTCAAACAGAAAGCTATATGTATATACCTGATACGTAGCAGTATCAGTGTATACATTTGTGATGCTTACATGTGCTGAATTTCCAATCATTTTTTTCCAATCATTTTTTTTTTCTTATTTTTGGGTATTTACGGTTTACTTTAGTAGGATAAGTGGATTGTGTAATTTATATATATATATATATATATATATATATATATATACAAATATTTACTATATATAGGTATATATATAGTAAAAGCACATTTACATATAATTAATTTTAACTTTTATTGATAAACGAGACACACACACTGAAAGATATCCCTCGTCCGCTCGTTATTTTCATCCTGCTCCTGTTTAGTTCGCCGATGAAAACATGTTGGTATTGTCCCATTCCAGCTGATTGATGTGTGCAAAGCCATCCTTAATAACTAGAATATATAAAAAGCATTCATATTATCTATAATACTAATACTAATATATATATATATAATATGTATATATATATATACAAGCTCACCTTCGTCATCTTCGGAATCGGAATTTTCCGAATCGGAGCTCTCCTCGGATGCGGCATCTGTTTGCATTGGATTTATGGTTATGGTCAACGCGGAATCATCCCAAATTAGGCCTTCGTCAGCAGCCTTTTAATGGAATCCAATATATATATATAATTAATATATATATATACACATAAATAAAATGTATACAAGAATAAGATAAATACTTATATAAAAAATAAACATAAATAAAATATATTTTGAAATATTTTTTTCTTTTGTTTTTTCTATAAAATTTAAAATTCGCATCTCTATATTTTCTTAAATAATTATGAATTTCTAAGTTATGTTCAATATTAGGCAGTCTGTTTAAATTAGATATATATAATACAGTGTAGTATACATTTGCGTACCTTGGGACAAGGCTGGTGACGATCTGAATACTTTTGGTTATTTTTAAGTCGGGCAATTGAAACGCCGCAGAGCAAAATGACGAGAAAAACGCATATCAAAATGAGCAGCATTGTGGGATGCGAAGCTTCAGCTAAAATATAGATATAGATTAAGATGCGATATTTGATATATACATCGAAATAGATACCTTTGTGGACAATAGCATGCACATGTGACTTGGGCTCCTGAACATCATTAGTGTGCAGCAGTGAATATGAAAAGAGTTTTGTATCTGCAAAGAATTAAAATAAAAATTAGTCAAATTTAAATAGATCAAATAGATAATAATAATAGTAATAAATAATAAGTAACAAATAATAAATATTATGTATGATTTTAGAAATATAAAAAGAATAAGTAATAAAATAATAAATCATTAATAATTAATAATATATTCTGAATAATAACTAACAACTAATAACAAATTATAATATTATTACCAGTCTTACACGAATTGAATTAAATATAAAAATTAAAGAATTATATTTGATGAAAAAGGATGAAAATTAACGACAACAAATAAAAGTGGCACTTAGAAAATAAGTTGAATTTTAAATTAAAAATATATGCATAAATAATATACATATATATATTAAAACGAATTGCCAGAACTGTACAAACTTTCATTGATAATATAAATATTAAATGAATGCTGATGCAATTAAAAATTATAATAAACATTAAACAAATTATAATAAATAAATATATAAAACAATAGCAATAGTATTAAAAATATATAATTATTATATTATCGTTTTTAGATAGATATATATATAATAAAGCTGATTCAATTAAAAAAAAAATTATAAATATTATTATTATTACATTATAAATAGCAACAGCATTATATAATTATTATAGTATTTTTGTTAGACAGATGCAGATGTAGATATAGTCTTGTGTATACCTTGAACAGCCTGATCGGTATTGTGATAAGGGGATGCTTGTGCTGCTGCAGCTGGATAATTGGGGTCGGCGTCGATTGTTAGGGGTGTTCCCGGTGCGTTGGTTGTCTTTGAGGATTGCTTCGGATGCAGGACGGTCAAAGTAAGCGTGTACTCGACGCTTTTAAATTGGGAACTTAGCTGGGAACAGGACAATTTGAAGACGCGATTCAGATAATAGGCCGGCTTCTTATTGCTGTAGACGAGTGCGCGTAGGACACTCAAATAGTTGCTTATCGAATCGGTGCCAATCATTTCGACGCCATCCTTGTTGATGTTCGTCCTGATGTCCATTGTCGAGGACAACGATTCGTCGCCATCGATTTGAATTTCCTCGTGATCCGGATTCAGAGATGGGAAAACAATCACACTGCAGCTATCCAATTTCTCCTTCTGCTTATTATCATTATTATTACCGATATTATTATTAATTTTATTATTGTTATCGTTGTTGGAGATGCCTATGTAAACTTTGTCCAATATATGTACGCCCAATTTGATTTCCTGATACGAAACCAGCTTGTTTTGAGTGCCTGCAAAAATTTAATTCATTTGCTTATCTACGTATAAAATAATTTTAAACCAAATTTAAAATAATTTCAAATGCAGTTTAAAATAAACTAAAACTATTTTAACTATTTTCGCTTTCACAGCTAACACAAATAAAGTCTAAATATATTAAATTAATTATTTAGTCACCATCACAAAAATCCACTCAGCCTAACAGTGAGCAACCATTATGCTTAACTGTAAACTGTAAATTAAACTACAACATGCTTGTTTTTCAACCGATCTTAATGAAATTTCTTCAGTTGATCACATATCAATTTATATGTCATATATCAATTAGAGGTCAGCGACTTTAAAATTATGGCTTTTATTGCTATCGTAAATCGATATTTATCGAAATTAGAGAATTAGATGCTATTTTTTCTGCGGACTTTGTCATAATCGATCACTTTTTAGCGATATGTAATATATTGTATTATGTATTATATATTATTGTATTATGCATGTATATATATATATATATTTTTTTTTTTTATAACTTCTATTCGATTTACAAATAGTGTTTTAAATGCAGTTCTTCTTTTATCGAACTGCAAACAGGGTTTCAATTTGTATTATGTTGTAAATAAGGCTTTCAATTGAGTTTTTCACTATCGATAAATGTTTATGGCACTGCAAATATCGCTTTATTTTCAGTTTTTCATGCTCGATAGCTTATTATCGATATGTAATAATTGTACTAATGCATAGGCAATTGTCCCTATTTGATAACTCTTAAGCGAAACGTAAACAGGTCTTTCTAGGCAATTGTTCGATATCGAAAGCTTGTTATCGATCAGAAAAACAGTATCAGAAATTGATAATTACCTGATATGGCAATCTTGCCCGGAAACTGTTCCCCTTTAAGCTTATCCACAGCGAGTTTTCGCCTCTGTCCATCCACAATCGAATCAGTATCCGTCTCTCTATCCGTATCCACATCGGTCTCTCTTTCCGCATCCGTACCGAGAATGCCAGCTGGTGTCTGAATGGGTTCGTTTACCATGATGTACGTCTCGATGGTGGGCAGACGGAGAGCACTTTGATTGGTGCACATCATCGTAGTTCTCACTTCGATATTCCTCCGGCCAATTGTGGGTGACTTTTTGGCATTGATATACTGAATCTTACGCATGAGTTGCTCGATTTTATGCTTGCTCTGCGCCTCAATATAGATCTCATTCATTTTGGCATTGAGTTGTACCTGAACGTCCTGCTCCGTGTTCGGGGAGTCTGCCTCCGGCGTGGCGGGCAGCAGGTGCTCAGCGCAGCTAGTGCCACATTTAATGTCCGCCGGTAAGAGTATATTATTTAGGGCCACTTTAACAACGGATATATCGCCGAGGAATCCGTGCTTCAGTCGATTCTCGGAGCTCTGGAAACAGGCGCCGACGGAGAGCGTTGTATTAACACCGTGCGCCGCATGGAGCGGCCAATCGTCGATGACTTCCGGATTGGCGTGACGATCCTCGACGGAGCTCTCGAAGCGCACCCCATCGATGAAGAGCTCCACTTTGCCCGACTGCTCCACGTAGTTGATGACGTAATAGTGCCACTCGTTGTCGCAGACCTGCGCTATCTTCCAGCGCCATTCCGCCGGACTGAAGATGTTTAAGTCGCCCTCGTTGTAATTCTTGCGTAGCAGCAGGATCAATCGACAATTGCGCACGAAGAGCGCCATATGATGTCGATTCATCTTGTGGTCATCGGCGCTGCACAGGATGTGCTCCTTGACGTGCTTGTTCAGCGGCGGACTTTGGCTGGCATGTCGGAAGACGCTCACAATGCTGAAGGAGTGCAGCGAGAAATCGTGTCGGCCAATCAGACTGTCTGGCAGCACCACGCCAGCGTTGCCATCAAAGTGGAAAATGGGCTCCGGCCCCTCGTCGAAGCTCAGCTCCTTTGTCCACTCCGCGCCGCGTGGCAATAAATCCTTGAGTTTGCTGCTCGCTGTGCAGTTGCTTATGTCGCGATCGCATCCAAAGGATATGTGCTTTGTCTTTCAGCGTTGCAAGAGTGAGTAAAAACAAAAGTATTATACCAATAATAATAGTCATTTAACAGAATTCACCTTGAGTACGACTGCTGCGTGTATATTGAGTTCTTCAGGACTGCACAAAATGTTGCACAGATCCAGGCGGGCATTGGGGAACAACTGCAGGCTCTCAGTGCTGCCCGACTACAACCAAAATTATTATAATTATTATTTTATTTCATATTTTACAGTGCTGCAAGACCACAGATAATTATACATGATTGAATAACATACATATGTACATATAAGAAACAAATAGCTGTGCTTTTTTCAGTGTATTTAGTCATATAGGTTATATATAGAATAAAAGAAAGATTTATTAGTTGTTACTTACCACCTTCGATTTTAAATGATAACAAAATGAGTACAAAAAGCAGACAGCTTTTGTCAGAGGCGTACAAAAGCTCCTTGATATGCGAAAAGAAAATACGTAGCTAGGCAACTAAAGGTTAATTTTTGAGAAAGCGATCGAAAGTGAAGGCAGTACCAACTAAGGGTTAACGTTTGACAGTGATCGCAGCAGAAAGGATGGCAACTGTGTTAAAGTTTGAGAAATCAATAAAACGCTCAAAAAGTCTTGAAAAAGCAAACCGCTTTTTTCAGAGCTTGATATGCAAGAACGAGAAAACACTTAGCTTTGTATATGTAGGATAAAGCAACCAAAGATGAATGTTCAAGAGAGAGCGATCGAATGCGAACGCAGTACCAACTAATGGTTAATGTTTGACAGAGCAGTCGCAACTGGGTTAGCAATAGAAAAACGCTCAAAAAGCCTTGAGCTTTTTAAAGATTAACGATTCGTTAAAAGCAAAGTGAACGAACACAACGAAAAAAAAAAACATTCTGGTCGTGTTCAGATTTAAACAGTTATCGATATTGATACTCACCGTATAATCGATGCGCTCGGGTATGCCTAGAAACTTAGCATCGCAGATGCGTCGCACCTTGATGCTGACCATGATGGGTGTCGATTCCTTCATCGCACAATCGAAGGCGACAACGGACAGGATGTGATTGTGGGAGATCTTGTGAGACAAGGGCTCCGTATTCTTGATGGAGCCTTCGTTGTCGATTGTAAACGGCTCATCGCTATTCAATATATCGTATTTGCATACATCCCCAAAGAGTGGCGTGCAATCCTTGTCCGTTGCCTCCACACGAATGATCTCATTATAGAGCTTTCCCTCGTCCACTTCGGTTACGTACGAGGGCTGCAGAAATGTCGGCGCATACTCATTGATATCGATAACAGTGATATGCACATTGGCTGGATTTGAGGGTGTTCCATCGCAGTAAATCGCCACTATCTCGAAATGATAGCTCTTCCGCTTCTCGCAGTTCAAAGTGCGACGTGCCTTTAAAATGCCCAAATTGTTCACCAGCTCAATCTGTAAATATCGATTGGTAATTATCGATAGGCAAATTCATATATATATATATATATATATATAGATATAGATCTCACCTGGAATGGTATTTCATGATATGGCTTTTTTAATATGCGAAAATTGCATATTTTCTCCTCGTCAACTTTAATCAGTGGCGTTATTTCCACCAGCGTCTCATTTTCACGTATCAATCCGTGGTACGACTTTTCCAATATATATTCTGGAATTATTCGATTATTATTTTGTTTTATGAGAATATAAAAATATAATGTCAACGATTGGAAATCATTTTGGCTAAAAAACAGTAGAATTATATTTACATAGATGTTCATAGTTATTTACTTATTATTTTTTTCATATATAATCTATTTATTTTAGTATTTATTTATTCAAATAATAATATGAACTAAAAGTAATACACTAATTTAGGAAAGAGGTTTCAAACATCCAAATTTAATAAAATTAGATATGCATTTTTTAAAAAAGGAAAATAATAATTCTAAATTAAAACAACATAGCAAATAGTCAAGAATAATAATAATCAAATAATAAAAATACAAATTAAAACAATAGTAATAACAACAATTATAATAACAATAAATAAGTGATTGAGTAAATGCAAATTAAATAAAGACACCTCGTTCTGTTAAATATTCGTATTTTTTGTGTTAAATATTCGTATTTATAATAATAATAATAATAAATACATCATCAAACACACATTGTCATATAAAATAAAATGCCTAAAAATTATATATTTATATATAAATAATTGAACGCACCTCGTTGTGTTAAATATTCGTCCTCATTTTCATTGGAATTGCCGCCGGTGGATGCCGCAAAACCGAGCAGAACACTTAGAATTAGACCCAAATGGAGACAATTCGACATCATAGTGCTGGATAAGGGTTAATGGATGTCCCAAGTAGGCCTTGTTTACTTTCTGTAATTATTCATTTTTTATTTCAGTAATTACAATAAAATGTACTTTATTTGCAGTTGTTTCAAACTGTTTTTGAATTAGTATTAATGACAATTTTGTTACTATTAAAATTATTAAAGTAATTTATTCATTGCTGTAATTTTTAATTGCTTTTTTTATTTATTATTAATAATTATTAATTGCAATTTTGTCATTATTAAAATGCACAAAATAAGCCTACTTTATTTGCTGTAATTTTTAATTCTTCATTTTAATTATTATTATGATTTGTTAATTTCAATGTTTCAATTGTTATTACTAATTATTAATTGTAATTTTAACACTTTTTATTATATATAAGCCTAATTTACTTGCTGTCATTTTTTATTATTCATTTTAGTTATTAGTATTAATTGCTAATTTCAATGTTTCAATTGCAATAATTAATTTTTAATTTTTTTTATGAAAAAGCCAATGTAATTTGCAATCTTTTAAATCACTGAAAATTACATCACAATTAATATTTATTTTTATCGCAGATTTCCAGAAATTAAACACAGATTCGTTAATCCAATGCAGCCACAAATACCCATGCACAACGTGTGTAGGTGTTGCGTGTGTGCCTGTGTGAATTTGATTTCATGAGATACACATTTTGCCAGATACACACACACACACACAAATATATATATAAATATTATATATGTGTGAGTGTGTGTGCATTTGTTACATTTTTAGATATTTAGATAAAATATTCAAATAAATAAATGACTTAATTCTTCAAATTCACTTTCATTTCAAAACATTTTGAATGTGCAAGATATTCATTTGGATATTTTTCATCCACACGCAAAAGGATATAAAGATGCAAAAATCAATATTTTTGTTACCCACACAATTTTTTGTAGTTGTTTTTTCGGTGTTTTTTTATTTGTTGGTTGCGTTGTTTGCGTTTTTAACTTTTTTCAAAGTGCAACATTTAATAAGAATTTGGCTAACAATTTATGTGCTCTTTGCTTGGACATTTATTGATTGTTTATCCGACATTTTTTATTATATTTGCCCAAAAGAAAGGAATCAGTTGTTTGGTTTTGTACTAAAAAAATCCCAAATTATTTATTTGGTATTTGATTTGTAAACTGAAGAAGCAATTAACTATCGATTACTTTGTGTTCTATCGATTGCTTAGCGTTTGCGATATTAAGTAGTGTTGTTGTCTTTACACTGACACCAAATCAACTAATTTAATTTAAATTTGAATGCAAATAATTTATATGTTTAATAAAATATATATTAATATTGCTAGGCAAATTAAACAGACAAACAAGTTGTAACATGTTCAGCTTTTAATATATATCTGTCTATATATTGCCTTGCTAAAAGCTTTTACTTAACGAAGCAGCAATCCTTTCGTTAAGGTTCGTATACACACATATGTATGTATACATTGTATTTATGCAGACTTTTATAAAATGCAAATTGCAGCAACTTTTGAAATGAGCTATAAATTTAAATATATTTAATATGCGCATATTTATAAGCTTCCATTCGATGTACATATTACTTATTAAACTATGTGATTTACCCAGCGCATTTTCATTCATTGCAGAGCAGCGAGAGCGAGACAGAGAGCGCTAGAAATTTCAGACTCGGCTGCAAAAAAAAGCGTCAGCAACAAATTTCATTCATGGCGCAGATATGTGTGCGCACACATGTTTACCAATGTATATACATATATACACATACAAACACACTCATACATACACAGCATATAGCTACGCCCACGTACGCTCAGCCACAGATTTCGACAGGCGCGTAGCCGAAGCTTTTCGTGACGAAGGAAAGCAAAGCTTTGAAGCTGAGCAGCTTCTTGCCAGGATCTGCGCTGTGGATGCTGTTCCGTCGCTGTCGCCGTTTCAAGTGCAGCCTTCAACTCTCTTTGCTCTATTTCAAAATTTAGTTCAGTTTACGTCGCGCGTCGGTAAAGTTCATATCACACATAGACTTACAAAAATAAAAAAAATATATATATATATAAAAAAAGAAAGAAAAGAGTAATTAACAAAAAAAAAAAGTTTTAAATCAGTTGCAAAAAATTTATATTGTTTGTAATAAAATTATAATTAAACAGGCTGTAAGAAAAATGTAAGTAGGCTGTTAAAAGTGAAAATACTTCTTGTGTGGGTGTATGCGTATATATTTAGGTCGATGAAGCCTAAAACGAAAATACATACAAAAATATGTTTGCGCAACTTAGTGAATGAGAGTCGATTTTCAATGTGAACTTGGCAAGCTAAGCTTTTGCCCCCACCCCTTTTTCTTTGGCACGTGTGTGTGTGGGTGCAGTTTAACATTACAGCGCGTAGACAACTTTACATATGTATGTGTGTGTGTGGTGTACACATACAAAAGCTGTTAAGTCTGAATGAATAATTTCTGAATGGCCCACATATATAAGTGTATATGTATGTATGTGTGTTGTATGTGTGTGTGTGGTGTTTGTGTATACACAAATTGCAAAAGCAGCCAGAAAGTATGCAAGAAAAACAGGCATTTACTATTAAAAATACAAATTAAATAAATATATTTATAAATTATATAAATTTTATAATTTGTAAATACATTTAATTAAAACTGTATAAATTATCATTTAAATTTTATATTATATATTCTGTTTTTTTTTGAGTATTTAGATTTGTATAAAAAAAGTTCCATATACCATTGGTTCCCACCCAACAGTTTTGAAAAATGGCGTCGCAAACCAGGTATAATACTAACGCTAACGGTAAGAACGGTAAAATGAGGCTAACTGTGGCGACTCTCACGAACGACTCCCTTCTTCTTCTTCTGCTTCTTGCCACTCAAAATACCGCAGCAAAGTAGATGAAGCTAAAAACTCAATTTCAACTTCAATTCTATTCACGTTTTGAAATAAGCGCACCAATATTTGTTTGTGCAGCAGCCCGCACCAATAACTACAAATAGTACAAAACAACGGCACAACAACAATAATAATAATAATAATAATAATAATAATAATAATAATAATAATAATAATAATAATAATAATAATAATAATAATAATAATAATAATAATAATAATAATAATAATAATAATAATAATAATAATAATAATAATAATAATAATAATAATAATAATAATAATAATAATAATAATAATAATAATAATAATAATAATAATAATAATAATAATAATAATAATAATAATAATAATAATACTAATACTAATACTAATACTAATAATATTAATAATAATAATAATAATAATAATAATAATAATAATAATAATAATAATAATAATAATAATAATAATAATAATAATAATAATAATAATAATAATAATAATAATAATAATAATAATAATAATAATAATAATAATAATAATAATAATAATAATAATAATAATAATAATAATAATAATAATAAATAATAATAATAATAATAATAATAATAATAATAATAATAATAATAATAATAATAATAATAATAATAATAATAATAATAATAATAATAATAATAATAATACTACTAATACTAATACTAATACTAATAATATTAATAATAATAATAATAATAATAATAATAATAATAATAATAATAAAAATAATAAAAACAATAATAATAATAATAATAATAATAATAATAATAATAATAATAATAATAATAATAATAATAATAATAATAATAATAATAATAATAATATAATATAATAATAATATATAATATAATAATATAATAATAATAATAATATAATAATAATAATATAGTATTTATTATATATTTATTTTGATTTGTTTTATTTTTATAAATTAACTAAACAATAGATTGATAGATAAGCAACAGACAAAGTCAACAAGTAAATAGGTACTTTTTCAGGTACTTTCTTAGATACATAATTCATAATTTGTTTTTAAGAATTATAAAACTATAAAAAATATAAAAAGATATATATATATAAAATCAATTAAATGGATACGGTAATAATAAAAAATAATTCTTTTTAGGTGATTTCCTCTATTAAAAATATAAACTTAATTATAGCACTTACAAGTTGAAAGAGCACCAAACTGAATATATAGAATTAATATTTAATCACTTTCGATTTGTTGACTTTTATGCTCCTCTAATAATTGCATGTCCTTGTAGTTTATATTTATGCTAAGCAGTTCTCTTAATAAATTTCTAATTTATGTTGTTTATTTTATTTTATATATAGATAAAATCAACATATTTAAAGAAACATATCTGTTGACAGCTCAACAACTTTAATTTACGGTCGTTATCTGAATTAAACACATTTCGGGACTTTCATTAGCCAATTGTCAAATATGGTTTTTTACAACAATATGGTAAGTACATAAATAATTAAATACTATAAAAATAAAAATGTATATATATATATTTACATGAATATATTTATTCAATCATGTAATGTTAACTATTAACAGTAAAAAAAATACAAAAGCAAAAAATAAATTGCATTAAATTAAAAAGAATTAAATATTTAAATTTAATAAGCTAAGAAATGTTTTCAAGATTTCTGGCATATTTATATTATCTATTTGTATAATTATCATTTATTAATATTTTATTTATTTATTTTTTTAATAAATTAAAAGTATTTATATTTATATATTTATTTTATATTTTTATTTATTTATTATATGTTTTGTGTAGCAGAAAAGAAAAGAAAAATACTTATTTTGTAATAAAGAATTAAATGAAAAATTAAATAAGGATTAAATAAAAGACCTTCCTTTATAAATATTATATTTGATATAAATCAACTATTATAAATTCTAAAAGGACATATTATTGTTGAACTATTTACAGTACACATATCTGCACTTGTACATATTGGTGATCTCCGTTTATGCGACACATGGCAGTGGCAACTTTTTAAATGGACGCAGCCACGTCGACTATGGTGTCCAAAGAAATGGGGACGGTGGCAAACTGGTCAAAGGCGAGGAGCGCACAACAAATGTGAATGTGGGCGAAGTGTTTGTGCCCAAGACATTTCCTCTGAGTGCACAGGAGCCAACCTGTGAGCAGCTGCGAGCCATGTGGATGTGAGCTTAGAACATATATATATATATATATATATATATATATATATATATATCGATTTACATATATAAAATAAAATAAAAAATATAAAATTTATATAAACAAATTCAGATTCTCCAAGCGACAATCTCGTGCCGCGGAAATCACAAATGAAATACCAACATATCGCGATCCATTCACTTATAATGTCTGGGAACCGCTTTACTCTAATTCACGATTGCTCGGCTCGTAAGTATTGATATATAAATATATATATTCGTATATATATATATATATATATGTATTTTTTACGAAAATTAAATATAAATATGATTATAAATATAATTAACAAAATTTATAATTGCTAGGATTCGCATGGGATAGTAGATAGCTAAATATATTTTTAATAATACAAATAAATAAATATAAATATAATTATATATATAAATATGAGTTAAATAATAATTAAATAATGCACAGCATTAAATATTAAAGAATATAATTAAATAATAGGATAGCAGATAGCTGTGAATATATATATATATATATTTATATATTTTATATTATATTATTTATTTAATATATATTAATATTAAATTACATAAACATTTGCTAGGATTCGCATGGGACAGTAGATACTAGTATCCATATATAAATAATTCTAATAAATATATATATATCAATGAAATGAATTTAATTCTTGGCAGGATTCGCATGGGTGCCCGCGAACGTGCTCGTTCGCCTGTGTTTGGCCGCGTTGTCAACCGTGAGCCAATAATTCCGCAGCGTGTCGCCTTCGAGCAGCGTCAGCGTCATCTGATGGATGGCAGTCCGAGTGCGGGTGGACAGGCGTCCCGGCTCTACGGTGCCGAGGTGCGGCCCTCGGGTGTAGGAGCCACGACGGGCACCACATCACCACGTCGCTCCAGCCAAAATAGATATGTGGGCGTGGTGCCCAGCAGCAGCAGTAGCTCCTCCTCTTCCGCCTCTTCCTCTCCTCAGAAACACTCAAATGCGGGCAGCAGTCAAAACTCAAATTCGGTTGCCGTCCAGGGCAGTTTTCAGAAGCTCAAGGAGCTCATCTGGACGGAGCGGGCCAAGGAGCTGACCCAGCAGCGGCGTGCCGAGGAGCTTGCTGCCCGCGCAGCGGTTCTCAAGGAAATCGCCAATGGACAAAAGTAAAAATCAAATATCTATATATATCCATTTATGTATAATTGAAAATGCTCAAAAGTAAGAAACTAAATTAGAACATTTAATTCGCTTCTATAATTAAAATAAAAAAATGTAGTTTCTTAAATTAATTTTTTCGCCTTTTTTTATTTATATTTTATTATATACATAAAAAAATGTGGAAATTCAAGTAAATAATTCACTGCTCATATATATTAATTTATATTAAAAGATTTTGTATACATAAAATATGTAAATTTAAATAACTAATTGGCTTCTGCAGTTTGCTTTCATAATTAATACTCTTTTGCATTTTTGTGTAATTCAAAATATATATATTGATACATAAAAAATATGTAAATAGCAATAATTAATTCGCTTCTCCAAAAATACATTTACTTATACGCATAAAGTATGTAAATGGCAGTCACAAATTCTGAACTCCTATTTTTTTCAGTATTCAATCGTCGTATAAGGTGCCCTTCAATCGGGAAGGCGACTCGCTGCTGATGGATGAGAATCGGAGTCCGGACAGTGGCGGCAATCAGTATGTAAACGATGAACGATCCATAGCAAATATACAAAATCTGGATGGTAATCGAAATGGAAATAGAGGAGGAGGACAGAGACAGCACAGTGGAGGCCATCGTGCATCGACGCGACGCATTGGTTCCACTCCGTATGGCACTGGGAAGGGAAAGATGTCAAAAGTCGACTCTCGCATTCGAATACCGGCCACAGAAAGCAATCTGGGCGATTTATCAGATCGGGATCGGGATCAGGCTGTTATCGGCATAACGAGGACATATCCGAATCGACAATCGCATTTTAGGGAAAGAAATCGTTCGCTTTTAAAACAGGTAACACGAAAAAAAACAGTCTATTTCAAATTTATAATATATTGATATTTATCTGTTGTATTTAAATGTTGAATTCTTTATTGCAGTATTCACCAATTGATTACTTTCAACGCAACACTCGCAAATTGGCCAATTTGCAATACGATCAAAATCAAAATTTAAATTTAAATGAGAATTATTTGAGTCTTTTTGTGCACGGCTTGAACAACAATCTGGCCGATCTGGCTGAGGCTGAGGATATAGCTCCCGAACAGAAATCGAATCAATACGAATTTGATTTCTATGATAATGCTGCATATTAAATTGACTTCAATGATAATGCTGCATATTATATTTCAACTCCAACTCTTTTCGAAATGAATGAATAGAAAAAGTTTCTTGTATTTTTTATTTTATTTTGTACTTTGAATTTAATTTTAAACAAAACAAATGTAAATACAGCAAATTAATGAACAGGAGTAACGGTTGTCAATTCAAAAAAGATAATAATTAGAATATAATTAAAATATATATATATATATATATATATATATATATATATATATATATATGTACCTAAATTACATCTAATATGTAATATTCATATTTTCATAAATATCAACTGCTGTCGTACTAACTTCGCATATATATATACACATATATATATAGATATATATATATTGTTTCTATTTCTGATAGTATATATATATATATTTCCAGGGCCGTTTGATATTTATTTGCTTTACAGTTTTTTTTTTAATAACTTCTTCACGAGTACCTCATAATTGCTGTGAAAGATCATGTAAAATTGTCTGTACATACAATATTAATTTATAAATATTATTATAAATATATATTATATATATATACCTCTATTTACTTATTAAATTAAGCTTATTTTATTTGGCTTTATTTTACTTGAAACTTGATATCCGGCTTTTTAATAAATTCACAGCTTTATTATACTTAAAAAATTACTATAAACTATTAAATTAAGATAGGCATTCTTGAAAATCAATTCACATCAAATTTAATTATTCATTTTAATTATTATTATTTAATTAAATTGTTAACTTTAATTTAAATTGTGTACTTTTTTGGAGTGCACACTAAATAAATAAAAATGGCATCCAAATTAAACGCTGCAGCTAATCGGGAATTATATATATATATATATATATATATATATAAATCAAATGCTTCCAAAATAAAACAATCATCAGAAATGAAAACGCAACTTGAATGAATAATTTAAATATGACATAAAAAATGCAATTCTACGATCAATCCATACTAGTCATTAACTAACACACACACACACACACATTTTTATAATCTAAACTGTGCCTGAACTTAAAACACGAAAAACTGAAAGAGCTAAAAAATAAACAATCAAATTCATGATAAAAAATAAACCAACTCATTTAACATATATATATATATTTATATATATATATTTATATATATGTATACTATTCATGTATATATATAAAACCATATATATCTTTTCACAATTTAAAAATGTTATATATATATATTCTGAAATATATTTTTCTTTAGTCATTTCAGATAAATCATCAATTTGTAATTATAACTAATTTGATAGTTTTCAAATTCTAAGGCTAATAATTTATTATCAGTTTAAATATTTATATATGTTTATTAAATTATTATTATTCTTATTTATGCCATTAATTTGATTCAGGAAAGTCCACTAATTTATATTCATGCATATATATATGAAATATATATATATATATATATATATATATATATATATATATATATATATATGAAATAAATGTCAATTTAACATATCGAACTTACCCAAAGTACTTGTGCTACCTATATTATGAGAGACTTGTGTACTAATCAACTACATATATATATGTATATATATACATATAGCTGTATATATATGTATATATTGCCAGAAATCCATGTGTAATATTTATGAAATGAGTATGAAATACAAAATGAATATCAATTATTGCAAGTATGCCTGATTTTATTAAACGTTATTTAGTTGTTGTACTCCTCATTGTATAGAAAACAAAACAAAAAACTAAAAATTAGTAGTATAACTTTCTTTAAAAAAATACATATTTATAAATATGCATAAACAATTGACAATAAGTCTATAGTTGTGAGTTCCGGACAATAAATAAAACATTTTTAGTATACATATATATTGTATATACTACTATATACTATACCTAAATTTATATATATATATATATGTATGTACACATATATATATATTCGATGTACGATTCCAATAAATATAACATGTTCCAAATTCATTTTATTGAACTAAAACTCAAGTTGTCTACGCATGGTTGATGTTTTTAAATAAATGCCAAAAACAAAAATAAAACAAATATCATATGACAAATACTTAAAAGTATTTAACTTAAGAGGTTATTGTGAATCTTATTGTATAACACACATATTGTATATTGTAAACGAATCAACAAACAAATATATATATATATATATATATATATATATATATATATATATATATATATATATATATATATATATATATATATAGATATATATATATATAAAAGTCGTATGAACTGAAAGAGCAAGTTTTTTTATTTTCAAAATAATATTTTTGATAATCGATATTTATCAAAAATAAGTTTGAATGGGATCTGTGAATTTTCTACAATTACTTGCCATATTTTGATAGAAAGAATCCTTGCGATTGTAAGGCACTATATCAATGAAAAATTTATTAAATTAAAATTCATCAATTTTAAAAGCCAGCTAAAATAAATCCACAACACATTAATTTGTATCTTATAGTCTTTATTCACGTTTCACTTGATGCTTATTTTAATTCTTAATATGGGGTATATTAGTGAATGAACTGCTCCTTCTGCATCTCGTTGTGATCCATTTTTCTGAATCGCCAGCCTCCTTGGCCATCAAACTCAAGAATATGTGTGTGGAATTTCCTAAAATTAGAATAAAAATAAAAATAGACGAATACAATATAAAAATAATATAGTGATCTAGTTTCAACTAACTATATATTGTCTAGTAATATATATTATTTATTTATTTAACTTATATATTATTTATTTAATTTAATTTAATTTAATATTAAATTTATTTATTTGTTTTTGATCAGTGTTTTTATATTTTTTTTTGGGGTGCTGAGTTTCTAGCTAAGCGCGGAATAACTCATAATTTTTTACAGGGTATATCAAAGTGCAGTTTCTGCGTGCAAATAATTATCTAACAATCAAATACATATATTACTAAATCTTATCTTACCAGAGAGTGGGTCGATGTGTAATCGTCAGCAGCGTGATTCCCATTTGCTTAGCAATCTCGTAAATGGAGCTCTCCACATCGATGGAAACGGCACTCGTACATTCGTCCAGCAGGGCATAGCGGGGTCTACAAACATGAATCGCAGAATATATAAAATACATATATATAATATATATAAGACACGCACTTGTGATAGAAGAGACGAGCGACGGCCATACGTTGTTTTTCACCGCCCGACAAAATATCCTTCCAATCGCGCACCACATTGAAGCCATCACTAAAAATAATATATATATAAAATATAATATGTGTAAAGAAATTATTAAGTAAATACATAAATATACAAGTAAATAATTGGAAATAGAATTAGAAATAGTTTATGTTGAAAAATAAGTAACATAGATAAATAGTAAATTTGTAAATATTTATTATATTTTTCATTTAAATTTTAATATTAAATTGTAATTACTTAATTATTTATTGTGTTGAATTTATTTGCTATTTGTAATTGACTTGAATTCACTTTAATAATTAAATTCACAATAAATAAATAAATAAGTAAACAAATAAATACATCAATTAATTAATTAATACACAAGTAAAAAATAAATAAATAAATACATAATACATAATACACACATAATTATAAATAGAATTAAATATAAAAAACAAACTAGTAAATATTTATTAATTATTTAACAATTATAAATTTACTTACCGCTGACCAATGTGCTCCAAGCAGACCATTTTGAGGATATCCATGAGTTCGTTGTCAGTGATATTCTTGCGTTTCATATCCTCGCGCGTATCGGGATATATGATCTGATCGCAGAGACTGCCGATGGACATATAGGGTCGTTGTGGTATATAAAACATGCACGGCTTGTTCTCAATCGGACGTGGTATGTGTAACTCCCCGGCATAGATCGGCCACAAGCCGCTCAAGATGCGGAACAGACTCGACTTGCCACATCCATTGGGACCGGTGATTAGCAGATGGACGCCTGGCTCGATGGTTAAAGACAAGCTTGGCACAACAATATCACAGTTGGGTGTCACCACGGGCACCGCGCGCAGACTAATCATATCGGACAACTGCCCCGCTACATCATCTGTGTAGATAATGCGACCTTTGGCAATTGGTCTGCCATCTCTGAACTCAATGATGCCATTTATCTCATCATTGTGCTCGACAACTGTAGCCTTGCTGTAGATTCCCTGGGCTGTCTCCTCGAGGACATCTAGCATGCCAGCCACACGATACGTGTATCCTGCGAGCGCGACAATCTCCTTGTACGAGGACATCAATCTCTCAATTGCATCTGCTGCAGAAATTAGCAAATTTCGCGCTGTTGTCAGATATTGAGTGCGTTCACTAACATTAGAATCGTTGCTGTTACTGTTACTGGTACTGCTGCTGTTAATGTTACTGTTTACAGCTGCGCCTGTTAAGATGGGCAGGGATACCATGACCATGCCGGTGCCAGACCACACATACTTCATGAAGAACTGCTCCAGCATTATAAACCACAATTTTTGACTGAATATTGAATTCATTTGGTTCACCAGACGATTGTAAGCCTGCCTCAGCTGCTGCAGCTCAACCTGATGCGGACAAGTAATTAGAAATAATTAAATATATAAATAAATAAAAAGGTTACATCAATAATTATTTAAATAAATATATAAATATTAATATATTTAATAAATAAAAAAAACACATACATAACTTACATAAATAAATATGTATATATATAAATAAATATGTATATATATAAATAAATAAATACATAATTTATTAAATAAATATATAAATACATAAATAAATAACTAAATAAATAAAAACATACATAATTTAACAAATATATAATCAAATAAATGATGTAGTTTTTTAGACTACTATCTTAAACTTGTCTACATCTAGAATAAATATATATATATACTTGTATATATATATATATATATTTATATACCTTGTGTCCGCCGTAGAAGGCGATCTCCTCGGCATTTGTAATGATGCGGGAGTGGATGTGTCGCAGGTAGCCGTAGCGATTCGCCTCCTCGGAGACCAGTTGTCCGAATTTGGGCGAAACAATCCGCAAGATGTGCGCCGTTAGTGCAATAACACTGACAGATAGGGCGGGGCCTGCGAGAGCGAGAAGCGAAAAACAATTATTGAAATAAGTAGGAGAGGGACAAGCACTGAGAGCAATAATTGCCTAGTAAAATGTTGGCCTTCATTTTTTGGGAGGACCGCATCAGAGCCAGGCCAATTAGCATCAGATCGAAACAGGGCTTTGTCAAACTGCTGTACAAATGGGCCACAGAGCTGGCAAAAACCGAAATGTCCTCGGTAAGTCTACAACAAATATAAATATTCAGGTAAATATATATATATATAGATAGATATATAGATATATATTCACCTGTGATCAGCGTTTTCAATTCGGCCATCTAAATTCGACACGCGATAGTAGTTTTGATTTTTGAAATACAAGCGATATGAATGACGCACCAGTCGTGTTCTAGGAATAATATATAAATAGTTATATAGAATAATATAATTAAATTAAATTAAATTCATATTAAACAGTTTACGAAGCACAGAAATGGAAAGCAAAAAAAACACTTAATTAAAATAATTAATTTAAGTTTTTTCGCCTTCACAAATAACTCAAATAAAGTCAAAACATATTCAAAGCCGATCTTATTGAAATTACTACAGGTGATCAATAATATATTGGTTATTATTATTATTATAAAGAGGCAGATATTTATAAGATAGAATAATCTTAATCTACGCTGGCTGTTCGAGAATTTATAAGTCAAATCTGAGATGCAATTTTTCTTGCAGATTTTTTGTCTGTAAGCCTTTGACACCCTGTATATGGTGGGGGGATCCCTTAATTACTTACCGAAATGCCAACGCCAACTTGCTCTCGAGGAAACGAATCATGGAATTGACAAAGGTCGCTGGTATGGCAATGCCAAACCATTTGAGCAGTACGAGTGCAAATTGTTTGACATCCTTGCGAACGATAAACTTCACGATGGCGCCCTCTAGCGCCGCCACATAGATGCTGAGAAAGGTGCGCGAAATCAGGCACAGGGTGTGCACGGTTAACAGCCCCGTTTCGTAGCAGAGCTTTTGCGGTATCATTATTTGGACGAGCATGCCGAGTTGCTTGAGAAATTCCCGATTCAAACCCGGTTCGAGCAATTTTTGATTTTTCGCTTGCTGTTCGACGAGCAACTTTTCCGCTTCAGCCAATTTTAGATCCTCATCGATTTCGGTTGGTGTGAGTGACCCGCCCCCACCTCCTTTATTGTCTCTCCTCCTCTTGCCATCTTCGTTCTTGCCGTCTTGTGCTGCATTTCGGAGGTAGGGAACAGTTACCTTAACGGTTAATGCAAAAAGAGCTGTTCCCACCAACGCATAGCTAAACGCCTGCATGGGCAATCCACACTGTTCATACTTTTCGGCAATGCGATCCACATACTTTGACAACACTGTCATATTTACATGCGTTCCACTTTTTTGTATTTGTGTATTAAATGTGTATTGTATTTAATAACAAATATGCATTTAAGTACAATCCTTCAGATTTCACACTGTAAGGAAACTAAAGAAAATAAAATAAAAAACTATTATTTATATGAAATTTCTATTTTATCTATAAATAAATATTATTAATCATTTAGTGATGGTGAATGGTATTTTTATTATTTATAAATTATTTGATATTATTATTTATTATTTATTTATATATGTATACTTATATTTGTGAAATGATTAATTCTATTATATAATTACAAATGGATATCGAACTAACCAAACAAAAAAAGAGCCGTCATTTAACTAGAACGGCCAAATACCAATTGACTGGGCCAAGTTAAAATTTAAGAGACCCGATCCAGAGCAGAACCAGAGTTGTTATGTAATCAAAGCGTACTTTCGAGCACCTAAATTGCTGTAAAGCAAAGTTCAATCGCTTAATCATTTAATCGACTTTACCTGCACTGCTCAACACATCGCGCGAAATAATGGTTTAATCAGTTAATACTCATATTTCTTTCCTAAACGCTACCAAAAATAACACACGCTATTTTGTATGATCAATTCGACAAAAGTCTCTTTGGTCACTAAGGGTTTTTTTGCCCAATACTAACGATAAGTGCTGAAAATTTGTAAATTAAGATTACCACAATCAATCGAATTGATAATGTGTACTTTTTTATTTTGGATTAGATTAGTTGCAAGCAACGCAGAAAAATAACTATAAAGAATATATTTTGCGCATTCTACGCTTATTTCCGGGTAAAAATTTAAATTAAAAATAAGAAATTGATGTATAAAAGATTAAGAATTTAGAATTAATTATATTCGTTATTTTATTTTTGTATTTTATTTATTCATTTTTAATTTCAAAAATTGCTATAAGAAAAAAATTCCAGAATTTATTATATATTTTTTATTTTAATTTAATAATATATATATATATGTATATATATATATATATATATATATATATATATATATATAAATATATGTGAATGTGAGTGTGATAAGGCCAGTGTAATTAAATCATCGATACAGAAAATAAACAAAGGCGCTTAGGAACAAAGAACACACTTTTTTCAGTGATTAGCCAACGGAAGTCGATTAAAATTGAGTTTAAGCCAAAATAAAGTAAAAATTGAACTTTGCAACTAGAAAACACAAATTGGTTAGTCGTTTAAGAATCAAGCACATCAGTTTTGTACTCTGTACGCAATTAATTAGATCTGAACAGGTTAACTTTCAAAATAATTGTTAAACATGTTTTTTTATTGCTTGTTGACTTTTGTAATAATTATTATTATAAATGTTCTCGCTTTGCTTTTTAATGTGAGCGCACAACTTACAGCTGTCAGCTTTTTGTCGTGCACGCACAGCTGATTGTTCTGCGCACATGCATATGTATTGTGAGTGGCGTTTTGCGTCTGTGTGTGTGTGTGTGTTGTGCTTTCTTGTGTGTTGGTGTTTGTTTTGCGCTTTGTTTTCACACGTTTTCTTCGTATTCCCTCGATTACAAAATACTTTATTGCGAAAAGCTGCTGACGAACAACATCGCGTCGTTTGTAGATAAAAATAAAGCCAAACTGATTTAATTGACAATTGCAGAATTAACGAAATCTATACAGCATATATACACGTAACTTAAAACAAAACAAGCAAACAATCAATAAAAATCTAGTTTACAATATTGTGGGCAACACAATAAAAAAAACACGACCGAACAACACGAGAGCTTAAAGCTTAATGTCTGCTGCTGCTGCTGCTGCTGCTGCTGCTGCTGCTGCTGCTGCTGCTGCTGCTGCTGCTGCTGCTGCTGCTGCTGCTGCTGCTGCTGCTGCTGCTGCTGCTGCTGCTGCTGCTGCTGCTGCTGCTGCTGCTGCTGCTGCTGCTGCTGCTGCTGCTACTACTACTACTACTACTACTACTACTACTACTACTACTACTACTACTACTACTACTACTACTACTACTACTACTAATCAATCATACACACGAATAAACATATGTGCGTATGTGTGTGTGTATTGATATGGAACATTTAATTTAAGTCCAATAAGCAACGTAAATAAAGAAGAAGCAGAAGCACGGAAAAATCGGTTAAATTTATATATTTATTTAGCATGACATATAAAGCCTTCAACCGGAATCAAAGCAACTTAACTAAATAAACATGTAGCTTGCATGTGTGTGTGTGTGATTATATATCTGACTTCCCCACTTAAAAATTGTGATTCACTGATTAGTTAGCTTTTGATACTGCAGCTGTAAAAATATAAATTTTTGAATTTATTTTATATATATATTGCACAAAGTAACCGGTATTTTTATATATATGTGTATGGAATATTTTTATAATTAATAAAAAAATATAAATATGCATATATGCATAACGTGGACCCGAGCGAAGCCGGCTATTTACTACATCAGGTGTTTGCCTTGCCAAATCGATACACACATACAGAAATTTATGTATAACGCATAACCGTAAATAACCGTTTAGCGCGGCTCGCAGCAGGCGGTGAAAGGAGATGGCGCTATGTTTGTTGCGTCCTTCGCAACCAATGCGTGATCAACCTTAGCGGGCTGATCGACCATGTTTGATGCAGCTAGATACTTATACTCACACTTTTACGTATACTTATATTTATACATACATGTATATTACTTAGCATTCAACTAGCAGTCCTCTATGGACAGTGATAAAACGGACTCTTCCGATGAGTTTTACGATGCCTGCTCGGAGCAGTTGGAGACGAGTCCTTTGGAAATGGACTTGAGTACTTCGCTGGAGGAGGCGCAACTTGCCATCAATTATTTCTTTGACAACAAGTTCGAGGAGGCTCGCAACCTGTTACGACCGTTTGCCAATTCGAGCCTCTATCACTCGATGGGAACCGCTGTCTTCGCATTCCTCGAAGCGGTTCTCACCTTTGAACACATCGACGAGGCCTCCGCGCACCTGAAGAAATGCATCGAACTCTGTCAGCGGTTCAGAAAAAAGAGCACATTAACGGAATACATTGGCAGCACTTTCAAAAAGGTATTTATATTTTAATATTTGCTAGAAATTGTTGACGTTCTAATAATAATAATAATAATAATAGATAACAATTTAAAGTTACAAATTAAATGATATTAAAAGTAAATAATTAAATTTTAATAACAATAATAAATATAAATTAAAATATATGAAATGGTATAAAATTTATAAATAAACAATGAGAAAAAGAATAGAATAACAATAATAAATGATATGTTATAAAATGAATAAGTTAATAATAAATGAACAATAGATAAATGCTAATATAATAATAATAAAAACAATAGAATATTAATAATAAATGTATCGATACTTGCAGAAAAACTTCAATCTACTCACCGATCTGGAATGCCATGCAGAACTCTGTTTGGCGGAGGCACTTTTGCTGAGCGCCTTGTTGACCTTCATCGAGGACGAGAATCTCAGCGGGCTGATCCGAGGCAGCCTCCAAGTGCGGCAGTGCTTCAATTGTTACAGGTAGCGAGAGAGACTAGGAAACTTGGTTGGTCCAGCTTAATATTATTAGTGTCTATTACAGACTCTGCGCCCAGATAATGAAGCATCGCAAATGGGAGGCGAGTTCCGCCGGGCTGAGGAACCATTTTAATAGCGGAGTCCACATGGGCATTGGAACTTTTAACCTGATGATATCCATGTTGCCCGTGCGCATCACTAAACTGCTGCAGTTCATTGGTTTCTCCTCGAATAGGGTGAGTAATTACTTTGTAATTAAATTGTAATCAATGCTCGAATTAGGTTTCGAATTACATATGAATTAACTAGCAATGTAACTAGTAAATGCGTGGTAGTTACTAAATAATTAAATGGTAATTAATCATCGAATTGGCTGAATAATTACATTGTGATTACTGAGTATTCAAATAGTATAAACTCACGAAAATAATCTCACCCAACACCACCGCAGCTTAATGGCCTTAATGATTTGCGTGCTGGTCACCAGGAGAACGGTCTACGTCAGATACTGTGCGTATTATCCCTGCTCGGCTATCATCTGATGGTCGTGCCTATGCTTTGCAATCGTCAATCGCCAAGTGATCTCAAGCAGTGCGATGAGATGTTAAGTGCACAGCTTACCAAATATCCGAATGGTGTCTGGATGCTCTTCTTCAAGGGACGCATTGAGCTGTGCAAGGGCAATCTGCGAGCAGCGGAGTCGTGGTACATCAGATCATGGAAATCTCAGGATGCCTGGCCACAATTCCATTACCTCAGCTACTGGGAACTGCTCTGGCTTAGCTGCATGCAACGGAACTGGGCCAATGCTCAGTTCTATGCCACCCAGTTGCTGGAGCAGAGCAACTGGTCAAGGGCCATCTACGCCTATCAATTGGCCGTCATCAAGCTAATGATGGGAACAGAGGAGCACCTGCGCAGCATAGATGCCCTGATGTTGGAGGTGCCAGCAAGCAGGCAACGCATCGCTGGCAAATCGCTGCCCATGGAGAAGTTTATGGCGAAGCGAGCCGAGCGCTATCAGAGCCAAAATCGGAGACTCGTCCTGCCCCTAATCGAACTGCTATATTTGTGGAACATGTTCAAGTTCCTCGACAAGGATTATCATCTGGCTGATGGCATCCTCCAAATTATTGATAAGGAATTGATCGATTTAACTCGATTTAGCCACGAATCAGTTCATAATCCTTACCATGCCGATAATCGGGCTTTGTGTTTGCTGCTGCGTGGGGCTTGCTATGTTCAAATGGGCAAATCCAGCATGGCTTTGCAGTGAGTATATATACATATATATACTTATACATTCACATATTTACAGTTGTGGCAAAAATAATAGCAACAGCACAGCTTTAGTTTTGCATTTTATTTTAATGTTAATTTTAAATATTTAGTTGAAAATTATAGCAATTTTAATTTGTATATTTTAATATTTATTTAAAGTTAATACTGCTCTAGCAATTCTTTTCAAATTATATGAATAATATCTCCGACATTTCTTCGTAAACCAAAAAAAAATCAAAACAAACCTGCCTTTTTCATTTAAATTACATTTAATTTCTGTTGCTATTATTTTGCCCACCACTATATATACCCTGTAATTAATATAGCACTTCTTTCAGGGACTTCCGTGAGTGCATTGCCCAAGTGGACATTGTAGAGGATCAGTTTATTATACCCTATGCCTGTGTGGAAGCTGCCCTTTGCCACGCCTCCGATAATCCAAGTTTGGCCATAGCCATGCTGCAGGACACCAAGTAAGTCAATCAATCAGTCAATCCCTCAATCAATCACATTACTTTTTTTCTTTCTGCCCTTTTTAGAAAAAAGTATTCGAAATATGCTTTGGAATCTCGTCTTCATTTTCGAATACATGCGGCTTTAATGGGTCTTAATGGCAATTTTGGTTAACAAACAGTTGTCGACAAATTCAATCGATTGTCTGTTTTATTTCTTTTGTTTATTTTTTGGTTGTGGTTTCCAAGCAATCGCACTTATCGATAACAATAAAATTAAGCAAGTTTCGTATTTATTTTTTTTTAAATTTAGTAATTTAGTCATTTTATTATAAGAGTAATTGTGTTTCATATACATGCGCAGTTATACAATTAATATGTATACATAATTCTCTTCATCTTTTTATTTTGTTTTATAATGATAAGGGGAATTCCTTTTTGCTTTTTATTATTTTCATAATTATCGTATATGGTAAAAAGGTTTTGTGTTTATATTTATATATATATATATATATATATATATATATATATATAAATATGTGTGTAGTGCGCATATTTGAATCAATAATATATTATAATTTAATTTAATTTGCTTATGTTTTTTTCAGCTTTTTCCATTTTCTGCATTAGTAGAAATGTTTCGTAAATCGATGATACCTAAATCATTCTTAAAAGCCCTATATAATTGTTAAATCTATGAATATATATATTTATATATACGTTTGTAATCGATTTAATTTTACATTAAAAATGCAAAAAGCCTTATCTAATCAGTACTATTTACGCATTAAGAATTTTAACATTATGTGATTTTTGTATACACTATTTTTTTCAAAAGCAATTGTTTTTTTTTAAATTTAATTCTATACATTTTATTCATTTTTTAAAGCTGCATTTCTTTTCGTGCAGTGTATTCGTGTTTGAGTTATTTTACAGTTATATATTTTTTATAGCAATTTGTTTTTTTTTTGTTCTTGATTTAAAGTTGAAATGGACGCTTTGAAGCCAGACGGTTTTCAACTTTTTTTTTTTTTTTTTTTGAGTTTAAGACTTAAATATTTATTTTTAAACATTTAACGTTTTTATTCGTTCTTTTTTTAGTTATTAAATTCTAAAAATTGTGGGGCGCAAAATGGCAACTAAGCTTTTAACAGATTAAAAGGTGAAATTGTGAAGAAAAATTTTAAGAAAAGATTAACAAAAACTGTACAAAAAATAAAATAATAGTTTTTTCGCTTTTGAAATAATTTTAAAATGCATATGCAAATGTGGCATTATTATTATTAATTTCTTTTTCTTTGCTGTATCTAAACTTTTTTAATATATATATATTTATGTGTGTGTGTATATGCATATGTATTATATATAAAAAGAAATAAACCTTGTGTATGTGTTTACAGAGAATACTGCTTACAATTAACAGTTACTCGTAATTTATGCATGTTAAGTAACAGCTACACATACATAAATGTTTATGTCCCCTTCGCTGTGTGTGCGAGAAAGCTGCCAAAAACTGTTATAAGCTAAAGTTCTGCATATCTCTGTGTGTGTGTAATTTAAACTAAGTAATAATATATATGTATGTGTGTCTTTGTACTCAATTTGCGCCATTTTGCAAACCTTATTACAATATATACAAATATATAGATATATAATTATATATATATGTTAATAATAAATATTCGAGTTTGGAATACTACAATTTTCTGCTGCTTCTTTTTTTACATAGTGTATGTGTGTGTGAATGTGTATATGAATTTTGTTTATATATATATATATGTATATCACAAGTTTGAAGAGAGTAGAAAGTGGCGAATTAACTACAAAGAATTGTATGTGTGTGTGTGTGTATGTGTGTGGCAACAGCTTGCGACGGCAAATTTGAAATATATATATATTTGTAGCTGGCTTAGCAATCGATGCCGTTAATATTATTGCTGCAAATTTGCGTTAAGGCATTACGACTTTGTTGCTGCTGCTGCTTCTTATTATGAATATCAGCAATGGCGGCGACTGCTCCTTTTGCGCATAAGCTTGCTCCCTTTGCATTCGCTGCTGCCTTTGCGTTTGAGCTTGCTCCTTTTGCGCATGAGCTTAGTGCTCCTTTTGCGTTGGATGCTTCTTGTGCGTTAGAGCTTGCCGCTCCAGCTGCTGGAACCGTTGTTGCCGTTAATCGCTGCTGGAGGGTGCTTGCTGCTGTCTGCTCCGTTTGCTGTTGAAACTTGGCCAATTTCTGCTTATTTTGCATATGACAAACATTATTTGTTAAACTACAATTGTTATCGAAATGCTCCGAACTATTAATTAAATTTGTGCACTCCACATTGCAGCCGCCAATCATTAAATCGTCGTCTTCCTCTTCTTCATCTTCTGCTTCTCCATCTTCTTCTGCTCCATCTTCCTCCTCCTCCTCCTCCTCCTCTTCTTCATCCGCTTCGGAATTGCGTTGATTATTGTATTGTTGTTGTTGTTTTTGCTGCTGTAATTGTTGCTGTTTGTTAACCAACACTGTTTGATCTCTTTCAGTGTTGTTCAGCTCGTAATCAGCGCGATTTATGAAATTTGCCGGATTTTGTTGTCTCCGTTGTTGATAATAATGCGTTCTTTCCGCATGCGCCAAAGTTTGAGCACCATTTAAACGCTGTCCTCGATTGGCCGCAATTGGAGCCGCAGTTGCAGCCATAATCTGAGCTGTTGTAGAACCGTTGACTATGTTGCTCAACGTGCCACTTTTCCGTACGCCACCATTATTATAATGATTACCTCCCCTTTCGTAGGAATTATAGCCCGGATAACGCAAGCCCGCCGTAGAAGTTGAGCCGCAAGAATTCGTCGTTGAATTCGAGCTGCGACGTTCTGGGTCCAGTTCCGGCTTGCGGCACTTTTGCAACTTGTGTACAGTTCCGGCCACGACTCCGGCATTTTCTACGGCTCGCTCCTCTTTGAATACGGGTCGCTCAAAATTGTTGAATTCATAACAGGAATTTGGTTCGTGCAACGGTTCCGAGTAGCAACTATCGCTTTGCAGTAGCAACATTTGTTGCTGTGACGAACCGGAATTCGAACCGGAACCCGAACCGGACCCGGAATTCGAGGCGGAAGCCGATGCGGACGCGGAACCGGAACTGGCGAGCTTTTGTAGTGTCGTTACTGTTGTTGTTGTGGCACGCAAATCAAAATTCGGATTCTCATAGTGATCAACGGTGCCGTCCGTCAAATAATCACTGCCCAAATACGCCGTAGTCGCTGGCCGCAGCTGATGATGATGATGATTATAGCGTGCGCTGTTATACTCCTGATTGTGGCTGTGATTTCGCATGGAGCCCGTGTCGTACGGCCGCTGATACATAGGCTCTGGCTGCATCTGATAATCCGTAATGATTCCGCCCGGAATGGGATTTGTTGCACCGGCTGCTCCACCGACTGTTGTTGCTCCGGCTGGTGTAAGCGAATTTAATGCATAGCTATCATCGTAGATCAATTTACCCGTACGCATTGTATACGTGTGCAAATTTGTGTTCGCATTGCATACGGCTGGATAATCCGTGTCAAATTGCTCCTGACTCGAACTCGACGTGCAGGGCAGAAAAAAATTGGCCACATTCGAATGCTGAGAATGTTGTGGATGCTGTGATGGATGCTGTTGCTGATTATGCTTCTCTCGTTCCGACAGACCCAAATTATTTGTGGCACGCGCATCGCCGTTTAAGGCAATCCCGCCCGGATTATTGCCCGGATTGTTGCCAACGCTAGTTTTGAGACCCGTAACCCAAGAAATTAGCGTAATAATTGCAATTTCGATGAGACGCAAGGAGAATTGATAGCCCCATTGGAGCCAATCCAAGTCGGAGGCTTGATTTAGGATCAAAGGACGCGTTGTTGAAATGCAAATAGCGCCAAATATTTGCAGGGTTGCCAACAGCACAAAAAGTAAAGCGCTGGCAATCGTTATGTGAATGGCATAGGAAAGATTTTGATAACCATGAATATAATTCTGAGATTTACTCTTCAGAATGCGCTTGAGTATACGATAAAGATATAGATAAAGCAGGCCCAGGCTGAGGCAGATAAATATGTAGATAATCTGACAGATGAGGGAGAGTACACGGGGGGGAGGTGCCGGATTAGCGGCGGGCAATTGTTGCTGTTGCAGCTGTTGCTGCTGCTGCAGTTGCAAGTGCAAATGTTGCTGTTGCAGCTGCAATTGTTGCTGGCGACGTAGAAATTGCTGTTGCTGCTGCTGCTGAAAGTACATGTGATGATTGTGCAACGTATACGACTCGACATAGTGCAACGTGATGCACAAAACCAAATGGACGCCGCAGCCAACGACAACTGTCAAGGGACGCACCAGCGCCGAATATCGATTATTTTTATGATTCAGCGATTTTAGAAACAAAAACAATATTAAAACAGCAAAAGCAACCGTCAGCAAAGTCGCCGGCAAATTGAGTAAAAGTTCCCCGGCGAAAATAGGGAATGTGCTGTGAATATTATATGCATCGACGCACAAATAAATAATGCGCATCACACAGATCGCAATTAGAATCAGATGGATATATACGAAATAAGATTGCGCAAATAGATGCGTCAATTTGTTGAACGTGACCAATTTGTAGAGTGAATAAACGGCCAGGATGGTAAAAAGGACAACGGACAGATAAATGTGTATATTCCAAGCCCAAGTCCAGGTGGCATGTGAGACATTTAAAATGTTGCCACCAGTTCTTTCCACATTTGGTGGCAAGTTGGGCTTAACACTTGATGTGAAACTTGTGGCAGCTGCCTCACCAATTGCTGCTGCTGCTGCCGCCGGAGTCGTTGTTGTTGATGATGTTGATGTTGTGGTTGTCGTTGAGGATAGATTATTATTTGTGGCAGCCTCCAACTGTTGCCGGCTCTTATTAATATTTGGACTGGAAGATTCCGCACTATTATTATTATTATTGTTATTGTTGCCACTGCCAGTGTTGCCAGCTGCATTATTATTGCCACTGTCATTCGCTTGTGTTGCCACTGCCACAATTGGCGCTGCCGGCGCCTGTGCATAATTATTGGGCTTTTGCGTCACTTGCCTCAACAATACGGCGGGTATATCGCCCTTTTTGCCATTAGAACCCAAAATACGGCGTATATTTGGCAACACTTCCTGTCGCTTGTTTGCCTCCTTGTTGCTCGCCTCCATCGACAACTTTTGCTCATTGTTATTATTATTATTACTAGTATCTCTTTCGCTGGCCTCCATTGTGGTGGCCTCATTGCGCGAAGGCGTATTTAGCGCTTTTTTACGTTCCACGGGCTTTTTGGCCTCCAAATAGGTCTCATTTAAGCCAGCATTGGTATTAATTCCTGACTCCGCCGTATTTCCTATGGAAGCCGCCAAGTCCGGCGGTCTAAACGGAATCCTTTCGTGCCCGGGCATTAGACTTGGCGGCGGTATCGGTCTACGATTACTAAATGCCACAGTATTCGATATAATGCCCTCATTATTCGTGCCACGCAATGTGGGCTTATCCGCGAATGGATTTTGATATTCCGGCGGCAAGGGTGGCGTAAAAAAAGATCTCGATGGCGGCGAATAGGAGGGTATATCACCCGGATACATGGGAATCGTTGGCTGTCCATTGGATTTCTTCAACAAGTTGGGTACTATTCAAAAGAAGATATATTTAAAAAGTGAATTAGTTGTTATCGATAATAGTTACTTGAGGGCATTGGCGTTGAATTATATTGCAGCATTGTGTGCCGTTGACGTTCCCTGTCCCTTTCTCGCTCGCGCTCTCGGTCGCGTTCGTGACTGCTGCTGCTGTGATGACGATTTGGATTCGGATACGTTGGATTATTGTTGCTCTTGAGTATGTCGGCGTTGGGAGCTGAGGTGGGCAACGCATGATCTCGCTCCAAGTCCAGCTCGTAGGTGCGATGGCGCCCAGCGTTGTGTTGCGGCTGATGCGCCGATTGGTATCTAAATATATTATATATGTATATCAATTTGGGGGTTCTACCTGTGAAATTTTTGCTTTTTGTGTTATCGATAGGTGTCGGTAATCGGAAAGTGTGGGATTTCTTTAGTTTATAGATAAAGAATAAGTGCAGGTATATAAATTTAATTGGGAGGCTCTAGCTTTAAAATGGTGGCATTTAGTATTATCGATAAATTTCAAAAATCGTACAACAGAGATAATTGTGACAGTTTACAGCTCGATAGTAAGTCTAGGTATTTAATATATCAATTGAAATTCTATATATTTCAAATTGTGGATTTTCGTGTTATCGAAATGTATCGAAAGTCGCAAATCTATATTAGTATACCTATTCTTAGCTATATTTTAAATAGGTGCTGTCCAAAGTTGCGCTTCTGCTTACCTGAGTGTGGTTAAGAGTGGCGTTGCTACCGTAGTCAGACCGAGAATATAACTGTTATCGGGTATGCTCCGTTTGGTCGTTGAAGTGGTGCCATAGGCAACCTTGATGAGGACAGCAGCCACACTGCGCTCCAAATTGTCTAGTTTATCCAGATAACCGCTGCTTGCCGAGCTGCCACAGATGATGATGATGAGGAGGAGGAGCTGCTGCCAATCAAACCTGTTGTCGCATTTGCTGCCTTGATAATTGCCCCATTTCGATAACCCGTATTGTTTAGGGCACTACCCGGAGCATCTACTACTACTCCAACTCCATCCTGCTCCTGCATGAGTATCGCTTGCGTTGAGCAATTGAGGCACAACAATAATGTGAAGAGTACTCCAAGCAACATATTATAATTTGCACGATTTCTCTGCTGGTAGTGCCAATTTCTAAAGAGCATTTTATCTCGATTGGTTTCGTATTTATAGCATTGTTTTAATACTGTTTGAACTGTTGATTTTGTTGTAGGTTTCTTTAGAGCATTTACTCCTCGATCCGGGTCGAGATCGTGATCGGGATTGAAATTGCTGCTGCTTCGAATACATTTTAAAATACTGTCTGCAAAAAAATAAAACTGTATTAACCGATTTTGGTCTATAGAAATGGAAGTTACATTATTATATTTTATCAATTTATTTATTACATATTTTGTCTATTTTATATATTTTGTATATTAATTGATTTACCGTGTATATTTTGTTTAATCAGTCTACTTTATTTTGTATATTTTATATATTTGATATATTTTGTCTATTTTATGTATATCTCTAATGCTTTTGTTTTCAGTTTCTTATAACTATACTACATTTTCACTGTTTATATTATTAAAACCTTTCACTTACCTTGCTTTTTAAAAGTTGTTATTTCTGGTTCGGCATTGCGAAATTTAACTTTAATGCGGCGATTTATTGTAGACATAATGTTTACTTATTATTAGTGTATTTTTATTAATCCGATTGTTTAGTTAGTTATATATGACAAACTGACAGCTAACAATCCAATATTATTTGGACGTCATTGAAGGCGTTATTATTACCTGTTAAAAAAAGAAAGAAAAAACATTATAGAGAAAGTAATTTTAAGTGAAAAAGCAAAAAACATGAAAAATTTAATATATTTGCCTTGTAGATATTTAAATTTAACTTAATAAAAACAAATAAACTAACAATATAATAAATTAATGTAAATAGTGTAAATATTATTGCTTATGTGTAAAAAAAATATTTATTGATACTACTTAATTTTGATCAATTGATCGGCTGTCAAATTTTGAATTTTAATATTATTCTTATTTTTATATATTTAAATTTTATATTTTAAATTTAAACTTTCTGTTTTGTTGTTGTAATTTTTGATGGTATATAATAAATAAAAGCAAGTGTTGGATAATAGTGTAATTATTATTATGAGCATTTGTGTAATGTAAATATTTATCGATAATATTTGAGTTTTCAGCACTTGATCTATTGGCGGCTGGAAATTTTTTTGTTTTATGGCTTCTTGTTCTTCTGTTGGCACTCTGCTGCTGCAAGCAATAACGAATATCGAATATCGCACATCAAATATTTGTCATTGGCGAGTGCATTTCAAGTTGCGCAATATGCGACCTATACAATACTCCTTTATATGTATATATATATATATTAGATATTTAAAAACAAATGTGTATAATTGATTATATATGTATATGTGTAAATTGAGCATAAATCACACACACATACATGTACACGTAGAAAGCTCCATAAACAATTGCAGTACATGCACACACATACATACCATACGCCTACACTTGTAATATTTACTTCACATCCCTATTCGTTAAATATTCTTGCATTGCTTGCAAATGCAAATATTATTAATTATTTATTTATTTTTACACACAAATTTTTCGGGAATTTGGTGCATATACATGTATATATTTTTTTTATATACACACGCATACGTACATATGTATACCTACGTCAAACAAGTTTCTACACATACATACATCACACACACACACATATGCATGTATGCAGCAGCAGCAGCATTTTTTGGGGCTGGTTTGCATTTGATGTACATATGTTTATATGTATTTAACTGCTTGCATACGTCTCAATTACGTTTATATGCACACACACACTTTTAAACTTTATAAATATTACATTTTATTGCATTAATTACACAAAGAAAACGCGTTTTTTTTTATTTTTTGTATTATGTGTTTCTCAAAATTTTTCTCTTTTACACAAAATGGCGTAGCCATCAGAGATGAACGAAAACATCGACAGATCGACGTATCGATTTTTTTCTGCTCTTGCGGCTTGCTGCTCTTTTTTTCTCGCTGTGCGTTCGATATATCGATAGATGGGTATAAATGAACTAGTGACTGCTGTGACGATAGATTTGTAAGCGTACTCAGTAAGTGATTAATCGCTGCATTTACTTCAATTTATTAAGAATGCATATAAACTGATTATAATTATATATTAAACGTTAGTTTTGTGCAATTACTATGCAAGTTATTAGGCTTCAACTTTTTTATTTATATATTTATTATAAATATTAATATGTATTTTACTGAGTAAATTGTAATCGACTATTTTTAATAATTTAAATCTGTATTTTACACCCACTTGCAAGCAAGTTAATAATTATCGCCGTTAATATCGATAGTCGCAGGCATCGATACCAAATGCACAGCCATAAAGAGAACTATAAAGAGAATACACAAAGAAAAAAAGAATCAAAAGTATTTTTATGCTCGCATTGGTCAAACAATAAAAAGCAATTAAATAAGCATATTATTACTGAAAAATGGATACATTTGATGTATCAGACAGAAGCAGGTAAATAAACACCGGAGGCATAATGGATATTTAGCATAAATGTGGTGTGGGTGTTTGTGTGTGTGTGCAGATTATTATTCAAGTGCATTTGGAATACACACACACATACAAAACCAGGCAGTTGACTTGTTGAAAGCATAATACAAATCTATATATGCGTATGTATTTAATTTGCAGTTGGTACTTTGGCTCCATGTCCCGACAAGATGCAACGGAGATCTTAATGAATGAAAGAGAACGTGGTGTTTTTTTAGTGCGCGATAGCAACTCAATCGAAGGCGACTACGTGCTCTGCGTGAGGTAAAAACATACATAAATCAAAAACAATACACATATAAATTTAATATTCATATTTGTTTATTTTTAATTTGCAGAGAGGACACCAAAGTGAGCAATTATATTATTAACAAGGTGCAGCAGCAGGAACAAATTGTTTATCGCATCGGGGATCAATCATTTGAGAATTTACCTAAATTGTTAACATTTTACACACTCCACTATTTGGATACGACGCCATTAAAGCGTCCAGCTCAGAAGAAAGTCGAAAAAGTCATTGGCAAATTTGATTTTTTGGGCAGCGTATGTTCAAATGAATATTTAATTTAATTGTTTTTTATTAATAGCTGTCTTTTTATTTAGGATCAGGATGATTTGCCTTTTCAGCGAGGAGAAATTTTAACCGTTATACGCAAGGATGAGGATCAGTGGTGGACAGCACGCAATTCCACCGGTTTGATTGGTCAGATTCCAGTGCCGTATGTGCAGCGTGTAAGTAGTGGTGAACAATGATCGAACGAATAAACCAAATGAACAAACAACGCAAGTGAACGAACGAACAAAGTCAACGAGCAGTCTAGCTGGTCACGAAAGTTTGATGAATGAGCAGACCAACTGGTCATGCAAGTTTGACGAACACAAGCCAAACTGATCATGAAAGTTTGACGATTTCGTGCCGCCTCTTTTCATCCCTTTTTGGTTTTACAGTATGATGACTCGTTGGATGAAGATGGCATTGAACAGACGTCGGCGGCTGGTTTAAATATCAGCGCTTGCATTGCACGTTCCAACATTTCCAGTGGTAGCAATGCGGAACCAGCTTTCGTAACAACAACCAGCCAATTTAGCAGCCTCAAGAGGACCGATTTAAATGTGCGCAAGGTTTAAAATAATATGACATTAATATTTACATATAATTTTCTACTTTTATATTTATATTTACCAACGGTGTTTTTTCTCTTCCTTTCCAGCGCAAGCTTCCAGCGCGTGCTCGTGTCAAACAATCGCGTGTGCCGAATGCATACGACAAGACTGCATTGAAACTAGAGGTGGGCGACATTATCAAGGTGACGAAAACGAATATCAATGGTCAATGGGAGGGGGAGCTGAATGGAAGGAAAGGCCATTTTCCATTTACGCATGTGGAATTTGTTGACGATTGTGATTTAGGCAATAATTGTTTAAGCAATGATTGGACGGAATCACAATAATTATTCATTTCATTTCTTCTTTGACAATTCTAATTTATGTATTTTTAATTTTAAGTGTGTCAAGCGAGAGGATGTATTAAAAATGTATCGATTAAGCGTGGTGTTTACCAATTGTTAAAATATATATATTAAAAACACATATTGATCAATCATATTGAATTCATTCTTGTTTTAATTACATTTCTAATTAAGATTAAGAGCGCTTTTGTGGTCATTTTATTAACGCTAGATAGGAGAGTGCGGCACAGGGTGCATTGGGTGTTTTGGCTTTAAAGTGTGGCTGTATGCGTGCAAATTAAAGGATGCATGCTTAAATCATTATTTATAAATAACAAAGTTATAAAATGGGAAAGAAGTTTTAACAATAATATATTAAAAAGTTAATTTATTTCATTGCAATTATTTTTATATATTATTTATTTAATGTTAGCTAAAGCCCGTCGACAAAAAATATATTAAATTAAATAAAGTTGATATATAAAAAATATATATTTATAAGATTTTGAAGTATTTAACAGCATTTTTTAAGGTATTTATGGTCTCTGCACAAACCGTCACACTGCATTTAGTCATAACAAAGTAAATATGCAGGAAGCAAGAAGTATTTATCCTCCCACCAATGCGGATTCCTACTCAAATTTGGTAACTATTTAATGTGCAACTTAAATAAGTAATACAATTACATTTAATTGTGCACACAAATTAAATGCCAAAATGTAAAACATTAATTGAGCTCGCCAGTGCTGATAAACGTGCGTCGTTTGTTCTTTGACAGGTTGGCTTTGTTTTCATATTCAATTTGATTGTTGGAACGGGCGCGTTAACGCTGCCCGCTGCCTTCGCTAAGGCTGGTTGGTGTCTGAGTCTGTTGTTGCTGCTGCTGCTCGCCGTTATTAGCTATATAACGGTGACATATGTCATTGAGGCGATGGCCTGTGCAAATGCCATCAAAAGTTGGCAGAATTTGCAAGCGCTGCGACACAGGCGATATTCATCGGAATCGCAGGAAGAACAACAGTTTGCCAACACTGACAGTGAAACGGTGCCGTTGACAATACAACAACAGAGTGGTGAATTTCATTATTATCAGCTCACGCACAAATTTGAGTTGGGCGAAATGGCAACAATGTTTTTCAATGATTTTGGACGGATTTTATTCTATTTGTGCTTCATTATCTATTTGTATGGCGATTTGACAATCTATTCGGCAGCAGTGACGAGAAGTTTACGCGATGTTATCTGGTAAATTGTGCAATTAAACTAATTAAGAAATAACAAAAATGAAAAAGTTATGTTGCTGATAAAAATAACCGTTAGTAGTTGTGCTCACTATGCAAAGTGCGCTCAATATGCTGCGCTATATACGGTGCGGTTGAGAGCAATTTTTAAACGGCAATCAATTGGTGCAAGCAGTTATCGATAAGTGCGCGCTATTTTAATTTGAAAGCAAAAAACAAAAAATAAAAAGAATCCTAATTTATTGTAACAAATTAAAGTAAGTAGTTAACTATATAAAATCACAATAATGCTTTATATATTAATATTATTTATATTAATATTTATTAAGGGAAGCAGATATCGATAAAAGCCTGTCCGGTTTAAATTTGAAAGTGGGAAAATCAAAAACTGTTACGAAAAACAAAAAATGAATGGAAAATTAGGGAAATTTAAATGTAAAGAACTATAATAAGCAGTAAACTATATGTAATATATATATAATATATTAATAATCGTATTTATTTATTTACTTGCAGCGATTACGGGCACAAAAATATTTCAATTTTGTCAACTTTGGAGACGCGTTCGATATATTTGCCTGGAGATTTTGAGAGTAATAACAATCGTGCCTGTTGGCCACAGTCAGAAACAACAATATCGCGGAAAATGATTTACAGACTGATATTAATGGGTTTTACGCTGATTTTTGGACCGCTCGTCTTTTGTGGCATACAAAAAACCAAATATTTGCAAATATTGACGGCAATTTGTCGCTGGTTGGGTGAGTTTTGAATGAAGTAAATAATATTAATCATAAATATTTAGTTATATATTTTGCTATGAATTTACAGCCTTTGCACTGATGATTTGCATAACAATTAAAATGCTGGCGACGGATGGAAAACGCGGTCATCCAAATGCCGCAAATATTTATGCAATTCCTGCATTATTCGGGGCCTGCGTTTATTCCTTTATGTGTCATCATTCGCTGCCCGGTTTATTGGCCCCGTTGCGCTCCAAATGCTCCGTATCGAGCATATTATCCATCGATTATATAGTCATTTGTGCATTTTATTTAATCTTGGCATTAACTGGCATTTTTGCCTTTGAGCACGTTCAGGATTTGTACACCTTAAATTTCTTACCGGATCAGTTCGATGACGATGGCTGGTTATCGCAGCTGCTCATTGTTATCGATTACTTTTTATCGCTATTTCCAGTATTTACCTTGTCCACCAGTTATCCTTTGATTGCGATAACACTTAAGAATAATTTGCAAACCTTATTTTTGGACATGTCTCGCTTGGAATCTTATAATTCTTTTGTTTGCTTTTTATTGCCGCTTTTAGCCATTTTACCGCCGTTTTGTGTGGCTTTTTTCACCGAAAATTTATCGAATTTGGTTGCGTTTACGGGCAGTTATGCTGGCGTTGGGATTCAGTATGTAATTCCCGTATTTTTGGTTTATTACTCGAGACGTACGTGCTCCGAATTATTGGGTAGCGGTATTCCCAATCATTTTCGCAGCTCATTTCGCTCCAATTTTTGGCTGGTTTTGGTTTTAAGCTGGTCGGGTTTATCTATGCTTTTAGTTACCATTAATTTGTGCACTTGAACCAGTGATAAAGGATTTTTAAACATGGGCTGTGAAATTCCGGATTATAAATTACATTTCAAATAAAAACGTACAATATTTAATCAAAGTTTAAAAGATTCTTTACATATTACAACTGTAAGTAATTTGTTCCATTTCAGAATATGTATTGGGAGACAAAGAGAAAAAGTTTTGCAACACTTTTGCCGCGTGGCATGCCGTTAGTGAACACTGTCATGCTCAATTCAAGCTCAACATCCTGTGGTCCTTCCAAGGCGCGCTTTAAAACCAAATCCACTTGATTTTTTGTCTTCAAAGTGCTGTAAAATGAATATAGATATCGATAAACATCGATTATATATCGGTGGCGAAATTTGAAGACTTACTTAAAGTAAGCCACTGTTGCCCTTTCCACATTGCCTGCCGCTTGAACTCGAGCTACTTTTAGATCGAAATCTATATCATCATACCAAATAGGTCCACGGAGAGTAAAAATTGTACGTCCCTCGGGGGGTATCATTAATTTCGATACGAAAGTAATGAAATTATAGGTAAGTGCCGAGGGTTTCGTATAACACTCTTCGCCCTCGCAAAAGTTGCTCTTCTGCCTGCAGCGACTGTAATTAAATACAGATATATTAATATATATTTAAATATTATTATTTTAATATATATTTAAACATTATTATCAGTCAACTTACTTCTTTTGATCGGGATCGTTGATATAGCCAAGGGGACAATTGATAGTGGTGCATTTGTAGCTGCCACGTACATTTGTGCAAATGTCGGTCTGGAAAATATAAGGTATTGTTATCGCTTATCGATTAATTGTTAATTTGAAATGTAATACAAATAGTATTTAAATAATATAAGTAGAAAATATAAATAAATCTATGCAATGCTTTAAATTAGATTATATTTAAATAAAAATAAGTTAAGAAAATAATACCAAATGAATAGTAATTAAATATATATTTTAAGTAAAAAGTGGTACAAAAGAATAAATGCAATGAATTTTTTAAATAAATAAATAATTCTATGAAATCCGATATCTAAGTACTCTCACAAAGTACTCTAAAACGCACAACTCAAAGCCATTGCACTTTTGCTGAACGACATATCTATGGCGCACACAGCGATATATTGCAAGTGCCAAAATGAGTAAAACAATAATATCGATCGTATATATATATATACCGCCCAATTACTCACCCTGCCCGTGCACACATGGTGCTGACTACTCGTTTCGCATTCATCGATATCACGACAGGTTTTCTGATCGGCATTCAAAGTGTAGCCGCGGGGACACGAACACTGATACGATCCAGCCGTGTTAATGCAAAAGCTGAAATTTAATAGTGAACAAGATTAACTACGAACAGTTAACAGTAAGCAGCTGTCAAATATTTACCCCATGCACAATTTGTAATCGAAATTCTTGTGCATTTCGCATTCATCGACATCGTTGCAGGTGCGATTATCGGAGCTCAGCTCGTAGCCAGGATTGCAGGCGCAGCGATAACCGCCCCAGAAATTGATGCACTTCTGTTGACACAAACCGGGTATTGATTGGCACTCATCGACATCGAAGCACTGCGAATGATTTGGCCAACTATCGGCTTGATGCCCATGATGCGCCTTCTTTTGAAAGCCCGTCTTGCACTCACAATAATACGAACCGATTGTATTGTAGCAATTTGCATTCGATGAACACACCGCCTGACTATGGTCACACTCATCGATATCCGCACAGCTGTTGGTCCCATCGGGCTGACGCGACACCTGGTGACCGGCGGGACAGGCACAAATGTAACCACCATGACGATTCTGGCACAACTGATTGTCTCCACAGCTATGATCGCCCGTCTCGCACTCGTCAATGTCTGCTTGGTGAGAGAGTATGCGAGAGTTGAGCATGCTTGCATAGCTGTGTATGTATTTGTGTGTGTTTCTATACTCACCAATGCAAGTGGTGCCATCTGTCGTCGATTTCAGGCCGGCGGGACATTGCAGCAAACTCTCACAACGATACGAGCCATTTGTATTAATGCAACGCTCGTGGCTGTTGCATGCTTTAAACTCGTTGCATTCATTGATGTCTGTAAAAGTTAATATGTCGTGTTGTTGCTGCTAAGCGCTTTATAGTGAAGAAAGTATGAGCAGTAAGCGTGCACATACATGTATGTGAGTGAGCTGAAGTTACGCTAGGTATATAGAGAGGCATATATTCTAAAGTTGTCGCTGATGTAAGAGGGCTTTATAGTGAAGTGCATGGAAAAATGAATTTGCATATGTGTAAGTGCCACTAAACATCAACCAGTTGTTGCTGCAGCTGCTGCTGAGAGCGAGGTTGAAGAAATTAGCGAGATCGAACTACGCAATTAGTGATCCGCTGAAGCGTTCCTCATTAGTTCGCTGGACCTAGTCACTCAAGTGAGCGAACGTTAAGCGAATGAATTTTAAATAAAATAAATAAATTAAATAAACGATGAATGCATGTTAAATTAAATTAATTAATGAAATGATCGATGAAATTGACTACTGCTTACATATTAAACACAACTCCGAGTTAAATTTAACTGAACGCTAATTGAACGTTAAATGAACGCACAAATTAAATGCACAATTCTTTTGTTCGCTCACAACTGAGCAACTGCCTCCTTAATCGATTAGAAGCAACACTGCCACCTGTCATCGCACAGCGATCAATCAGAGCAGCGCACGCAGCTCCCTCGCTCACACAAATGCAGCCAATAGCTATAGAGTAAATCACAAATCAGTAATAATTTACCAACACAGGCGCCGAGATGATTGCGCTGGAAGCCAGTCGAACAGGGTCGTCGCATTTGATAGTTTGGCGTGTAATCCAATCGATTGTAGATATAATGCGAAGGATTTTCTGATGTTGTTGTCGTTTTGGGCAAGGTTGTTGTTGTTGTTGTAGTAGTTGTTGTTGTTTTTCTATGGCAGCGAAAGGAGCCTTTGGTATTGAAACACTCATAGTCCGACAAACAATTGTGCGTATTCAATGCACACTCATCGTCATCTATTTGGGGAAAGTAATCAAATTAAATTTAAAAATTATATACAGTTATGACAAAAATAATAGCAAAAGAATTCAATCATTTATTTCTAATTGTTTTCTAAATGTTGCGTTTATTTCATATCGTTTATATTTTGGCTTTTGCATAAATGTAACATTTTAATTTGAGTTTTAATTGCATTTAAAAAGGATATGGTTTTTTATTTTTATTTTCCGTCAACTGTATATATAAGATATATATAAAAATAGGTCAACTTACCAACGCAATTGCCTGACTCGGCATTGAGGGTATATCCCGTGCCACACGAAGTCCATCTCTATATAATCATGGAGATATATATATTATTAATTGATGTATATATAAAGAGTAAATAAGGGATCCAAAATATAGTACCGTGCATATGTATGAACCGATGGTGTTATCACATCTCTGAGTTGGCAGGCAGTTGTGATTATTAATTGAGCACTCATTAATATCTACAGGTATATATATATATATATATGCATATATTTTTATATGTATTCAGGTGCATTTATCATTTAATATATATCGCATTAAATTGCGAATTGATTTTATTTACCAACGCATGTATTTTGTGTCGCATCCAAACTGTAGCCGGCCACACAGCTACAGTAGTAACTGCCTATGGTGTTCTTGCACTCCTGTCGCGCCTCCGTTTTGCATGTGTTTTTGGTGCCATTCGCAGTACATTCATCGATATCGGCGCAAATATTCCCATCGAAATAGTAACCGATTTCACATGTTAAACTCTCTGTAGGAATAATATTGCTATTATTTATTTTATTGTTATTTTATAAGTGTTCTTATTTTTGTGTCAATAGGTGTATGTTAATTCACTTGATGTTAGCTGCAGCTCGTTTGGCAAAAATTCCTCAACTGAACCCTCCACGAGGGTGCCGACTGGTAATAGCATCACAGCGGTCCTGCAAGGTACCGATGCTAGTTAAGACTCGTGCCCCGAACCTTGTCGCTGGGAAAGGACCGAGTCATGGTTCGAGGTAAAGGGCCGGACTAAGGTGTTATGCGACCCGTGCCGATAGTCAGCCAGGCTGAGGACCCTCAAATAGCCCAGTCTTCTACGGAGCATATCGGATACCTGGCGACCTCCGATATTAATCAGCCTTACCTGCACATCGCGGATCTCTGTGCAGGCGGACATTCCTTTCTCCGCAGCTCGTGGGAATCAAAATGCATTCCATAAATAAGAAACCCCAAAAAGAGTACGGTACTCTCTCAAAACCGGAAGGGAGCAATCCCAAACGCAATCCCGACAGTGGCTCGCAAGCCTGGCCAAAGCGGCAGCATGACAAAAGTGGCGGAAAAGCCTGTTTGGCTTTTCCGTGGCAGGAAAGCAAAGCACTTGTGCAGCCAACCTGCCAGCCGGAGCGGGTGCTAAGGGCGACTTACCAACTACCAGCGCTGCGGCTAAAAGGTTCAGCTATGCCGACCGCAGAAATGCCGCAAGCATTCTAAAGCGGCAAAACGCGAACCAAATCCACCAGCCGAATGGCAAAACAAAGTGGTGTGGGCTAGGAAGGTGCTGCCAAACTTCACCCCATCAAGAGCAGAGCCAGGCAAAAAGACAGCGCTCGCAAGAAGCCCACGGACCCGTTGCAAAGCGGGCCAAGCTGCAGCAGGGAAGTCCTTTGCCGATATTGCCAAGGAGAGAATCCTGATAGGGATCCTTGACAAGGGAAACAAGGACGGAAGAATCCCGAGGAATCAGTGGAAGTGGGTGGAAGGAGCCCTCGCTGTCCACTGCCTGAAGTTACTGAGCAAGGCGCCTGGGCCACCACCGGTATGCAGAGATGCTGGGTGATACCAGGGAAACACGAAGGTCATCGCCTGCCAGGACGCTCGCTCGGTAGAGCTTTACAAAGCTGCCGTAGCAGAGCTTGGTGAGGTCTAACCCAGGGCGAAGCTGGTCGCTGTCGACTTGAGCGAATTCCCGAGTAGACCTCGTGCACGCATCTGGATCCCGGCCTCCTTAAAGGAACCGGACCAGGTGCTTAACCATCTGCAACTATGCAACCCCTCTCTTCCCACCCATGACTGGAGGGTGGTGCAGATTGAGGCCACCGAGGGGCCAACAAATCAGGCTGTGCTAATCCTAAACAAGGAATCGCTGGCCCCCATTGAAGCCGCCAAGGGCGAGCTAAACTTCGGCTTCGGCTCCATTACCGTTAAGGTATATAAATCGATGGCACCGGCCGGAGGAGACCCTGTTGTCTGTAACAAGACGGCTGAACAGGGTCTTCCTGCAGAGATCGGAGCAACCGATGAGGAGCAGGAGCCAGGTTATACGTCGGACACGTCGACTCTGACTCGGGGCCTTGAGGCCTTGTGTCACGAGTTGGACGAAGATGATTTCACGCTGTCGGACGAGGACGACATTAAAGTCAATTGGTTTAACGTGAGCACCTGCCGACGAGGACGACAGCAACAACACGGTGGTGAGGGTGGAATCTCCGGATGTCCTTGAGACTACGGCAGATAAACCTTCACCACAGTAAAGCAGCATCCGCTGCTCTGATGCTCCGCCTGGCTGGAGGCGGAGACGACATAGTACTAGTCCAAGAACCTTGGGTGATTGGACGAAAGGTTTGCGGGCTAGGCAACAAAAATTACAAGCTGTTAGTAGCTGGAAATGAAGGTAAAAAACGCACCTGCATCCTCGTGAAAAAACATCTAAATATTTTTCTGCTCTATAATTTTAGCAATGATGACAACACAGCGGTAAGCCAGGAGCTCCAGTCAGCTTCGATATATATGGCCCACGACAGCGCCGGCCCGCCACCAGATGAGACTACTTTAGTATGTAATACGGGTAATGAACCCACATTCATTATTAAAAATAGACGAGAGGTCATTGATCTGACCCTCATCTCACAATCTATGAGTGACCAGCTAATAGGTTGGAGAGTGTCTGATGACCACTCCTTCTCTGATCACAGATACATAGAATTTGAGCTCCTCGCGAGCCATCCAGAACCAGTTCACTTCATAAATCAAAGGAAGGCGAACTGGGAAATTTTCAAAGGCAAACTTGACCGAACCCTTTCGGAACACCCACCGAAAGGCCCGGACAACTTAGCTCATCTTTGCAATCTGACAGAGACTTTCACATCAGCATGTAATAAGGCTTTTAAGGCAGCTTGCCCTATCAGTAAGCCAGTGCACAAGAAGAAAGCACCATGGTGGACATCTCAACTAAATGTCCTTCGACAAAGTTGCAGGTCTCTCTTCAACGCAGCGAAAGCGCAAAATAACGACCTGCAATGGTCAAAATACAAATCAAGTCTGGCTGAATATAAAAAAGCCACCAGACGGGAAAGAAGGAAATCTTGGAGAGATTTCTGCACGGATATTGATTCAACTACTGAAGCTGCAAGGCTTAGAAAAGTTTTATCAAAAACCACACCCACAAAAAAGGATGACAACTCTTGGTCGGTCTCCAGTGAAGAGTCACTGGAAATCCTCCTTAAAACATACTTCCCTGGCTGCTCCGAGCAACTGTATAGAGAACACATCCTTGAAGTCTCTTATACACAAAGGTAACATCAAGTGGGTAGTGAACAGCTTCAAGCCGTTCAAATTTCCAGGCCCAGACCAAATAAGCCCAGTCCAACTACAAAAGGCGGGAAATACAGCCATAAAGTGGCTACATGAGTACTTCAGGAAGATTCTGAAGACTGGTCGCATCCCACCGACATGGCTCCAATCAAAAATAACCTTCATACCCAAAGCTGGGAAGCCATCGCACACCAGCGCCAAAGATTTCAGACCCATCAGTCTGTCATCTTTCATGCTAAAGACCCTGGAACGACTTATAAGTCTCCATCTCACAGCATCCATTGACCCCAGGCTTATGTCGGAGTCCCAACATGCCTACAGGAAGGGCAGATCCACAGATACTGCCCTTCACTCTGTGGTCTCTACTATAGAGAAATCTCTACTCCATAAGGAGTACACCCTAATAGCGTTCCTCGACATTGAGGGCGCCTTTAACAACGTCACTCCGGCAGCCATAACTGGAGCTCTGCTAGGACTGGGGATTGATACCGGTACGGTGGGATTGATCAGTCAATTGCTCACTTGCAGGACTGTGATATCCACACTAAGGTCGTCAACTCTCTCCAGGTTCGTAAGCAGAGGTACGCCACAAGGAGGCGTCCTGTCACCCCTACTATGGAACATAGCAATTAACAAACTGCTGTGTGACATGGAGGGGGGCGGCTGCCAAATAGTTGCATACGCAGATGACGTTGCTGTAATTTTCACTGGAACCTAAATATCCAATCACGTTAAGAAGGCAACAGTCGCCCTATACACGTGCAGGAAATCCATTGGGCTGAAATGGGGTATGTCCCCAAATATCGTTCAATGGTTATACACATTTATAGTCAGACCTATACATTTGGCCCTGTTTAAAAAAGAAAACCACCCTTTCTAAACTAAACAAGGCTCAGTGTATGGCTGAACTATGCATATCAGGGGCGCTTCGTATCAGACCTAGTGAGGCACTTGAGGCACGCTATCCTGGACATCCCATGTCTGGAAAGACAAGGAATGGAAAATGAAAAAGGCCATAAGACTCAGAGAATCCCTTGCCTGGGCTACTCAGAGCACCGGCCGTGCCTCAATCCTAGAAGGGAAGCCGACCATCCCTTCAAAAACAGAATACTGCCTGCCAGTAACACAACGGGATACTCCCTTCAACATATACTTCCCTCAAAGGGAGGAATGGGTTCATGGCACCCCCGGTCCACCGGCGACCATAACCTTCTTTACAGACGGCTCCAAACTAGACAACCGCGTAGGCGGAGGGGTCTACTCCGAGCAGCTCAACATACAGTTATCCTTCAGCCTTCCAACACACGGCAGTGTTTTTCAAGCTGAGGTAGTGGCCATAAAGGAAGCAATAGACTGCCTAGAAAGGCTCAAAGTTAGGCCTAGCAATATAAACATATATATTGACAGTCAGGCAGCAATCAAATCCATCAGCTCGATATCTTCAAATTCGATATCAGTAACAAGCTGTCGCAAATCTCTACACGAGATGGCTAAACAGCAGGTTATTAGCCTAATATGGGTCCCTGGCCACCAGGACATTGAAGGCAACTGTACAGCCGATGAGCTAGCTAGGAAAGGTACTACCACTCCTCCTAACACCAAGGAGGAGTACAGGCGCAGGTCATGCAGAAAATGGCAAAGTGCCATCTGTGCCCGCATAGCACACCAGACATGGCCAATTATCAACGCCAAGCGCAGCAGAGAGCTGTGCAGTCTAAGTCGGACCAACTGTTCTGCAATGATCCGGGCTCTAACTGAGCACTGGCTGGTCGCCATTCATGCCAACAGACTCCAGGTGCCATACAGTGACTTTTGCAGAAGCTGCAAAGATGAGGAGGAAGTGGAATCTCCGGAACATTTCTTCTGCCACTGCTCAGCACTTGCTAGGAAAAGGCTGGAAATCCTGGGAAACCACTCCCTAACTGATTTATCGGAGCTCCGACACATGAGACCGGCCAAGATAGCGAAATTCATAAACGCATCCGGCTGGTCAAATGTTTAAATGTTAGAAATGCTTTGAAGGCACGACTGCAGGAGGAAACACCCCCTAGATCCCCTTTCGGCATCACAACGGGCTAAATATGGCATAAGTGTGTCAGTCCATCGGGCTGACAGCCGACATAACCTAACCTAGCTGCAGCTCTCTGTTAACGGTGTGCATGTAAACTTAACAAGCGCTGCAATTAAAATGTGTAACAGCTTGCAGCTCTCAGTTAAATTAACAGCTCATGTGTAATAAATGTTATTTGTAATTAAACATTTTACATATAAAACTCTATTGGAAGTTACAGTTGTCTATAAATAAGTGTGTACAGTTCCGGGTAAAATAAGTGCAACACTCGCACAAGAAATGTTTGAAAGGTGATTTTAAAAGTAGCAGCAGAAGTAGATAAAATAAATAATAAATATTAAAAATGAACATTTAAAGAATTGCGACACGAATTGGATTGTTATTTGTTTTAAGAAGAAATGTCAGGGAGGAGCTTTTAATTTTTGTTCCCTATTTCCTGACACTTCTTGCATTAAAATAGGAGAACGGTCAACCTTTACAGCGCTCGTTAATATAACAGCTTGAGCGTTTACAATCCATTGTTAATATAACAACGTTTACAATACACTGTTAATATAACAGCGTCTGTATTAAAGAGGTTGTTATTTAAATTTAAATTGAAATTTAAACATTTTACCGACCTTCACATTCATTTGACTTCACGTTGTATTGATAGCCCTCCAGACAATCTTTGGACCGATTGAGGCAATGATAACCACCGTGGGTATTATGGCAATATTGTGTTGTTTTGCACTCGTGCAACTCCTCAATGCATTCATCGATGTCCACACAACGGCTTTGCTTCAAATCCAAAATAAAACCACTCGGACAGATATCACTTTTCAACGGGGAACAGGTGACATTATTATCGTCCAACTTAAAGCCGGGATTACAGCTGCATTTGTAAGCATCGAAGGTGCTTTCGCATATGTGTTCGCACAAATTTGACATTTTCTCGCAGATATCATCTGCAAGAAGTCTCATTAATATTTATTGTTAAATCTGTTATTAGCGACTTACCATCAGCTGTTAGCACAATTGTTCCATCTGCATTCTCTTTGCTCTCGTCACCCTCGTTCGCCTCCTCCTCGCCCGCTTTAGCCGCCTTTTCCAGCTCGATGTTATTGTTTTCACCTCGCTCGCATTCTTCACCAGACTCCTCAACATCGTTTCCGGTGCAACAGATGCGATAGGATTTTATATTTGATACAAATGAGAAGAGGGGATCTCTGCAATTTTGATGACTAACTTTGACCTGCATGCCAACTGGGAATTAATATAATTATTATATTTGGTATTACTATTAAATAAAAATATTATTAATAATGAAACTGCATTTAATTTAATTGAAAGTAATTATTAACTGAAAACTGCATTTAATTCAATGTAAAATAATTATTAATATAAAATATTATTAATTATAATTGCATGCCTACTGTGAATTATTATTATTAGTATTAAATTAAATTATTATTATATATAAAATTTACTACATTATTATTACTAATTATGAAGGTGCATTGCATTAAATTTAAAATAAATATTAATTTAAAAATAATTAACTAATTATATTTATTAATTGCGAAACTACATTGAATTTAACATATTATTAATTATTAATTATTCTCAAATAAAAATGATGTTATTATTAATTATAACTAAATTTAAATTAAAATTCATACCCTGGCAGGCGCGACAGCAATCCGTGTAGGAGGAGGTATTTGAATCCTTGTCACAGGATGTGCCCTTTAGGGCGGCCAGGCGACCCTGTTTACAGTGCTCCCTGTTCAATTGACCCGCACAGCAAACGCCAAATGTGGAATAACACAATCCCAGCCAGGCCTGAGGAATCTGTTGTTTTCCAATTGAGTTTTCCATATTTCCACACTCATTTGTAGTTCGAGCATTTCTCAATCCACTCAGACAGCATTTTCTTATATAATCGGAGATAGTTTCTGAGAGAGAATATAAGAGAATAATTAATTTATTATGAATGGGAAATTGTAGTAGTTAATAAGTTGTAATAATTAATATAGAATAAATTACAATCTGTAATAATTAATACAGAATAATATATAAATGTAATTATTAATAATCAATTATAAATAAATATGCAAATATTGATAATAATTATTATTATTAATTAATTATTAATTGGAATCTGTAGTAGTTAATAACTTGTATTAATTAATACAGAATTAATTTAATTATTAATTGGAATTAGTAATAATTTTTTGCAATATGTATTTGTAATAATTTAATATAATATATTTATAGCTTTTTGTTAATTTTTTAAATGCAAAATATAAATTTTATGTAATTATTAATTAGAATTTGTAATAATTAATGCAATAATGAAATTATAAATTTTAATTTGTAATAATTACTCTAATATTAATTTTATTCAATCTATTTTTACGTTTTTTTATACACAATTAATTAATTTAGTAATGTCATCTATATAATTATGTACTCAAATATTTTATTATTTAATTAATTGGCATTTTTAATAATTTATAATTGATAATAATTAATACAGAATAAAATTTAAATGTAATTCTTAATATGTGTTTGCAATTAATATTATGGAGTGCTTTAAATATTCTCAACGTTCTGCTCTTCTACAAATATAAGTAAAAATTCATTCCTCTACTCTTATATGCACTTAATCCACTCTCCTACATGTGAGTAAATAAACACAAACACACACATACATCTGTGCTTTAATTGCCTTTGCAAAGGTCGCCGCATTGAAGCAGTTTACACACATACACACACATGCATATTTTCAGATGTATGTAGTTGTATGCATGTAGAATTACAGAAATGTACACATGTTTGTATAAAAGTTGAGATCAACTGTTCACATAGCGCTGACAGCATAATCTGAGAGCTTATCTGACAGAACCAGACAAACATTCGCTGCTCAGATCTGATAAACAGAATCTTATACTTACACACACATGCAGACATCCGTATGTGATCAAGGCTAGTATGCAACTGTTATACAACTGTTATATAACTATTATAACAAGAGCTTTACACTTTTGCACATTGTAAAATAAATTCTATAAATTTTAATAAATAAAATAAGGAATAATATATGTTGACCAATAAAAGAAAATAAATTCTAAGTTATATATTACTGAATAATTTACAGTCATTTCTTAAAATATATTCTTTTAAATGAATCAAATACATTATAAATACGATACATAATACATAACAAATAATAATTAATTTTATTTATGCATTTAAAATCGTTTGAATGTGCAAAATAATAATTTGGAATTTAATTTATTTTATTACTTCAAATATATTATAATTAATTTTATTTAATATGTAAACTTAAATAAAATAAAACGATATATTTATATTTTAGCTAAGTAAAATAAATGCTAAATTAATTCTTATGCGATTATTTAAAATGTAAATGAAATGAATTACTTCTGTATTTATTTAAAATTCATAAAATAAACAAACAAACACTAATAAACATGTCAATAAAATAAAAACGAATATATAATAACAAGTAAACTAAAATAAATTCAATTAATAATTATTATTTATTTTTAATTTATTTAAATTGATTTAAAAATGCCTTTAAAAATCAATAACACAAAATGTGAAATGCTAAGAAGCACATAGATCCTAACACACACACGCAAACGTTTGCTTGTTTCAAAGTCACTGCCTGCAAATGCATGAGTATAAGTGTGTGTGAGTGCATGTTTGTTTGCATTTCGATGCCAGCGTGCATGCATATGAATATGTATACATGTGAGTCTATGTAGACTTGTAATGCTGACTCACCTTCAGCGAGCACTTGTTGCATTTGACACGCGGTCAATAGCCAAATAATTCCCAAGCAGTTCACACGCATCACGAACTACGTTATCAGCTCAACTGATCAATAACTGAGCAATAAAAAATCGCCTTTTTGGGCGGGGTTTTTTGTTCGCTTCTTTTTTTTCCTTTTTCTTCTCGTTGTTGTAATTTGATGCGCGTGTAGAAGACGGCTTTTCTCAACTGATTCACGCGCAAGTGGCGTAAAAAAAAATAGCCCATGTCTGCTGTTTGTCGTGTAAAGATAAAGCTCAAGATAAAGATATAGATAAAGATGGAGATGGAGGTGAACTACTATATTGAATTAAGCGCTTATCAAAATGTAGAAGAGCAAAGTATTGTTTGAGATTTTGAACAGCCCGATGAACAATACAAATAGCTGCAATTTTGAACGCCATATTTATTTTGCCTCGTCCTGTTAGTGACGTCACAAGCCGGCCGCCATATTTGGCGCTCTTTATCGGTTCGCTGCTATCGCTGTTATCGAGCCCACAACTCCCAAGGTGTCATAAGCGTACTGCACGACATACTTTAAAAAATTGGAAACGGCTTGTATAAAAGTGAGCATAATATTTATTAATTTTATTCAATGATTGATATTTAATTATTCATTATTTTAATAGCATTGTCCCTCTTCAATTGAAACCAGTGTCGATTTTTGTTTATTTGCCGCCTCGTAATTTGGATTGCATATCGTGTTATCGATAATGCCATCGACATTGGCTCTCAAAATACGAAAATTGATATCGCCATAATCCAGCTGGCTATATAGATAAATGGGCAAACGATTACTCATCACCCAAACACTTTGTTTTATTTCCTGATCCACTTTCAAATCATTGGGAAATTGTATTAACATCGAAGCATTATCTGGTTCCAAAAGCATACCGAGATTTGCACGATTATAGGGCTTTTTGGTGTCCCAACAGCCGATATTATCACGATGCACTTGTGTGTAGAACATAACACCATTTCGGGCTATGCCCGATGTCGAAGATTGCCCCCCAAAGCCACGATCCCCAATTGGAACAAATAATTGCGAGGTGTCCACGCTGCTGTTGCCGATCCAAAGGGATTCATTCAAGAGCGAGTCAAGGGGCACCATAAATTCCTTGAATGAATGGGTTAAATACATAAATTAATGGTTTTAGCGATCTATCGATTACTTTTTATATTTTACGTTATGTACAGTTATTATTTATTTCTTATCAATCTTACTAATATTTTAAATTGAAATTTTATATCAAATATTGTTTTTAGCTTAGTTCAATCAATTTTTTGTATATTTATTGTATTTTTTTGTGACAATTGACTTTAGTTGACTTTAAATAAATAAAGTCTAAAAAGTGGCTTGTTAATTACATATTCTAAAGCTAGCAGTGTTCTTTATGTTATGTTACAGCTGTTATAACAGTCTTAACTCTAGTTACTTGAGGCCTGTTAGCTGTTATTTATATTTCTAGCTCTGTATTTACTTACCTTACAATTGTTAGTTCATAGTTTATGTTATTCGTGCTCTGTTATTCATCCGCCGTGCTCTGTTAATTACATACACCGCTCTGTTAACTACTCACCTTAAAACTCGCCATTGGATGAAAATATAAAAGTCGCTCCCTGCTTTGACTCATGCCAAAAACTCCATCCAACCACTGAAAATTCAGGCCATAAACATTGAAATCAGCTGCCGATGGATTCGGTAAAAAATTATAATTGGTGATGCGCCAACTTCTGTGCTTGCGCAGACTATAAACCACAATGCCAAATCGCCAGACATCTGTGATTAAAGCGTGGGCATCTTCGCAGTCTCCATTCCTAACATCCACGAGAATATTTGAGTGCAACGAATCCTGCTTAATTTGCGAGGCGGGCAATTCAAAACTAATAATTATTTCATCCGTTTTCAAATCGTAGGCAATAATTTTTGTTGGGCATATTTGATTTAGTTTAATTGTGGCATTCACAATACCGGAATCGATTAGCCACAATCGATTGCAGTGCGCATCGATTGCGGTGCGATAAACCGATATCAGTTTGCTGCAATCGGCATTGTTGGGGCTGCTGTGCGATTGCCAATTCGGATACGGCTGCAGCGGTGGACTTATCTCCTTGGAGGGATATGCCAGAGTGACCAGACTCGCTGGCACTCCGTCTTTCCAGCGCGGTGTTGTGATAAACATTCGATTGCCATGCACATCGATGCCCAGTGGTAAATTATTTTTGGGTATAAATTCACTGTGCAAAAAAATTAAAGCCGAAACAATATGTAAAAATAAATACAACTATTTGCATTTAAATGTTAACGACCAATTGGTAAAAATTACAGGGTCACCTTAAAATATTGTGATGTGTAGGCTTTAAGCTGTGCTCGATTTCTGTCTGTTACATTTTGAATGGTCATATTAAAGTCCTACTGCCGCTGACAAGTTGATAAAAGTTGAAGGGTCACCTTAAAATGCTGCAAGCCTAAGCTGTGATCGAACTCTATCTCAAAAAATCTGGAAGGTCACCTCAGTTGTAAACGTAGCATTAAACCCAAAACTGTGACTCGCAACTTATTAAAAATACAACTAATTGAAACCTGTATCATTTCTAATTAATGATAAACTTTAGCAATCAACCAACAGACGAAAAATACATGAATTCACAGTTACGTTACGGCAAAAACTGCGTTGCATTGCGTTATTATGTTATTCTTTAAATACTTTTAATTAATATAAAGTATATTTAAATTATTTATTACCCATTTAATATTTATAAAATATATTTAAATCATTTATTCCCATTTATTGTCCATTTAATATTATTAGAAAATATATTTAATGCACTTTTTACCCATTTAAAATTGCCAGTTGCCTTTCGACAAATGTCGGATATTCAAAATCCAAATATTTCCATTCGTTAACAATTTCAAAAGTATTTCCATGATTTTTGCTGCCACTCCCCGTGATAGATTGGCCAAATATTGCAGCATTGACAGAATGCCTGTCGTATTTGAGGCCAACGAACGAACAACAGAAACTAATTACGACAAAACAAAACGACTTCATGGCTCAGCTGCAAAAACTGGTTAGTTGTAAATATATTTATATATATCTGTGTACATTAATATCAATTTGGGAATATATTTGAAAAGCGAAGTAAACTGTCTCACGCACGAAAAACAACTGAATAAAAGTGATTGCTTTGCGGTTTGTTAAGTACTGCAAATCAAGGCGTATAAAACAGACAAAAAGAAAAAAAATATATATATATATATGTATAGACTTAAGACAGGCTGCAAGAAATTTCACAGTTTGATTTATAATTAATAATAAAAAAGCAATTGATATATATTAATTATTAACTTTATAATATATATTCCATAAGCTTTAATTAATGAATAATTATTTCTTATTATTCTTAATTTAAATTCAATTTTGTACTTCATTCTTAATTTAATCTAAGCTATTTGTTTTTTGAGCTAAAAATGTTTTTATTATCACCACTATTATATTTATAAAGGCCAATAATTAAAAACTCATCGAAAACTAATAAAAGTGAAAGTAAAGTGCCATAATTTATATTTTAATAATTAAAAGTTGACTAATTCAAAAATGGCTAGTTTTATACAAACTATCGATAAGCTATGCCCGGTGCAGAGGTACCGCTAAGCAAGATTGGTCACACAATTAATAACAATACATTCTAATATGAAGCATGTATTATATTAAAAACAAGATTAAACGTGCTTTTTAAATAATTAATTTAATAATCAGTCAAAAGCCAGTATACCTTTTAGCACTCAGCTGTTGCAACCAAAGAAAATTACACCTAAATGACGTCACAATTTTGCACATGCGCTGTTGACCATATTAAGCTAGACTTTGACATGTTAATGGCTGTAATGTGTATATGTATTTTGTACATACATAAATTACATTAGAACAATTTTGCACTCGAATTAGGTGAAAAGATTTTTGGAAAAGCAGCAATAGAAACAGCGAAGTATATTATGAAAAATTAAAACAATAAACAAACGATGCAGTGTGAGTGATGAAAAACAATAAACAATAAATAAAAACGATAATTGCAAGTTGCGCCAAAAAGTATGCTGCTTTTGTGCCAATTGTGGAAAATCGATAAAAGTCAAAATTCCTTCACGGAGCAAAGTGAGTGAAAATATTTTTTAGAAAATACAAAATGCAATAAGTATATAAATAAATAACTTGCAGAAGGGAAATAGGAAATATAGGCGAGCGTGTGAAATTGGGTGTCTATAAGCAGTAGTTATATATATATATATGTGTCTGTGTGTCTGTGTCTGTGTATGTGCGTATAAATGTGTAAGTGTTGTGTGTGTGTATATATCTGATATAAGTGTTTTTTATTCGCAATTAACAAAAGGCAGTAAGAAGAATATTGCTAATTTTATCAAATTATGCATTGCGAACAGCTTAAAATTTTTTTTTTATGAATATTAATATATTTGTGAAAAATAAAATAGAAATAAATGAAATCAATGATCGCCAGCTGTTAGTTCGCTGACGAACCGGACTCAGTTCAACAATAGCTAAACGATCAGCAGCAGGAGCCGATTGTCAGGCAAGCAGCTCTTTGCTTTTTCGATGTTCATTGTTATCGCTGCGGTGCGAATTGTAAAATTCATTTTCAAACCGAGATAAATTATTTAAGTAGAAATTAAAAATAACCCAATCAGCCCAACCAGCTCAACAGATTTACGAAAGCAACCATGCTTTGGCCACTTGATGTATATAATTGCATTAATATGTTTTAATATACATGTTATACTTATTACAGATAGCAGTTAGAAGTCGCTTAGAATGCATAACGTTGGCAGTGAACTGCCCGTTGGGCGACGCACTGCAAATGAATGCAATACTGCTGGAAATAATTGTGGCAATCGCCGGAAATCGCTGAGCTATCAAACACAGCTCGCGCTGAACTCAAATAATGGCGAGGATGTGGTTCCAATGGTGGCATCAGCCTCATCCTCAGCTGGTCGCTTTAGTCCCCATCCAAATGACATATTTCTGGCGCAGTCGAGCAAACTGACCATACCACTGGAGAAGTACGATGATCTGCTGCTGATCAATGGCTGTTTGCCGCCGCCATCGCCAGCACCAAATAGCGATTGCCACGCGGAACAAAGCAAAACTAGCAATAGCAACGCCAATAATCAAATGCAACAATTGACTATCAATCATTTTCAGCAGCACAACAATCACAGTCACACACACAGTCACGCCCCCACGTATCCACTATCCTCCTCGAACTCGGCCTCCTCGCTGTGCACCATAAATTCGGGACAATCGCAGCAATTGGACAAGAAATACACGCAGCACGCCACGCATCGCGCCATGTCTCCAAATACAAAATATCGATTGGAACGTTATCGTGAATCACCCAAATTGAAACTGAGCATGGATGCGATGGGTCTCTCGGTCTCCTCGCCTGCGACGGCATCATCGCGTTACTTTCTGCCCGCCAAGGTGCTGCAGTGTGCGGACGCTTATGGCGGATATTTAGGTTCCACGCTGCATACGCCGGTCAAGCGTTATGTGCCAACGCCGCCGCCAGCTGCGGAGGAGATGATGACGACGACAACGACGACAGCAACAGCGACGCCAACATCGACGCAGTACGTCAATTTGCCTTATGGCGGCTATGCCAGGTCCAAGTGTGGACATAGTGAGGAGGCCCTCGGTCAGCGGGAGGTGCCTACTCCACTCAGCTACTCAAAGAGCGCTCAAACCTCAAACGGAGGCAATTCATCCTCTTCCTCCGCCGGCAGCAACAGTTGCCCCTGTCCCTCGCCCACAACAGCAACAACATCAGCTGCCACAACTTCTTCCAGGAAGCGATTGGAGCAATCGGGAGCTCCAATCGAGGAACCAGACCCCATCATTCTCATCCAACCCATGACGCTAAGCGATTCCACTCAGAGTGCCACCTGTCTGCATTGCAACACAGCTCGCAGAACTACGGGCGTCCATCAAACCACACAAACTACGGGTCCCATTAGCCCAGTGCCCGTCTCAATGACTCTACCACTGTCGGGCTTAACGGCCAGCGATTTGGGTAAGTTGAAGCAGCAGCAGCAACAACAGGAGCAAGAGTTGCTCGCAATCTCAGCGATTGAGGTTAAGCAGCAAACGGAAGGGTTTAACAACAACGGCAATTATCAGCGACATATTTATGGGGTGAGTGAGCAATAGATGCAGTTGCAGCAGCAATAATTACTGTAATCGTTTGAGCAGCAGTAACAATTGCAATTATACCAGCAGCAGCAATCATTGCAGCAGCAACAACTACATCAATCTTTGCAGCAATAGTTGCAGTTGCAATTCCAGTCTTATTTACACAAACAGCAACAACTAAAGCAGTCTTTACAGCCATCCTTGCAGCAACAGCAGCAGCAATACCAACAGCAACAGCTTCAATCACAGCAGCAACAGCAATACCAACAGCAGCAAAACCAGCAAACACAGCAGCAACAGCAACAGCAATACCAGCAACAGCAGCAGCAACAACATCAATACCAACAGCAACACCTGCAACAGCAAACGCAGCAACAGCAGCAACAATACCAGCATCAGCAACAACAGCTGCAACAGCAGCAACAACAGCAGCAGCAATACCAACAGCAGCAACAGCAAACGTTGCAGTCTCTGCCACAGCAGCAACAATTGCAGCTACAGCAGCAACAGCTGCCCACGCATCGCTATTCGTGTAAAAAGCGCATCATAATTTATATGCGACGTGAAATTGCGCGGTTTTTCGGTGTGGAAATGAGCACGGAGGCCGCTGACTATGCGTTGTGGTACGGCAGACATCGTCGGTTGGCGATTCGCTGCTTTGGTCCGCTCAGCAATCAGCCGGAATTCGAGCTGGACAGTCACGAGTTATGCGTGGAGAGCAACAACAGCAGTAACAATAGCAGCAACAGCAACAACAATCACAACTTTGCCTCCGATCGTCCCGATATATTGCCCACAGAGTCAACGTCAAATGTGGACAACAATTGCCGTCACAACAATTGGCGCAACAGCGATTTCAATGCCGGTGAATTTGTGGAGCGCAAAGCAACTGTTGCTCACATGCTGATGACTAGTTTGGGTTATTTAATTGCCATTTTTCACAAGCCGAACACAAACCAGTCGAATTCCAATACGGCTCATCATTTATTGAAAAGACGTCAGCGGCAATGGTCGAGAAGCTTTGCACCCAGCCATGTGCAAAATTTGGAGCAACAGCAGCAACAGTTAGATGTGGATGGAGTGGATGGTGACTTGGCGGAGACTTTGGCGGCGCTCATTGAGGAGGAGGTCTTCTTTGATAATCCCAGCGAGGCAACAACGACAACAGCAACAACAACAGCCTCTGCCTCTGGCAATGAAGAGAGTGTGGAGCGTGCCGGGCTTAAGCAGGGCACAGCTAACGCTCCGTTGGGCGTTGAGGCTGGCGTCTATCTTGCTGAGCGTCATCACAATGGCTGGCGCACCTCGGCCTTGAATGGACTCCATTTAATGGGCGACTCCTCGCACAGCCACGCCTCCCATCCCACAAATCATTTACAACTCTCGGGCAGCAATCGACAAAATCAAAACTCGATGCGCAACTCAAATTCGACAACTGCAGCTACAAATCGCGGCAATCGCATTGCTGCTCAACTTTTGGATGGCGTCCTCGAGAATTCACGACGTCCACAAATGCAACGAATTAAATACTTTGGCATTAATGATCTCGATGATCGCAACGATCATCGTCCGTTTTTCACCTACTGGATAAATACGGTGCAAATCGTTGTCTTGTTTTTATCCATCATTTGCTATGGCATAGCGCCAATTGGTTTTGGCACGGAACAGAAAACGGGTCAAGTTCTGGTCACCAGTTTGAGTCTGCAGACGGTGCAGCATGTGGAGCAGCGTAATCTTTGGATTGGGCCTAGGAACAATGATTTGGTGCACATGGGTGCAAAGTTTGCGGCTTGCATGCGACGAGATGTGAAGATCATGGAGGTAGTCACCAAGACGAGGCGGCAGGAGCGGGAGACTGCGTGCTGCATTAGGAATGATGATTCGGGCTGTGTACAAAGCTCACAGGCAGATTGCTCCATTAGGGGTCTATATCCAACGGTAAATGAGTAATAGAAAAATAATATAATATATTAAATATATATAAAAAATCGTCCTTTAGGGGTCTATATGAAGAAAGTGAATTATATAAAATATGCCATTTAATAATATATAAATGATTCCACAGTAATTAAATTATGTAGAATATGTCATATAATAATATAGAAAAATCCCATAAGCGCTCTATATATCACAATAAGTAACAATTCTAAATAGGTTACATAATATTATAAAAAAAATGCTTTCCCAATAAGTAAATATTCCAATATAATATAAAAATGCTCGAAAGGGGCTCAATATTTTAGTCAGTAATTATCTAAAATATGCTACATTTGAACATAATTTGTTTCTTTTTTCTTTATAAAAACTCAAAAGTGCCGCCAACTGTTATCGATCTTTTTTTTGAGACCCTCGAGCATAGTATCGTTTAACAGGGTTGCTTAACATAATTAGTTATGATCACACAACATTGATAATTTAACAATAGTACGCTTATATATAAATAATTTAAGTTAAATATAGTTAAAATATATAATATATCTAATAATAATTGAAACATGCTTATGATTAAAGATTAGTTAAATACTTACTTTAATATTTACTATAATATAAACTATGTAAATTAAAGTACAAAAAATGAATTAATTTTTCTCTTCACTTCAGAAATCCATATCGACTTGGAAGAAATGGTCACCGGGTGAATCCGGGCCTGGTGGACGCATATCGGGCTCTGTTTGTGGGCTGGATCCAAAGTTTTGTGATGCACCCGCCTCGATAGTGCCCTACGAGTGGCCCGATGACATAACCAAGTGGCCAATTTGCCGAAAAACGAATTCATTCTCGCAACGCTATCGCTATAAGGATCACACGGCGGAGCATATGGTCTGCGAGGTAATCGGACATCCCTGCTGCACAGGACTCTACGGGGAATGCCGCATCACTACCAGGGAATATTGTGATTTTGTCAATGGTTATTTTCACGAAGAAGCTTCACTCTGCTCACAGGTTAATATTTAAAAAATATAGGAAAATCTGGGGAAAAGACAGAAAAACAAAGCAATCACAAAACAATTAGCTAGTTATAAATCCTGTCAATTTGTATTTTATTTATGTTGTTGAAGCGTCCAGAATTATTTTATTTATTTATCTTTGTATTTTAATTAAATTATTAACTTAATAAATTCTTTCAATACGTATTTTATTTGTGTTACTTATGCTTTTTTTGTATGAATATGCTCAGTTTAACTTGTTATATTTAAATTAAATTGTTACTTTAATAAATCCTTTATTATTATAGTCTTTATTTTATTTTGTTTATTTAACTTGTTATATTTAAATTAAATTGCTACTTTAATTAATCCTTTAAAATCGAATTTTGTTTATATTGCTGATGGGTTTTAAAAAAAAAAAATCACAAAATTATTTTTTTTTTACTATTTATTCATTTTATATTTTAATTTAATAAATTTATAAATTCGTTCAATCTGTGTTTTATTTATATGGTTAATACTCAATTTTATCATATTAAAAATTTTTCTTTATTTTATTTTACCTTTTAGTTTCATTATTAACTTTTCAATTTAAATCGTTCCAATCGTTCGCTTTATCTACTTCATCTCTTGTTCTTTCTAGATATCCTGCTTGAATAATGTTTGTGGCATGTTTCCCTTCATCTCCGTGGAGATACCCGATCAGATTTATCGAGTGCTGACCTCGCTTTGTATGCACGCTGGAGTTCTTCATTTGGCAATTACGCTCATTTTCCAACACTTATTCCTGGCTGATCTGGAACGCTTGATTGGAACGCTGCGCACAACTGTTGTCTACATTATGTCAGGCCTGGCTGGAAATCTGACAAGTGCCGTGCTCGTTCCACATCGACCTGAGGTAAAATATATAATATGAAAATAATAAATATAATAATAATGCTAATATTAATAATAATAGCACTAATAGTAATAATAAAATATTTATTTAAATAAAAAAAAAAACAATACAAAAAGTAAAAGATAGCTTACATTAAATTAGAAATACAATTTAATACTTAAATTTAAATAAAATATAGGAAATATTTATGAGATTGATTTTTGGGCGTATTTTTATTATTTGTATATTTATTTAATGCCAGTTGATAATAAAAGCAAGAAGTAAGAAAACAGCTCAAGTTTAACTAGAAATCAAATTTAATATTAAATATAAATTTTCAAAGTGCGTGAATTTTATCATTTATTTACATATTTATCATTTATTTATATATTAATTATTCATTTATTTATTTAATGTCAAGCATACTAAAAATAAAATCTAATATTTAAATTACAAAATAAATATTTATAAAATTGATTTCGGGGGTGCTTATATTTATTTATACATATTAATTATTTATATATGTATTATTTCTATATTTGATTTATTTACTTAATGCCAATAAATTAACTGCAAAACCTAGAAAATAAATTAAATTAAACTATAAACTGAATTATTTAATATTTAAACTTAAATTTAAAACTAAGCAATATTTATAATATTAACTGAGGTATTTTTATATTATATATTTATTTAATTTATTTATATTTAAATAATCCAAGAGATTAGTTATTATGCATTTAATTAAGTCTTGCTAACATTTGCAATTGGAATTGCATTACATTATTTCACGAATTCACCTATTCCAGGTTGGCCCATCAGCGTCGCTTTGTGGCGTTGTCTCGTCGCTGGTTGCTTTGCTCATTTGGATGCACTGGAAGCACTTGCACAAACCATACGTAGCACTCTTTAAACTGCTGCTGCTGTGCACAGTGCTCTTTGGAATTGGCACGTTGCCATATCAGTTGAATTTTGCCGGGCTGCTTGCTGGGGTTGCTTGCGGCGCATTTATCACAATATCATTGGTGCCATTTGCCACTTTCACCAAATACGGACGCAGAAAAAAGGTAAAGCGATAATTCACCACTCTCAGTCAATACATTAACTCGTGCATATTGCACATGTGTTATCGATATTTTTGCAGATCAACCTGATTTGGACGTGTTTCGTTTTCCATCTGTTTGTTTGCGCCACCCTGATTGCCATCTTTTACATTCATCCCAGCGAATTTAGCACTTTTAATTTTGTGGACGATGTTTTTGGTGGTGGCAACAAGGGCTACACAAGTGCCACAAATAGCAATATTGGCCATCACAATGGTGATGTGAGCACCACCACCCGTCGCTATTCGCAAACACAAAAGCCACAATATTATTATCATCATCATTCCGAAGATATTATTCGAAATGGCGGCGGTGCTTTCACCGAGGAAAATATGATTGCGGTATGTTAAATACAAACAAAACAGACACAAAATGTTAAATTGAAATTAATATTTCTCATATTGCTATGATGTTAACGAGAACTGTACGCGATCACGCATATTAGTTGCAGAGCTCTGTTATGTACACACTTATATATGTTAACATTTGAAAAACCCGCCGCTGCTGCTTCTTCTACTTACAGCACATCTTTCCCGATGCGCAGCGGCAAAAAAGTGTTCAACTCTGGCAAAAGGGTCTCTATTCACGCGCATTCAGCTACAATTCCAATTCCAGTTCCAGTTATGGCGAACGCATTTATAAAAATATGCAAAATTCGCCACAAATCGCAAATAACAAAGATAATTATAATAATAAAACACGAATGAATTACCAACAAAATAACGATATGCATAATAATAATAATACCAAATTTAAGGGCCTATAAATCTTCCATAATTAAAAATAATAGGCAACAAATAGCACAAATATTGCGTGCACAACAAAAAAAATATATACAAAAAATGTACATAAATTATATATATATATTCGCAAAATATTGCATGTATCATGATCAGTATTTTGAAATAAATATTAAACCACGATTCACGACTCAATACGCTGTTTAAAATAAACATATATATATTTTTTTGGTATATATTGATTCATTATTTTATTTTTATTACAATTTGAATTACCAACGGCCGCGTCCTCCGCCCCCTCCTCCACGACCTCTATTAAATCCACCTCGACCAGCACCCCCTCTAAAACCACCACCTCCGCGTCCACCGCGAAAACCTACAAAAACAAACAAGTCACGAAATTATAATAATCACTTGGCAACACTAAGACAAACTCACCTCCACCACGACCTCCGCCGACTCCCCCTCGTCCACTGCTCATTCCAACACTCGGTCCGCCCTTTTTCTTGCCGCACTTTGGCTGTGGTGGCTTTGGCAAAAATCTGCTAATCGGCAGCAATTTTCCAGGATCGATAAACAACTTTTGCTGCGGCTTAAAACTGTTCGCATACACATTATCCGATAACTTTATCGATACCGAGTAATCGCGTACTGTGCCAAAGATTTCATCAATTTTGCCTATTTGCTCTTTGTTCTCCAAGAAAATGGGCGCATTAAAATAGGGTACATCATCAATTTCCACCTTGCAGACGAGATCATTTTGGCAAATATAACTGAAATTGCCTAAGGGAATAACACGCTCAGGCGGGCCCTGATCGAAATTTCCACGCCCACCACCGCCACCACGTCCGCTGCCGCCACGACCAAAGCCACCGCCGCCTCCTCGTCCAAAGCCACCACCGCCTCCTCGTCCAAAGCCACCTCCAACGGACTTGTTGAATCCTCCACCACCTCCGCCACGAAAACCTAATTAAATAAATATACATTTGTCATTTCTACGCTTAATATATTTATTTATTTACACACCTCTGCCGCCACCACCTCCACGACCGCGTCCGAATGACATTTTTATATTATTAATTTTCAAAACTGACTATAAACACGTGCGGCAATTAGTGATGTGCTACGGCGAGCCATTTTCCGACACTTATACGATGTGTAAACATCGCAGCGACATCTGCCGATAAGTACACAATGTGAAAGCAACGCTGCTGGCTCAAATATTATATATCAAGCAATATATATCGCGCTTGCGTGCGCCTTGTCACGCATGAACATACATCGATTAATGGCTATGTTGGGCTCAGAGCTGACAGTCTTTCGGTCATTTTCCATTAACAATTGTTAGCTGGTCTTAAAGTAATTTTAGACAGCGAAAAATACAGTAGTGTATTAACAAAAATAGTAATGTAATTAATAAAATAATTCGAACAATTTTCCAAGAAGATATCGTTTTACAAATGGTTTATCGTGTGCCCTAAATTATCGACAGATTTCGATATCGCATGTGATATAAACGATCGAATACATTTGGGATTTAGCATTGCAAATCGTTCGCACAAAAAATTAAGGTAGGTGAAGGAATGACGTCATACGGCGCATAGAAAAAGTGAAGCAGTGAATGGTGTGAATTAGTGAAAATTTAATTAAATCAATTCTGTTTTGTGTGAATTAAATGTTGAGTAAAGAAATTGTAAGCACTCAAATACACATAAACAGCGGATTAGAACAGATAATTAAGTGTTGTATGTAAATAGACTATATATATATATATATACATATGTATATATCTATACGCATATGTATGCACACACCTAAATTTTTATGTACATAGATTACAAGTGTTGCTCTAGCCGAAAACGAAAAAATAATTCGAATTTGTGCTTTTATTTATTATTGTAGAGTTCAATTTGAAAAATGACAATTGACGAGCCACAAAACGATTTACAAGCGACGACAGTAATTAAACGAAATCAATTACAAATAAATCCAAGTAGCGATTCGATGGACAACGGCAACATTGATAAATCGAATAACAGTGGCCAGCACCAAAAACAGGTAAAATGTGAAAAACAATTTCAGCTACACACATACACAAACAAACATACATACTTGCGTATATACACACACATACGTAAATTACGCATATTTCGAACACATACGTCACACGTCAAATTGTCAAATGACGGTTTAAATTGAATTTAGAGCAGAGTTGAAAAAAAATAAATTCATGATGAGATCACTTAGACGGACGCGCAGAAAATACACACACATATTATGCGAGCAATTGTTGATCACAGACAACAATAAAAAAAGAATAAAAAGTGCGCACGCATAAAATATACACATACATAAAAAATGAAAATGAATTATGGCTAGGGCTTATTAAAAAAACATATTATGCGAGCAATTGTTGATCACAGACAACAATAAAAAAAGAATAAAAAGTGCGCACGCATAAAATATACACATACATAAAAAATGAAAATTAATTATGGCTAGGGCTTATTAAAAAAACAAGTACGTTCATGGTGAAAATAATAAGTACACTACTCGCATTATTCATTTTTCTCCGTTATCTAATTTTTTAAATTGTTTTGGAACAGCCGGTTGCGGAATTAAATAATTTAGATAATGCCTGTACGTCCTATTTACAATTTATTCAAATTTGAAATTCACCAAATAATTTATGTTTACACTTATTGTTTGTCGATTACCAATTTGTACATGCAAAATTGAGCTCTAGTAATATATCGATAAACTTGGTTCTTTTACACAATTTATATGTCGATCACTAATTTCTACTTGCCACATTGAGCTTATGCATATACAAAATGTAACTTATTGTCTAACATCCATAAACTTAATAATTTAACATATACCACAAACTTTTGGAATTTAATTTATGCATATACACAATTTTGCTCTTATTGTCTAATAACGATAAATTTGTTGAACTTTAAACTAATATCAATACATTTTAATTATTTTTGCATAGAACGATGCCACCATATCTTTTCTACGCGCCGCACGCAGCGGCGATCTGGGTAAAGTGTTGGAATTCATAGATGCTGGCTTAATAACGGATATTAACACTTGCAATGCGGTAATTTAATATATATGTATTACAAATATATTCATATTTAAATTTATATATTTTTGTGTATGTATTTTTATTTTTATGTATATTTATATTTATTTCAAAATTATGCATTTTGGCATATATTTTGATCAAAATATATATGAAACAGAGCGCGGTTCACAAGATCGTTCCCAATGCGAGCCGACCAATCACAGCACGACTTGCCCGCTCTGCTCCTTTACCGTTTCGCGAGCATCGACTACACAACGCGACCCTTTGCTCTTTAGCCGGTTCGTGGGCATGAGCTGCTTTCCTTAATCGCTTCTTGAGTGAGCAGCTCAACAGCTACTAGCTCGTGCTCGATAAGCAAACACTGCTCTGTTACTTGTTTACATTTGTTTTATACCGATTTTAAATTAAATTTGTTACTTTTCCATTTAGAATGGTTTAAATGCGCTACATTTGGCGGCCAAGGATGGTTTTGTGGACATATGCAATGAGCTACTCAAGCGTGGCATTAAAGTAGACAGTGCCACCAAAAAGGGCAACACAGCGTTGCACATTGCATCGTTGGCAGGACAACAACAAGTGATAAAGCAATTAATACAACACAATGCCAATGTAAATGTGCAATCCTTGAATGGTTTTACGCCACTTTACATGGCAGCACAGGAAAATCATGATGCCTGTTGTCGCCTGCTACTAGGAAAAGGAGCAAATCCTTCGCTTGCCACAGAAGATGGTTTTACGCCGCTAGCTGTGGCAATGCAACAAGGACACGATAAAGTTGTCGCTGTGCTGCTCGAGAGCGATGTGCGCGGCAAGGTTCGGTTGCCTGCTCTCCATATTGCCGCCAAAAAGAATGATGTAAATGCTGCGCTGCTTTTGTTGCAACACGATCAAAATGCTGACATTGTTTCTAAATCCGGTTTTACGCCGTTGCACATAGCTGCCCACTATGGCAATGTGGATATAGCCGGACTACTCTTGGAGCGTGGTGCAGATGTTAATTATACAGCCAAGCATAATATAACGCCGCTGCATGTGGCATGCAAATGGGGCAAGGCGGCGGTCTGTTTGTTGCTGCTTGAGCGAAAGGCGCGCATCGATGCCACCACGAGGGATGGTTTGACTCCTCTCCATTGTGCCTCTCGCTCGGGGCATGTGGAGGTGATACAGCTGCTGCTCTCGCAACACGCCCCAATTCTGTCGAAGACCAAGAATGGACTCTCGGCGTTGCACATGTCCGCCCAGGGGGAACACGATGAAGCTGCTCGTCTGCTACTCGATCATAAAGCTCCTGTGGATGAGGTCACTGTCGATTATTTAACTGCTCTGCATGTGGCTGCCCATTGTGGTCATGTGCGTGTCGCCAAGTTACTTCTCGATTATGGCGCCAATCCCAATTCGAGGGCTTTAAATGGTTTTACCCCGTTGCACATTGCCTGCAAGAAGAATCGTATTAAAGTCGCCGAATTGTTGTTGAAACATGGTGCTAATATTGGCGCCACTACGGAATCGGGGCTGACGCCGCTGCATGTCGCCAGTTTTATGGGTGAGTCCCCAATTTTATTTCCAAATACATTTCTGATTTGTAATCTGTTTTTTAGTCTTCATTTTAGTTAGTTTTTTTTTTATATTGTGTCGAAAGTGCTTTTTGTAGCTGCGCTGAAGCATTTGTTTTATTTATAGTATTTGATTTATTTACTATTTAACGAGTTTTTATTTTATTTTTGTGTTTTCTTTTTCTATTTTGATATAATTCGTCGCCTATTGCTAGTCGATAACACTTGTAATCGACCTTTTGAACAGCGAGCAATTAGTCTTGTCAATTATCAGTTATAGTAAACAGGATTAACAACACTTAACAAAATGACATGCCTTCCAGTAAATGTCACTCTCTCTTCTGAAAAGCTTCAATTTTTGCACACAATTGGCATTTGGCAATTCACCTTTGCTAGTTAAAAAGAAATTAAACTAATGTGCATAAGTCTGCAAGTCTAAAAATAAAATATAACACTCAATTTGTTAAGCACCGCATTGAAAATTAGTGAAATCTAGGTAGTTGTCCGCTCTCCGATCAGTGTTGCCAATTACCCAGCAGTGAACTAGTGAATGAGTCCTCTTCTCTACTTACCGAACATTCTGAGTGCATAGAAGTAAATTCATTACCATTACCATATTAGTAATGCTCTTGCGCACTTTTAATTATTTTGCCGTCGTAGCTTTACTTATTCTGGTAAAGTGTTTTTTTTTAATTTTTATTCGTTACATTCAAATTATATATATATAGTTTATACAAATTTTCAATGCATAAAAAATATTGATTTGGAATTGAATTCGAAATTTGCTGTTTGCTCTATAATCGATAGAAAGCTGTAACAAAATCATGTGTGCCGTTAGATGGCGAGTGATATTGACATTAAATAAATACAATAAATATGTAAATAAGTAAATAAATAACACATCTAAAATCAACAATTATAAAAATATTAAATATTTAAAAATAAATAAATATATGTACGCCCAGAAATCTTATAAATATTCGTCATTTTCTTAATTTAAAAATTGAAATATTAAATGTTTAATTTAACTAATTTTATTTATAAATAAATAATATATGATAGTGTATATCTAACCGTGGCTTTAGCAGGGTACCTTCCAGTCGTGCTCTCTCTCTCTCTCTCTCTGTGATGCTAATTCCATTCTCTTTTTTTACAGGTTGCATGAACATAGTGATTTATTTGCTGCAGCACGATGCGAGTCCCGACGCGCCCACAGTGCGTGGCGAGACACCACTCCACCTGGCAGCGCGTGCCAATCAGGTTTAGAATTACAAACTGATCCATCATATATATAAATATATTAATAATCCGCATCTCTCCCTAGACGGATATCATACGCATTCTCCTCAGGAATGGGGCACAAGTGGATGCCATTGCTCGGGAGGGACAAACTCCGTTGCATGTTGCCGCCCGGCTGGGCAACATTGACATCATTATGCTAATGTTGCAACATGGGGCACAAGTGGATGCCGCCACAAAGGATATGTATACAGCTTTGCACATAGCCGTCAAGGAGGGCCAGGAAGAAGTGTGCCAGCAGCTGATCGATCAAGGCGCCCAGCTGGATGCAGTGACCAATAAGGGATTTACCCCCTTGCACCTCGCCAGTAAATATGGCAAGGTCAAAGTGGCAAATCTGCTGCTCCAAAAGGGTGCCACCATCGATTGTCAGGGCAAAAATGAGGTTACCCCGTTGCACGTGGCAACCCATTACGATCATCAGCCGGTTGTACAATTGCTACTGGAGCGTGGCGCCTCCACACAAATTGCGGCACGCAATGGCCACACTTCCCTCCACATTGCGGCCAAGAAAAATAATCTAGAGATTGCACAGGAGCTGTTGCAACATGGTGCGGAAGTTGCTGCCACAAGTAAATCGGGTTTTGCGCCGCTGCATTTGGCTGCCCAGGAAGGGCATGTGGAAATGGTTCAACTGCTGCTGGAGCAAGGAGCTAATGCAAATGTTGCTGCCAAGAATGGACTGACTCCTCTCCACTTGGCTGCCCAAGAGGGAAGAGTTGTGGTTTCCCGTTTGCTCCTCGATCATGGCGCCAATATTTCCGAGCGCACCAAGGCTGGTTATTCTCCGCTTCACATTGCAGCGCACCACAATCAAATCGATGAAATTAAATTCCTTTTGGAGAACGATGCCAAAATTGAGTTAACCACAAATGTGGGCTACACCCCACTCCATCAGGCTGCCCAACAGGGTCACACCATGGTCATCAGCCTTCTGCTGAGACACAAAGCAAATCCAGATGCGGTCACAAATGTAAGTCGAACAATTTCATTTCTTACCTTATTTGAATTTGCGGTCATGTTTTTTTGTATTTGTTTTCGTAGGTGTTGGTAAATATTTGTTTAAAGTGGGCATAGTTGTTAAATACATAATTGGTATTGAGGATATTCCTTTGTGTTGTTTAAATGTGTATTCAAATTAAAGGTATTCTATTTATTATTAATGTCGCGTTGTTAAATAATAATTGGAGTATTCCCTTTTTTATTTATATTTATTTGTACAAGCGAAATTTTGTTTTATTTATAATTTATGTATTTTTGATTTACTGCATTTACTGCACACAACCATTTGCATTTAACAAAATAATAAGCACAGGCGAAAATGACTGACAAACGCAAATCGATGCCGCTTATAATCGACCTTTTTGATCAGTGAGCAAATAGTGTTGCCAATTATAAACTGTAGAAAAAGGATTAACAGCACTAAACAAAATTATTTGCCTTCTGTTATATGGCGCTCTCCCTTTTGTTGCACTCACCAATTCCCAATTGATCTTTGCTATTTAAAACCAAATTAAACCAGATGCCTTGCGAATGTCACCATAAAATTAAAATACCCTCGGCAATTGTATATAGAAATATGCACTTAAAAAAGCTCGAGCTTTTTCCCAAGTAAACAATAAGAGCAGCAACACAATATTTGATAGTATTTTCTATTTTTAAATCCACACAAATGTGTATACATACTTACACACACGCATGCATAGCATCAGCAGGCAATATTGAATAGTCTGTGGTAAGAATTGATCGAATGCCTTGCCTGCGATTGGCTGGTACTCTATGCTGTCTAAGAGCGTGGCCGCTCTCTTGTGTTATTCTTTATTTATTCACACACGCATATATAGAAGCAGCTTGCGTTTTCAGAGAGCGTAAAGGAATGGAAGAGGTGTTCATTGTGTATGTACGTTATGGCGGGGGAGAGGTGGTGGGTAGTGTTTTGCTTGTGGAAATTCGGGCGTTATTTGAAAAAATTGATTTGAAATAGTTTTGCATAAAACATTGAGTTGAACGCTTCAGTGCTGGACAAGAAAAATAGAGTGAAATAGAAAACAAAAATAGTAATAAAACGATTAATAAATATAATAAACCAAATAGTACAATAAATAGTAAAAATAATAAATAAATATAATTAAATAATAAATAAAATTGCTAGTTTAACATATTTAAATTAGATTTATTATTAATTATATTAATATATATATATATATATATGTATTTTTTTAATTTGTGATTTTGCTGGTTGCTTGTGTTTTCCAGAATGGACAAACGGCATTGAATATTGCGCATAACTTGGGCTACGTAACCGCCGTGGAAACGCTGAAGGTCGTCACACAAACATCGGTTATAAATACGACGACGGGCTTTATCGAAGAGAAATATAAAGTTGTTGCACCCGAATTTATGCACGAAACTTTACTTTCGGATTCAGAGGACGAGGGCTGTGACGATCTGTTGGATCATCAGAATCAATATAAATATATGGCAACGGATGATCTGAAAACAACCCATGACGATGAACATGATCATCAAAATTTCGATACAACCAATCCCGAACACGAACAAATCGAGCGTGCTATCGAAAGAGGTGAAGCGAGCGACGATGATTGCGTCATTTTATTCAAATTTATTTATGTATTCCTTTTCTCTTCTGTTAACTGGCAGAAATGATTCGCACAACGGAAGCGACGAATTTGAGTGCTTCGCCAATGGAACGACAAACGGATAATGTTGTCATTGTGCGACCGCCTGTGCATTTGGGGTATGCTCCATATTTCTCAGTAATTTTAATTATAATTCTAATTTGAAGTCGTGATTGCGTAGATCGATTAAATGTTGTCGTAGTGCAAAGCGGAATCCATGCTGTTAACAACTTGAAACATACTGTAACTCCACAAATAAGAAAGCGCTGTAAAGCAACTCACGAAATCCTTACTGTTAAGCAACTCACCGTTAGCCATATAAACCATACTTTTAACTGAACTGTTAAATGTAAAGAAATCGACTTATTTTTTGAAGGATCTCAAATGTATTATATATAAATATTATTATAATAGAAACTTTAAATAATACCCGTATTATATTTGTTTCTACAGCTTCCTTGTCTCATTTTTGGTCGATGCACGGGGTGGTTCGATGCGTGGCTGTCGCCACAGCGGTGTAAGGATAATTGTGCCGCCAAAGGCTTGCGCGGAGCCAACGAGGATCACCTGTCGCTATGTGAAGCCACAAAGAGTAGCAAATCCGCCGCCACTGATGGAGGGCGAGGCACTCGTCAGTCGCATACTCGAAATGTCACCTGTGGAAGGCAAGTTCTTGAGGTAAATAGAAAAATAAATACTCTGTTATTTAGTTACTTCTTTATGATATTTACTACACAAAACCTATTAACATTTAACAAAATAATAGGCAGAATGGCCGTTCAACGCGATAACTCTTTTAATCGACCTTTTTGAGCAGCGAGGAATTTAGTGTTGCCAATTAGCAATTATAGAAAACAGGATTAACAGCATTGAACAAAATTACAAGCATGCCGACCGATTGCGCGTACAGGAATTAATTCGTCTTTATTTGTCTATTTAAAACAAAATACGTTAAGCTATAAAAAATATTATATTGTGTCTAACACTTGTAATCGATTTTCTTTAAAACGTGCATTGAAAATTTGATGTATATTTTTGTATTCAACAATTGGTTCGATTTTTTTATTTAAAGCAAGCATTATTTTTATACTAATTCTAATTATCCTAATACGTAAATTTCTAAAGAGCGCATTGAAACGAGAAATTTACGAACGCAATCAGCGATTACAGAAAATGCGTGTATGACGCTCTGATTAAATCAGGTGTTATTATTTAAATACATTGGAATACTTACTCTTCACTTGTTATATATATATTATTAGTTTATATATATGTTTCTCTCCGTTCTGAAGCCCCATTGTGCTGGAGGTACCACATTTCGGAGCATTGCGTGAACGCGAGCGTGAGATAATCATACTCCGCTCGGACAATGGAGAAAGTTGGCGCGAACACAGCGTCTACGAAAACGAGGAGCATCTCCTGGAAACGCTGAACGAAACGATCGATGGGGAACTAAATCCTCTCGAGGATTTGCACACCAGTCGCATAATACGCATTGTGACTCAAAATGTGCCCCATTTCTTTGCTGTTGTCTCACGGGTGCGGCAAGAGGTACACGCTATTGGCCCTGACGGGGGCACTGTGGCATCAAGTGCTGTGCCCCATGTGCAGGCCATCTTTCCGCCCCATGCGCTGACCAAGAAGATTCGCGTCGGCTTACAGGCGCAGCCAGTGGATCTGATCGGTTGCTCCAAGCTGCTTGGACAGGGCGTAGCCGTCTCTCCGGTGGTAACCGTGGAGCCGCGTCGCCGTAAATTCCACAAGGCAATCACATTGAGCATGCCGGCACCCAAAAGTTGCAATCAGGGCATGGTCAATGCTCAGTACAATGGAAATGCGCCAACTTTGAGATTGCTTTGCTCCATAACTGGTGGCCAAAATCGCGCCATTTGGGAAGATGTCACCGGTTCGACGCCCCTCGCCTTTGTCAAGGATAGCGTCAGTTTTACGACGACAGTTTCCGCTCGGTTTTGGCTCATGGATTGCCGTAATGTGGGCGATGCCAGCCGGATGGCTGCCGATCTTTATTCGTACATGGCTCAAGTGCCTTTTATCGTAAAATTTGTCATCTTTGCCAAACGCATTTCTTTAACGGAGGCCAAATTGTCCATCTTTTGTATGACCGATGACAAGGAAGAGAAAACGTTGGAGCAACAGGCGTCCTTTACGGAGATCGCCAAGAGTCGCGATGTGGAACTGTTGCAGAATCAGCAAATTTATTTGGAATTTGCTGGGAACTTGGTGCCCGTCTTAAAATCCGGTGATCAATTGAATATCAAATTTCAAGCTTTTCGCGAGAATCGCTTATCGTGCATTGTCCATCTCAAGGATGCGGAGCAGACCCAGGCACGCATCTCTTTCATGGCACAGCCAAAGGTGGAACCGGGCCAGGCTCCGCTACAACCGATCTGCGCTTTAAATCTTTGCCTGGATCAGTTGGAGGAGCAGGAGCAGGGTTTCAATGGAAACCTCAGCAATGGTCATGGCCTCAACTATAAAGATTTAATTAATGCCGAGATTAAGGCCAGCAATCAGGAGAAGCTGTCCATACAACGTGCCGATATACGTCTCTCGGATATATCCAATCTGTTATCTGAAGATTGGCCTAGGCTTGCCCATGAGCTGGGTGTTACCAGCAGCGACATTGATTTGGTCAAAGCGGAGTATGTCGATCAGCCACAGGCACAGCAGAGTCTCGTCATGCTGCGCCTCTGGCTGGAGCAGCAAGGAAACGGCGCAACTGGCAATGCTATGTCGCAGGCTCTATCCAAAATTGGACGCGATGATATCGTCGAGCAGTGTATTTATAATCTTGAACTGGTCACCGATAAATTAGAACGTGGTCTAGCTAATGTTCGAATGCGATCGGCGCCACCAGCTTCGACTCCTATTCTAACTGATGGCCTCAACGAAACCCTCAATATTGAACAACTTTGCGAAAGTAAGCAAAATAATGGTTAGTAAAATTGAATTAATTCCTTTCAATTCGATTATAATAAATGTTCAATTGTAGTTCTACTCTGCTCGACGCCGCCAACAACGCCCATTGAGCTGCAGGATTCTCAATATCAAATCAATTTTCAGCGAAGCGCTGGTAAGCATTAAATATTGTCTTTAGTTTAAGTTGCAATAAGTTTATATTTTATTTAGCGCTCTTTTTCTTTAGTTCAATTATCGACTATCGATTAGCAGAGTTGGTTTTAATAGCGCGTTTAACAGCGTTGCTTAGCATACACAGACCATTTCGAGTAATTAACAATATGGCGCTTAACATTGAGTAATTAATATGATGGTGCTTATATATGAATGAGCTAAAAGAGCTAAAATCGTATACATTTAAATAAGCTAACGGAATTGCATAACTTAGAAGTTAAGCAATGATTACAGGGCTTTTATTAGTGCTTAACAGCGTTGCTTAACAAATTAGTTATACATATGTGGTCACACATACACATACCATTTCGCCGCAATAACAATATGGCGCTCATATTTAAATGAGGGCATTACATATCGATTAGCAGTGTTGCTGAACATAATTAGAGATATATTAACACGCGCCAACATAACTAGTACGTATTAACATCTATCTATTTTAATTTCACAGACAATTCAATAATTAAACCGATTGAAGTGGAGGGTGCTCTGCCCGCTTCCTCGGAAGACATGCTGCTGAAGTCCCTGGTGGACAAATGCGCCATAATAGAACCCCCGAATTCAAAATGGACTGGCGTTAATCCAGCAAATGATTTGTTACAAAGTGAAATTGAAGAATCGCATATCAAAACCATAACGAAGCTTTCTCCCCCATCCGATATCGAATGCAATATGTCCAAGCCGACAACAACAATAACCGATTGACCAATCGATAACTTTTAAAATTTTGCATGTGTGTGTGTTTGTGTTTAGCTCTGTGTATCGCCTATATTTATTCTTGTGTATTGTATGTATTTTAAATTTATTATTTTCAAAAGCACTCTTCAATCCATTGCAAATGTATTAAACGGTCGAGTATCTATTTTATATATATTATCAAGAACTACATTTAATCCATGTGATAAGCGGTCAGAACAAAAGCAACAAAAAAGAAATAATTCTGTTATCGTTTATTGAGTCATTTTGATTTTCAATACTATTTTTTTTCCTTATTTAACTAAGATTTGTCTCCCAGTAAAAATAAAATATTTTCAATATATGTACCATCGAGCGTATTTAAAACATATACTGGGAATTCCTTGAATTCATTATCATCATAAGTCGAAAAACGTAATATTGTATTTGCAAAAATAAATTGTTGAACTATAATTAACAGTTTTTGAATTAAAAACAATTTTCAACATTCAATTACAACTCCCCAAGCAGCAGCAAGATGATTTGCATTTAATTTCTATAAGCGTTAGCGCCAAATAAGAATTAGCTGCTTTATTTATTTATTTATCGATACTTTATGCACGCTGCTGAAAATCATCTGTTGTGCAAAAAAAATAATATTTATCGCCGGCTGTTCGATAACATGTATCACATGCAATTTATCGAGTAAGTTTCAATGGACTTTATCGAAATATACATATAATATATATATATATAAATATGTAGTTTGTGCTCGCACAGGGAGAGAAAAAAAACGCGTGGATGTGTAAAAGTAAAATGTGATTTCACAATTGCGATAAATTATCAATGAAAAGTAAATATTTAATGCAAAACAATAGTTATTAGAACCAAGCAGAGATATTTACGTGCAAGTGTTTAGTATTTAATTAATACACATGTGCAATAAAAAGATGTGTGTGTGTGTAAATATATTTACAGCAATTCAAAGGAAAATTGCTTTTTGCTATTCCCTGTTATGTCATCCTCAAAATCCAATCATCCGCATGATTCAAACAATTTTTAAAAGCAGCAGCAGCATATTTATTTTTATTTGATATATTAAGAAAATTGTAATTTTCATTTCGCCGAATTTGCCAGCGTTGTATTAATGTATGTATTTATCAGCAGAAATACATATGTAGATACACATATATATATATATATATATATATATATTTACACATATGTCACAATATGTAGTGGTGTGAGTGGCGACAACATCACCGTTATCGATTAATCTCAGCACAGAGAAGAATCCCTAATAGAAATCCAAATTAAAATTAATGTATAAAAATGAATTGCATATTGATTAAATGTATATTTATTAATTTCAGAAATAAATTGTGGACTTAGCCGCGATGATTATTATGCCTTTGAATGTTGCTCCTCAAGGAATGAGTTCAAATTTAATTAATTTAAAACAATTCAACGCGCCAAACATAAGTAAATTAAAGCAAAAAAAAAGGGAGAACCGCTAACAAATAAATCAAAAATATTGTGCAAGTGTTTGAAAGAATGAAATAAATTAAAGATAATTAAATAAAAAAGAAGTCTTAAAATACCCACGTAAGGACGAAATATAAAATACAAGAATACCACAATTAAATCAAATACTCCAATAATATCATAAAAAGAAATGTACTCATAAAATATGCAAGTAGTGAATACGAATACCATTTATTAATAAAATAGCCAAATACCAAATAAACACAAGAATACCATTAAAATAAATGTACGCATAAAATACTCAAGGTACAATTAGCTATATATAAACATATGGGCGAACAGGCATACCAAAATTTAAAAAAGGACTAAACAAATATCCATGTAATATAAACACGAGCAAAACGATCAAATTGGGAAATAGATAAATTAATTACGACATCGTTAACGATAACAAATAAACAAGTGTTTTTTTTCGTAGTTTCAACGTAATGAATTCAGTTCAAAGTGCCACCGAGCAGCAGGAGCAAATCGGGTCTTTTAAGCGTAGATTGCGCAAGCGTCGAAACGTCAGCGTCATTGACGCGTTAGGCAACACTGGTCTGACGACACTCTTGCAAAAATCCTACATAAAACAATTCTATTTCGAGAAGCGTGTCGGCAGCGGAGGAGCAGCAAATCACGAGAAGCAGCAGCCGCAGCAGCAAAAACAGCTGTTCAGTGTTGGCCAATTTGGATGATTAAAGTACAGCAGCAAGCGTCACGTATTTCACGGCTTACGTCAACGTAAACGTAAGCGTTATAAAAGCCACCCCACAAACATATATATGTTATGTTATCGATGAATTCAGCAAGGATGTTGCCATTTGACACTGGCCGCCATTTTGCAGCGCTTCCCGCATGCCGCGTGCAACACAAGCAGCCGCTGTGCAGCTGACATATCAAATTAACAAAACATAATTTCTCAACTATATAAGTATCTAGTATATAATTTATAAATCTCCGCCACTGTATATAAAAACAAAATAATTGACCAAAAATGTCAGCGACCCAACAGAGTGAGAGCATTACCTGTCGGTCGAATGCGCAGCCAGCAATGGTGCTGCAGCCCCTGGCGGACGAAACGGGCAGCAGCCGGCAAGCAGCGGAACAAGAGGAATTATTACAATTTTCACGTATTGCCACCAAAAATAATCTTTTAAAGCTTAATTGGTGGCACTCACCAACGCAGCCCACAATCGATATTGAAGCCTCGTTTCTTGCCGGAGGGGGCACAAACGGTATGCCCATGAAAATTGATAACAATAACAGCCTAAGCACGCCGGCAAAATCAATTATATCGTATAATCGCCACTCACGAAAAAAGGACAAAAATAATCACCACCAACAAAAACAGCAGCAACAGATGTCCACAGTTACCGCGGACAAAATTAACATTGATGTTGACGAGGATTCTGATCTGCAAGACTCGCAGCTGTTGGTGAAAGGTTTGTGTATAGAACTATGTTAACATAACATATTTTATTAACATTATTTACATAACTCGATCATCTGCAGCCGTGATATCGATTATGCTGTTTGGAGATCACAATTAATTTAGCGATACTTATCGCACGTTTCCTTTTTGAGTGCTGCCAGATTAATTTTTTGTTTTGTTAAATGATTAACAGTTTTTTTAAATGCGTAATTATATTAGTTTATTTATAAACACTGCTAATCTGTGCTTTATCACTGGAAAAATGTACGTCCAGAAGCTAGATAAGATAATTATAAGTAACATTAACAGGGCTAAGGCCCTAAATACAGTTAGTAACAAGCGCAACTTTTTGAAATTATAATTAGCTGAATTTGAACTTTGACAGCGACAGAGGAAAAGGAAGAGAAACAGAAACTGATATATAAATCTAACTGCAAAATATATTTTATTGAAGAAGAAGCAGATGAGAAGTTGATTTTTAAGTTGTGCAAATTTGATGTGCATTATTTATTTGTTTTTGTGGAGTTACATAACATCCTAAGCTAATAATTGTTTTTCTTTCCTTTTTTTAAACTATTAATAATCAATTTAGTCATGCGACGCTTTAAAATATAAGTTTACATGTAAATACTGTTTATTATTTACTACTTTGCCTGCGCAGCTGCTACGTCTCAGTTATTCTTGGGCAGCTGCGCTGTTCAGTTCAGTTTTCGGTTGCATGTTCGCACTGAGTGTTTTTAGTTGAGGCTTGGCGCTTGCGTTGATCGGTTTTCGATTTCGCTTTTCGGGTTTACGGTCTTTTTTTTTTTGGGTTCGGCTAAGGTTTCGTATTCGAAATCGAACAAATGTGAAATGTGTATGTAAGTATGTATATATGTACATACATATCTATGCAGTCAAACAAACAATGAGCAACAGGTGGCGCTGCTATGTATGCTTATGCATATTAATTTAATGGCAGGTCAAAGCATTGAGGTTTGGCCATTGAAACAAGGGCAATTGAATTCATAAGACACAGATGGCTTTATCATATATATACGTGTGTGTATGTGTGTATGAGTGTGTACCACGATAAAGCTGCCTTTTTTTCTCGTGCATTTTTTTTTTTGATTGTTATTCAGTGTTTAATGTTTATAATTTAATTTGTATTTTACTTATTTTTATTTTCGATTTGTTTTACGTTTTGATTGCTGACGCTTGTTGACTAATTGTCTTGCCTCTTCTCCTCTACATCGCTTTGTGCTTTTGTTTCAGCTTCGTTTAAATTCTTAAGTGCCTGCTGCTTGTCTGTGTGTGTGTGCAAATATAAATTAACTGTACACGCTGCATATGTATTTAATTTTTGAGTGTTTCTGCTTTTTCTCCATATGTAAAAAAAGCTTTAACATGTTTAATGTTAACGGCACATTTGTTGCACATACATATACATTTTCATATATGTATGTGTGTCATTCTTATTGACTTATTGTCTCACAGCTGTTGCAAATTTTAATTGTATGCTCATAAAAAGCAATTAAATTCAGAAACAGTTTAAAAAAATCAACACATTAAGGCCAATAATAAATATGTACGTAATATTAAGCTACATGTGTGTTTTTGTAGAAATTCACGTTTTTTCTTCTTCCGTTCCGTTCATTTCTTCGTCTATTCTTATCAATCGGATTTTATCTATCATATGTGTGTGTGAGTGTGTGGAAACATTTATGCTCGTTGTGCTGATTAAGCGTCGCTGCTGACTTCACTTCACATGTTGCTCAAGTGTTTGACGTGTGACAGTCACTCATTCAAATCATGCATGTGTGACAAAAAGCGAAGAACTGTAAATAACATATCGATTAACAGCTGGTAGCAGGCAGGCTCTCTCTTAACAGATGTGCAGCCAACTCACTTGTAGGTATATCATAATTACGATGTATTTGTGTTGTTGACTTATTAAATTACGATATATGTTAAATAAAAAATAATATAATGCGTGTCTTCTGATTTACAAATGTGGGGTATAATGAATTTCGTAAACACGGTATAAGTAATTACGGTATGTGTATCTGCTTGACTGTTCCTCTAATCAACGAAAATTGTTTTTTTTTTTTAAATATCGTAATTACGACATTTGTGTCTCGAATTTACGATGTTCGTATGTAGGCGTGTCTTTAGTTTAACTCAAATTTACATAAATATATGTAAGGATGCAGGATATGTTAAATATCGTAAATACGATATATATGTATACATATATATTTATACATATCGTATTTACGATATTTATATATATATATATTTATATATATATGTTAACTCTGCTTAAGTATCGACATCACGATATATCTACGATATGCCTGATTTCTTCGGTTTAAATCGAATTTAATTAAATATATATTCGAAAATACAGGGTATATTGTATGTCCATAAGCACTCAGCTTAGTATTACTTAAAGAAAGTATTGATTAAATGAAGAAAGGCAAATTGATAAAAAGTGAAATGTGCGAGTTTTAAATGTTAAAAACACATTTTACAGAAATTATAACCGGAAATAAGCTAAGAAAAGCTGATGATGAACTGCGATATATTGCAAGGTATGCATTTTAAATATGTATGTACTTGATTAAATTAAGTAAGTCTAAGTCTAAGACTAATTGGTGATTGGGGACAAATATAGATATAGACATCAGAATTTCTTATATTTCTATTCTATTTATTAATTTGCAAATTGAATAATGAATATATAAATATATATTTAATGAATGAAATATTAAAAATAATTAATTCAATTACCATATACCTAATTCTTTTAATTTCAGATCCGAAACCATGCGTGGCACTTTTGAATCAAGGTCAACCGGATCAGATGAAGATCAGCGGTTATCGTTTGTCCCATTTGCGTTCGATTTTATGCTGGATTTGCATAATTCTCACGGGTGGCTTGCTGCGACTCGTGTTGCACTGGTGGCGCCACTGGTATCTGCTTGCCACGTGCGAGTCCTGCTCGCTGCACGAGGCCCAGCAGGTCCTCATCGAAGAGGACTATCAGGGCAATCACAAGCTGTATCACGTAAAGCCTGTCAGTCTCCTGGATGTGGAGCAGCTCAAGTAAGTATTTATATATAGATTGAAAAAAAAAATATTTTCAAAATATGTGGAGTATTTTTTTTTATTTATTTACTATTTACATATATACTTATTTAATTTCAATTTAAATTTTGAATTAAAATAAAAAATAAAAGTAATATTTACAAGATTGATTTCTGGGGGTTTTTATATTATTTATTTATATATTTCCTCTTTTTTTAATGAAACAGACAATCAGAAAATGTCGCAAGTAAATAAAATTAAAATGTAAATTTAATGCCAAGCTGGGCCTACATTTATTGGATTAAAAATAAATATAATATAATAATATACCTTTCAGTTTAATTCTTTAAATACATATAATTAATATATTAATTAAATATTTCATTCAGTTCAATTCAATGAAATCCATTTATAAGATTGATATAATATTCAAATCCATTCCTTAAATAAGTATAATATATTTAAATAATATTCACTTCAAGTCTCGAAAAGCTCAAAATATATTCATTAAATATTCAATTAAATTCTTTAAATACATATAATTAACATTTTAATATATATTCAAGACAATTATTTAAATACTTTTAATAATAAATGTAATAAAACATGTAATACACCTTTCAGTTTAATTCGTTGAATATATATAATATATTAATATATATTAGTAATAGATTAATATTTAATACTCACTTCAATTATTTTTTTCTGCCTTTTAGAAAACTAATGCAAAAGAAAGTGCCTGGCGAGGATTTCGATGACAACAAACTTCAACTGGCTGTGCATTTCTCCTCGGCACACTTTAAAAGTGAGTAACTAAATGAAATAAATACGATTTTCAGTAAAAGTCTACTTTCTTTTAGACTGTCGCTCGTTGAGAATAATTCGCTGTAAGCAATTGATTTATGCCTGGGACAGCAGCATCAACAGCTTCAATAAAATCAATGGCCTTGATGTGAATGTGCCCTGCTCCTATTACCATCAGCAGCGAGGATTGAGTCTGCAGGAGCAACTCTCTCGCAGGATTGTTTTCGGTGAGAATGAGATCACCGTTCCACTGCGAGATGTGAAGACTCTACTATTTCTGGAGGTCCTCAATCCGTTCTATGTATTCCAAATATTTTCGGTCATTCTTTGGTTTGCCTACGATTATTATTATTATGCTTGTGTCATTGTTCTAATGTCCGTCTTTGGCATTTCCATGTCCATTATGCAAACCAAAAAGGTGAGTTGCAGTTTTAAATTATTTTGATGCAGTAATTATAAGTATATATATATAATCTATATCTGTGCTTTGCAGAATCAAGATGTGCTCCAGGAAACGGTTCGCAATACGGGCAATGCTTGGATCGTCAATTCCAAGGGCATTTCCATGGAACTGTCGACTAAAACCTTGGTACCTGGTGATATTATTGAGATACCCTCAAGTGGCTGCACGATGCAATGCGATGCTGTTCTACTCTCCGGCAATTGCATCCTGGATGAATCCATGTTGACGGGGGAAAGTGTTCCGGTTACGAAGACTCCGCTGCCTCAGAAACGCGATGTGATCTTCGATAAGAAGGAACATGCGAGGCACACGCTCTTCTGTGGCACAAAAGTCATTCAAACTAGATACATTGGCTCCAAGAAGGTGCTCGCCTTTGTCATCAATACTGGCAATATTACGGCGAAGGGGGGCTTAATACGATCCATTCTGTATCCTCCGCCGGTGGATTATAAATTTGAACAGGATTCGTACAAATTTATACAATGTTTGGCTCTGATTGCATTGTTTGGCTTTATCTACACGCTCGTCACGAAGGTGAGAGATGTGTATTTATATAAGCCCATTTATGATTTATATTTTTTAGAAGATGTAATAATGGTTTACTTCTATTTTTTGATTTAAGTCTAGTTAATATTTGATAAAAGCTGTTACAATTAATTACTTAAAACAAAGCAGAAGAGAGCACAATAAGGAAGAGAAAGAACGAAGAACTCTCGACTGCCAAATATAAATTTAAACTATTCATATCTTTATGGAACTTTATAGTATTTTTGTTTCATAAGATAAGTAAATATATGTGTAGTAGGTACACTATTTATAGATGTATTGTAGTTTATTAATTGATTTTATGCATTTAGAAATTCCATAAAGATACCCTGTATCGCTATCTTTATTTTAGTCTACTTTATTTATATTTGATTATCTATTAATTATAAATATTTAATTAGATATATATATATTTTTTATATACGTATTTCTACATTCTACTACAACATATTATTTTAATTAAATTCTTTTATTTAAATTTGTATTTATTTGTCCATTTATTTTATATATTTATTTATAAATTCTACTACTTCATATTATTTTATTTACAATCATTTGTCTATTTATTTATTTTTATTTGTATTTATTAGTCTATTTATTTTTATTTATATTTATTTATCTGTTTATTTATTTTATATATATTTCTAAATTCTACTACTTCATATAATTTTATTTATTTTCATTTATCTATTTATTTTTTTGATATGTATTTCTAAATTCGCTTCTACTGCTCTTCTTTGCAGATCGTACGTGGCACGGATGCCTTGAAAATAGCCGTGGAATCTTTGGATTTGATAACGATTGTTGTGCCACCCGCTTTGCCCGCTGCGATGACCGTCGGACGTTTCTATGCCCAGAAGCGGCTCAAAACTTGCAACATATTTTGCATATCGCCGCGTTCCATAAACGTGGCAGGCAGCATTGATTGCTGTTGCTTCGATAAGGTTCCACGTTATATATATACGCCTAGTAAAAGAAAGTTAAATTAACATATATAAATTTTAATTATAGACTGGCACTTTAACGGAGGATGGACTCGATATGTGGGGTGTGGTGCCCAAATCGTCAACGAATCAATTTCAAATACCACTCAAGGATGTCAAACGTTTGCCGTGCGAACATTTTCTGTTTGGCATGGTCACCTGTCACTCGATCACCGTGATGAACGGCGTCAAAATGGGTGACCCGCTGGACCTGAAAATGTTTGAATCGACTGGCTGGCTACTGGAGGATGCCAATAATATACCAGAGAATGAAAAATATGGACTAATTTATCCAACTATTCTCAGGCAACCTATTTTAAAGGAAACTGGCAAAACTGAAGGAACTGTGCAACGTCAAAATTCCGTAGACGATTTATTGGCCAATGTTGGCCTGCTGAAAACAGTCAAAAATTTCGATCATGGCATAGTGCGTGAATTTCCATTTACCTCTAACTTACAGCGTATGTCGGTCATAACACGCTGCCTCAACGCCAGCGGTTTTAATGTGTATTGCAAGGGGTCGCCGGAGATGTTGCAACAATTGTGCCTGCCACAAAGCCTGCCCAACGATTATAGCCAACAATTGTCGAGCTTTGCCAAGAAGGGTTTTCGCATCATTGCCTTGGCCTATAAAAGTTTAAATCCCCGTTTGAATTACACAAAAATTCAGCGATTATCACGTGAAGATGTTGAACATAATTTGGAATTTCTTGGTTTTGTTGTGCTCGAAAATCGCTTGAAGCCGGATACGACGCAGGTTATTAAATCCCTGAATCTGGCCAATATACGCACCATAATGATAACCGGTGACAATATATTGACGGCCATGAGTGTGGCACGCGATTGTGGCATTGTCAGTGCCACACAATCGGTGATAACGGTGCATGCCGTACCCGATGCAGGCGGAATCAATTTTGAATTGCAATACACGCTGGAACTGGGCAGTCAAAATCTAACCAATGGCATCGGAAACTTGGAAAATGATTTAACTTTGGACCTGGACTTGAATAAATCCACAAATAAATTAGTAAATGGAAACTTGGCAAATAGCAACAGTTTGACTAGTGTTAAAACCATTGAGACTTGGACGCATAACGAGGAGGAGGAGGAACTAGATTTGGATGTGGAGCTGGGTGCGAGCTCAGCGAGTATTAAATCCCCTGCTCCTTCACTCAAGGACAACAGCTGGCGGCGTCACTATATCTTCGCCATGGATGGCAAGACTTGGCAAATTGTGCACGATTTATTTCCCCAGCAAATGGAAATAATTTTAACACGCGGCGCAATTTATGCGCGAATGTCGCCGGAACAGAAACAGTCACTGGTTGTGGAACTGCAAAATCTGGATTATTATGTGGCCATGTGCGGGGATGGCGCCAACGATTGTGGTGCTCTCAAAGTTGCCCACACGGGCATCTCGCTGAGCGAAACGGAGTCATCGATAGCATCTCCATTCACCTCCAGGAATCCAACGATTTCCGCTGTGCCGAATGTAATCAAGGAGGGTCGCGCTGCTTTAGTCACCTCGTTTGGCATTTTTAAATATATGGCTGCCTATTCTTTGGTTCAGTTTATATCTGTTATGATTCTCTATTCCATCGATTCGAATCTAACGGATAAACAATATCTTTATATTGATTTGGGGCTGATTTCCATTTTTGCCTTCTTCTTTGGCAAAACGGAGTCCTTCGATGGGCAGCTAGTAAAACAGGTTCCACTCAGCTCTTTGATCTCTCCGACGCCTATGGCCTCACTCCTCCTTCATTTGGCGGTGGCAACTGTCTTCCAAGTCGCCGGTATGTCGGGTTTATATATGTATAGTTATATATATTTAACATGATTATAGTTTATAAGTATTTTCTTTTAATTTTCAAAGTTTAATTTCAATTAGTCTTTAATAAGTTTATTGTGATAATTAAATATATATATAAATAACCAAATATATATATATATATATTTCGATTTTAATATATAAGTCGGGCTTATATATATAGTTATATATATTTACGTTTTCTTTTAATTTTCAAAGTTTCATTTGTAATTAATTAATTATATAGTATAATAAATTAAATATATATATATATTCGATTCGATTTTAATATTTATTATTAGAAATAATTTTTAATATGCAGTTTTTTTTTTAAATTTGATTTTCATTTTCTAATTATAACTTATATTATATTATAGCACTATATATTTAATTCTTCTAATTAGAATTTAGTATATATAGTTCTATTTTATATTTATTATAGCATATATTTATTATAGGCTATATTTTAATTTTATTCCATTTTGCTTATATTCGTTTTATTTGCAAGTTGTTTGCTTTCCAATTTTAGTTTTTAATACTTGCTTTAATTGTTATATATAAATTTAAAATAAATATATTATATATTTAAAATAAATATATTATATATTTAAAATTATGTAAATATAAAGATAAGCAATTTTTTATATTTATATTTATTTATCTATTTTTTGTTTACATTTTCTATTATTTTTAGTGGAGTTGTACATATATAATATATATTTAATAATAGACTATATTATAATTTACTTTTATTTGACTAATTTAATTTTTTTACATTTAAATTGTATTTTCTATATACAAATATTTACTATTTATTGAACTCATTTGAATCTATTCTTTATTCCAGGCTGGTTGCAGTTGCATCAACAGTCATGGTTTGAGCCCTTCAAGCCGGGATCGGATGAGTCTGAGGATCACCTGGGTTGTTTTGAGAACTATACGATGTTCGCCATATCGAGTTTCCAGTATATAATATTGGCCTTTGTCTTCTCGAAGGGTGCGCCATATCGCAAACCGATCTGGTCGAATTGGCCATTATGCCTGTGCCTGATTCTCAACATAATGATTGTTGTCTATTTGGTGGTTTATCCCTCCCAGTGGATAGCGCACTTCTTTCAACTGATTGTTCCGCCCGATATGGATTTTCGCTATATAATGTTGGGTTATGGTTTGGTCGCATTTTTAATTCATGCTTTTTTGGAGGGTTTCGTTGTGGAATCTTTGATCTTCAAGCGTTGCCAGGTACGACGCGAACAGCGCCTCAAAACATCCAAGCGAAAATATATGCGATTGGAGTATAATATTAAATCCTTCGAAAATTGGCCACCCATCACACAGGTCTACGATATAGCCAACGATCCGGCCGATTCAAATGCCGATTTGCAGCCAACTTATGTCAATTTAAGTGCCGAACAAAATTTGGATGCTCAGCCGAGTGGATTTCCGGGTTTCTTTGAAGCATCGCCGGAGTATGTTCCTGATCCTACTTATGACCATCTCTCCAGCTGAAAGCTCACAAATATCTAAATGTATATATATAGACATCCAATATTGTGTCTAATTTAATTTCTAATTCTAGTTTTAAGCTTGGGTTTAATATTTGGATTTTGTATAATTAACTAAGCTTCGTTTGGTACACCTGTACCAAAATGTACCATTTATTATGATTGTAGTAGGTACCTAGTTATATACGAACTGTACATACGTACGAACTGTACATACGTACCATGGATGTACCATGCACCAAAATCTACCACTTTACAGATACGTGTACCATGTACTACTTATCGTAATAGGTACTGGGCTATAAATTAATTGCAATGTTTGTACCATGTACTAATTAATGTGTGCTTAATTGAAGTTGTACAATCGTACCAAAGTGTACCATGTATCAAAATATACCCTTTATCATTTACTGAAATTGTAATAGGACCTGTAGATATATATTAAAATAGTACATTTATACAATAATTGTACATATGTACCATTTACCTAGTTATAAATGCATTAAAATTGTACTTATTGTGTTATTATTGTACTTAGCTCGTTTAAGGCCATATTACCTAATGTTTTTTGGCTTTAAAACCGCCAAACGTATTTACTTATATTATAAATCTGCGTAGTTATTTATGTAAATAAATAATTATATATAATAGGGATTGTGTGTGTGATTAGATATATAATATATAAAATACTACCTCTACTAATGAGTACACACACACACAGCCAGATGCAACTATTTTCCAGCATTTCTACTGAACCGCGCTTTAAATTGTTATTAATATTTATTATACAAATTGATTTTATATGAAATGCAGTAGTTTGGCTGCTGAATAAGAATTCAATAAAGACGTTAAAAACTTTAATTCATTTATATTTGCAGGACTACATATCTCCTTTTAGCTCTGTTGGAATAATTACTCATTTCCTAACGTGGATTGCTTAATATTTACTTCAATCTGCATATTTAGTATTATTTATTTGATTTTAAATATTATTTATTTTTAATTTACTTTTTTCTACTTTTATTATTTATTTATAGCAATCAATAACTACGTTTATCGACATATTGATTATTTATGTATGTCAAAATTTGTTGCTTAATTTAAGAAACTTTATTATTTATTATTTTATTAATTTTGCAGATTTCTTCATATTTACTTTTTATTATTTATTTTCTATTGTTTATTTATTTAGTATTATTATTTATTTATTTTTTATTATAATTAAAAATGTATTATTTTTTATTATATATTCTCTTAAACTATATTCTTTCCTGCTTTAAATATTTACTATAAAAAGCAATTTTTAGTCATCGAAAGCTGGTTTTATGGCGCGCCTGCCATAATTGTATTTTTATATTTATATAACAAAGAAATGTGCGTGTGTTATACAAAACTGTGCGAATTTACAACAAGCATAGCTCTGATACACACATGCATAGGAAATGCATGGATAATATACAAAAAAAACATTTGCGATTTTGCTTTCAACAGGTGCCGATTATAAATCGTGGTGAGTTTAAGGTTATTACATGCTGACATTTGCAGATTCACACAAACACAATTAACAGCAAACTACACACAAACACACACTGAGAGACACACAGCATGCATAGGAATTCACCTGAAGCAGTCAAACAGCTTTTGCGCATGTGCGCAAGGCAGCAGCAAAGTCGAACCGGACTTCGGCTTCGGGTTTGAGCCGTCATCGCCGTCGTCGCCAGCAGCAGCTTCAAACTTGTTGCCTTTTGCTTTTGCGCAGACGAAGTCAGTTTTGTGACTTTCGTCTGCAGGGCAGTAACGTGTGTGCGCATCATCGGAAAAGAGTTTTGCAAGAAGTACGTATCTGTGTGTGTCTCTGCATGGAGATCATGTGTTTATGTGTGTGTGTGTGTGCATGTAAGTGTTCGCTCGTGCCAGTTTCCCACGCCATATTCGTTACAACAATAATAAGCTAAAAAGTCATATATATATATATATATATATGTGTGTGTGTAAATTGAACAAGCAATGCAAATGATGCAGACATTTGCCAACACATACACCCAGACCTGTTAAAAATACAACACAAAAGCGTAAAAAAATCCAGTTTGTAGAAAAAATTAAAAATTCAATACAACAATGAATTAAATCATCATGGCTGAAACGAACAAAAAATCTAATACATAATGCCCAAAAGTATATCGAAATAAAGAATTATTTATATTCACATTCAGAACTTGGATACCCATAACGACCGCCCACACACACGCACACACATACACAAGGGCACATGTGTAACTGTATGTGCTCGTATAATTTACGGTGTGCGTGTTAAATGTTAAATGAATCCTGTTTGTAAACAGCAAAGCTTAAGAGAACAGAAGCAGCAACAGGTGTAACAGGTAGAGGAGCAGGAGTTATAGGAGGAGCAGCAGGAGTAACAGGAGGAGGAACAGCTACAGCAGCAATTTACATCAGCAGCAGCAGTCGTTGAACGTGGCGGGCATTTGACACAATTCAAAATGTCGGCGACGACGCTGTTATGTCGGCGGCAACTCAGCCCGCGCCTGTTGATCTTAGTTATCGCTCTAGCAGCGGCAGCAGCGCCATCTATTGTTCAAGCGCAAAAATATGGTAAGCTTCACACAAACACACATACATATTAACATATTTGCAAGCTTGCTATGTGGGTTAATGCAAACATACAAACATGTGTATGTGTGTTATATCTGTTTAGCTGTAAATGCGAATTGCCCAATATTATCACAATCAATTTACAAAAGACGGGTAAGAGAAAGCTAAAACTGGTTGACATGACACAGAGATGAGTGTCTTTTATTAATTTTATTATTAAAATATTACCAATTTACAGTTGGCAAAATACAAAAAAAATAAGCGGCATTTTGATACAACATAACCATGTATTTAGGACATTTTAATATTGCTGTGAAAAAATAAAAATAAAGAGAAATATGCCAATAGCTATATAATAATTAAATAATAAAAAATAACGTATTTTTATAAGAAAAAACCCTGTACTTAGGACTTTTTAATTTTGCTGTGTAAGGAAGAAAATAAAAGCTAAATAAACAGTATTTTTGTAATTAGTTTGTGTGCCATTAAAGGATTATTTTAACATTTGCTGTGCAAATGTCATTGAACCTGTTAATGGACAGCTTCCAACAACAACAACAACACTTTCAACGTCCTCTTTTGCATCCGTTTTACTGTTAAGGCGATTGCCTGCTAAGTAAACCGCTTGACTGCGCCATTTATGGATACGGACGTCAACTCACACACACATGCACACACACACACACATGCACACACACACACACATATATATATAAATGTCTATGCATGTCTGTCCATGTTGTCTTTAGTTACCATTGACGTAAAAACAAAACAAGAACTGAACTCGCCGGTTAAAGCTGCTTTCACAATACAAGCAAGTCGCAGCAAAAATAAAAAGCAGCTCCATCAACTTAATAATCATCATCATCATTATTACAATCTCACATAAATAGCCAATAGCAGTCAAAGTCAGCATTATATTATTCAAGAAAGGCGATTCAGACACAAAAGCGAACTGAAAGCAAAGCAGCAGCTGAAGAAGAAAAAGAAGAGCACAACAACTACAGTAACGGCAGAAGCAGCAGCAGCAGCGCAGCGTTAGCAGCAACAACAACAGCAGCATTATCAGCAGTCGCGCCGCAGCCGCCGCAGCTAGATTTAGGTCAACGGTGAACCTTCTTCATCTTCGGCTGCTGCTGCTGCATACAAAATAGGAAGTGAACAGAACAGGCTTTTTTTTTAACAGCAGCTACTTGACATGGAGAAATTCTGTTAATGTGAATGAATGAAATTTTAATGAAAATGTATTTACAAAAGTTTAACGGCAAATTCAGCAAATGCTTTAAAAATATATTTACAAAATTTTTAATCCTATAAAATTAAAACATCTATTTGCGTACAGTTTTTTAATGCAGAGAAATTCTGTAAATGCATCGAAATTTGATTTAAAGCACAAACTTCTTGCTGGTGTTTTTATTTATTTATTTATGTAATGTCAACAAAAAATACAAAATTTTAATAATGACCTACATGAAATTTAAAAAATGTAATAAGTAATATATAATTAAAAGCAAGGAGAAATATATTTAAACTTGTAATATTTATTTTGTGTTTTTTTTATTTAGCATCAATGAAAGTCAAATAGCAAAAATAAATAAATACAATTAAAAATAATATTTAATAATTGAAATTTAATTAAACGAAATAAGGAAATATTCATTTAGGGTTTATTTAAATGCCAAATTTTCCATTTGTGCACATTTGTTAATAGATAATGCAATAATTAATTGTAAGTGGGTTTAGATAACACCTGCAAAATAAAACACAAGGTTAAATAAAAGGAAATCCTTTCCAAATTTAATTAATTAATTAACAGAATCTGATCGCATAATTCCCTTTTGAAAATCTCATGTTAATTAGCCAATATTCTAGGCAAAAGGTATTTATAAATCAATTAACGGGGCTGTGGGAATCAGCAGGCAACACTTCTAAAGCAGCTGCAGGTGTAACTGGTAGTAGAAGAAGAGCTGTGTAGAAGAGTGAGCTGAGTCTGCTGGTTGGTCACTTTCTTTTTGCTCAGCAGCAGCATCACTAGCTGGTCATTTATTATCTCTTTCTCTGTGTGTGTGTATGTTAATACGTATTTTTGTATGCTGGTTTTTAGAGGATGGGGAGGGAGGGGGGAAACAAGGTTCGAAATATATTTGAAGAGGCAAAAAAAACTTGTTCCGCGCAACAATTGGCATTTTTATGGGAACTGGCGCTTTCGCTTTTTCTTCTCTTTTTCGCTTCTTTTTTGTTTTTATTTCTGCTTAGCAATATTCATTAATAGCAGAAAGCATCTGTTTGGCATTCCTCTTAGCTATATATATATAAATATTCATATTTATGTGTGTGTGTAACTTACAAACAGTGTGTTATCGATATATCGATATAAGCTTTAACCGGAAGCGGAATTGGTTTGACAACTTGCTATAAAGTTTGAACTTTTACAGTTGCGTGACGTATGACGTATTACATATTAAGCGTGAGAGTTAAGCACTTCATTTATTTATTGATTTATTTACTTATTTGCATATTTATTTTAATATTTATTAAACATATAAATTGAAACTCTCAATTAATGCTTGCCGTATATAATTACAGAGGAGCCTTACGTCGTGAGACCGACGCCCACGTTACGTGTGGCAACAGGCGCAGATGGTAAGCACTTAAATACGTAGTTAGCATAACAGAGAACTTTATACATACTTCAAATACATACATACATAAAAATATATACATACATTTATCGTTATCGATGACAATCAAATTCACACTCATGTAAAAAATATATAAAATTCTATTTTCGCACTATTTTGAAATTTTTCATAAATAAAATTGAAATATACAAATATTATTATTGATGCATATTCAATGTAAATAATATATTACTTTATTCAAATATATATATATATATATATTTATATTTTATTTAATTAATAATTAAATATATTTATGTATTATCATATATATATATATATATATATATATATATATATATATATATATATATATATATATATGTATATATGAATATATTATATTCAATAAAATTATAAATAAATAAATATATTTTTTAATTAATTAAATAATATATATATATTTATGTATTTATGCATATATATATATTTTAGTGAATTCAAATATATATATAATTTTAATAATTTTATATAATAATTGTATACCTATTTAATTGTAAATAATTTAATTGTTCTTTTGTTTTTTATGTGTGTTTTCTAGTACTTACTTTTCTTTGTGAAATTTTTCTTTCTATTTATCTCTTTGTATGTAAATGATTTCCAACAACTTCTCTCTCTCTGCTGTACATTCTGGACATATTTATTTATATATATATATATACAATATGTAAATATATATATATTAATTTTAACTCTCACTATTTTTATTTATATATATTTGTAAATACTTTTACTGTGTCTAATTTTTCCACAACTTTCCATCTAAAAATCTCTCTCAATGTGTGTGTTGTAAAATGTGTGTTGTAATACGCGTAGCTTTAACAACAGTTTTGTTAATCAATCAGGATAATTTGGGCCACGGTCGTTTCTTGTCTGTCCGTCCGGAGCTGGGACTGCTAACATCCACAGCACGTACTTTTATCCAGGAGGGCATTACAACAGAGTATGCGACCCAAGTCGTGGGCACTACCCTTAACAATGGTCGTCAATATGCGCAGTACCTCAAAAAGTCCTCTAGGGTTCTCTATGAGAACGGGTTGCAACCCTCTGTAATAACCAGTTGGGTGGGTGAGGGCAGTACTGCGACTGCTGAGACTCCGGCTACGTTTACGGCACATTTGGAAAGTCACAACGATTTGTTATCGGATGCGGAGGCCGCCGATTGGCGGGCTATCGATGATAAATTGAGAAATGTTGAGTTCGTTGGCAACACAGATTATTTTCGCCTACAACAAAGTAGTCAATTGCTGCAATCAACACCCGATTCCGGCGTGTTCGCCTCCTCCGTACTGTCTACGGTTATTCACTCCGTTTATGCGGCGCCCAATCAAAATAATGCTCGTATATTGGCCGCACAAAAAGTGTTACCAATTGGCGATTTGCCAACATTTACGGTTAAAAATAATTTTGCACCGAGTGGTTATCAAAATACGGCGGAAACTGAAATAGGGGAGGCGGGGGAGGGGGAGGAAGGACGCTCTGCCAAGCTTTATCATCAGCAGCTGATGCAGCAGAAACAGCAAAATAAATTCCAAAATTCAACTCAAATTCAGTTCAAGAAACGAGTGCTCGCGACTATTACATACTACGGCTTTGCAGACTTTACAACGCTGGTTGGCGACAGTTTGATCGTCTTTTCGCCCAGCACAGTGCAAGCGAGTCTCAATTTGGGCCACATAACCTCCATCAAAGGCATGGCTACGCTCCGAAGCAGTGAGCTGGAACTATTTCCAAGCACAGCTGCCGAAATTTTGGTTAAAACGACAAATATTTTGAGCACATTGGATAAAGTAACAACAACTACAACAAGTCCAAATCTGGAGGAGGAAAAGAAGCCATTTTCAGTCGGTTCAGTTGTGGAGGAGATTGGGAAATCTTCGGCAGGTCTTGAGATTAAAACGGAACCTGTTTTTGTGGAGCATATGGAGGCAACTTCAATAAAACCACAATTGGAAGTGAGCACTTCTGTGATTACCACGCCTATTTTGGCGCCAAGTTCCGCTTCTGTGGAGGATTTGTTAGCAAAGCCGATGTTTTCATTGCCTACAGATCAGGAAATATTGGAGATATATGCATCGCTATCCAGGGCACAAACTCAAGGCCAAAATCAAGGGCAGACTCAAGTTTTTACGCAAGGAACTGAAGCTGAAGGAACTCAAGAAACTCAAAATAAGGGAACGTTAGGAACCCAAGGAACCCAAGGAATTCAAGCCGAAGGAACTCAAGGTACTCAAGGAATTCAAACTCAAGCTAAAAGTCAAGCTGAAATTGCAGTTCTGGCCACAGGTCTAAATAAGGGTAACATTCATTTAAATAGTATACAAACTGAAGCCTCAAATTTGGAGGTACATGGCGGGGCAACAACAATATTCATCGATGATGATCCCTTTGTCAATTTTGTAGAACCAACTGCAACAATTAAGAATCCAATTCAAACTGCAACAACTGAAATAAAAATTAAAGAAGAAACGATGGCTAAAATTGAGGAAAATACAGAAAAGTCAAAAAATCAAATTGTGGAAAATTTGGCAACAGAAATAAATCGAGTTGAGGAAAATATAGAAAAATCCAAAATACTAATAAATCAAATTGAAGAAATTAGCACACTTAAAAATACAGAAAAAGAAACAGAAATAGATCAAATCAAGCAAAAAAATATATCGAAAGTAAATCAAATGCATGAAAATGAAAAAACTAAAATTGAAGATATTACCACAAATAAAAATTTAGAAAAATTAACAACAATTATGAATGACGAGGTAGAAGTAAAAACAACTACAAATACATCCATTGAGGAGGAGGAGGAGGATAATACAACGGTTAAGGATATGGCAGATATGGCACAGACTATGACAAAAGATAATAATGATAATTGCGACGTGCTCAAGTCACAAATATTTCTCACACAATTACCGAAATTGATAACAATTTCAAATGACGCGTCTGAGCCTACTATTTTATCCAGTTATGAGGTCAAAGAGACAACCAAATATTATTGTATACAGGCGAGTCAAGTGCTGGAATATCCACAATTGGAGAAGCCAACAGAGGTAGTGCCTGTGTCACAAAATGAGGCAACAACAACTGAGGCGAATCCCAAAGAAATAATAACAACAACTGAGGAAAATACTACAACCAGCGACATAGTTGAGGACGATGAGGATTATGTTACCGAATCGGAACGCGAGGATTATGAGAATGCTTCCGATGAGTCGGATATCATCTATAAGACCCTCTACACAACTTATACATATTTGACAACCTTTTTCCAAGCCGATGCCACAACAATTTCAAGTCACACTGAAATTGTGACCAATATAATTACTTCCACTTTGGATATGGAATTGAAATCGAGCATTATCAGTGAGAATGAAATAATTGCGACAACAACGACAAAAGCGACAAATTTACAAGCGACCAAATATATGATACCTGATGACTTAAAGGAGTTGATAGATGCTAATGTTAACAACGAACTAAAGCATGACTCAAGCGAATCAAGTCAAAAAACCGAGTATTTAAATGATGTCAAATACACAAAAACTTTTTACACAACTTTCACTTATTATACGACCATCTTTGCGGAGAGTGAAACGGAGATAATGTCGCGAACGGAGGTGTTTACCAATTACGTAACAGAGCTGGGTGCTCCAATGACCAGTGTTGTGCAACTGGCCAAAGAAATAGTAATAAATCCAACTGAAACCGAGTCAACTAGCAATGCTGACAAGCTGGTCACACTGATAACCGATGTCAAATCGAGCAGTTCCAATGGTGAACAACACTTGAAAATCAGGGATGATATGGCCGATGATCAGATTAGTTCCGAGAGCAATACCGAAGAGATGCTTCCCTCTGCCACCCTCCTGCTGCAGACCAGTTTCACAACATTCACGTTCTACACTACGATGTATGAGCAGGACAGCACTAATGTGGTTAGTCGCCTGGAAACTGTCACAAATATTGCGACGGAAACATTGCAACCAACCAAAATGCCGAGTCACGCTGAGGATGCAACACTGCCCATCACATATTTTACCACATTCACCTATTGGACCAAGCTGGCTAAAGATGGTGAAATAACAACAATCAGCAGAGAGGAAACCATATCGAATGTTATCGAACCAACAAAAATTTGGACAGAGAATTCAAGTGAGACTTTGAGTAAGAGTACGACTGCAAATTCGACTGCGAGTTCGACTGGGAGTCTGGTGAATTTAATTACCCAAAATGCCTCTGATTTGACCACATTCTACACGACTTACACTTATTACACGACCTCATATAAGGCGAATCAGACGGTGACTGATTCACGCTTCGAGACGATTGTGAATGTGATAACGCCGACGGCAACAATAATTTCTAGTGTTGACAGTTTGCCAGTTAGCTCGATTGTTATCGATAAATCCGAGTTGCTTTACTATGATTACAAGCACATCATAGATGCGGATGGTGTGAGCACTCTCTACTTTACCACACAAATACAGTCGAGCATCGATAGCCAGGGCAGCGCCATCGAGTTGACCAGCAGCACTTCGAGTCTGCTCGTCGACGAGTCCAAAAAATTGGAACTCAACTCAGTTGCCAGCTCGTCGCAATATAAAACGGGTCTCGTTCGTTTGATTGAGGGCACTCGCGTTGGCAATCGCACCACGACGCTCTATCAATCAAAAGTTATCGGCACAATTATCGATAGTCGTTATGCGCAAATTATCGAAAGCACTTCCAGTTTTCTATTCGAAAAAAACATTTCGCCAAGCGCAACAATTGACGAACTAATTGTGAAGAGCACGAAACAGTTGAGTCAGTTGAGTCAACAGCAAATTGAGACTGCCACAGTGGAAAGCAGCATGCACAGCGAGGAGCAGCACGACAACGATGGCGATGGCGATAACGATAGCGATGGCGATAGCAATTTGTCGTCGCAGAGTAAAAAACGCACCTTTGCCCCAGTTATACGTCCCTTTGCCTCCCGCAATCGACCCACCTTTGCACCCAAGCAAAAAACGCTTAGTGCGAGCAGCGCAACAATAATAACCCGTTCCGATATCACGCCAACAATAACAGCCACGCCTGCCTTGAAGTCTGTGGGCGGTGCTCGGTACAGCTCCTCGCGGCGCGGTGCCATCTCCAATGCGCCCATAAATCCGCAAGGAGCTGCCGCTTCCTCAACTCGTCGTCTCTTTGGTCGCCCCTTGAAATCCTCAGTGGTTGCTCCTGCTAGTGCGGGAGGCCTTAGTTCATCGGTTGCTGGCAGCACTACCGGCTTTGCTCCGTCCAGAAATAGATTTGCTAGCTCAGCACGCAGCGGTACAGCCAGTAGTTCCCGGCGTCTCAGCTCCGGCTCCGCCTCCACCTCCGCTTCTGGCTATCGTCCGGCGAGCAGCGTGAATTTTCTCAATTCCCGCCAGCGCATAAGACCCACTGCTGCCTTTGGGCAAGCACTACCGGCGTCGACGACGACAACGCCCGCAACTGCAGCAGAGAACGAGCCCAGCGAGGAGGATGCATCCACGGAGGAGGAGACTTCGATTGCCACCGATGACAATGAGGAGAAAACGGCGCAGAATTCGCGTCGCACTCAAAATCCGCTGCTGCGTTTTCGGCGACCCCTCAATCGACCCAGTGGCTTTACGCCTGCGACTCGCGTGAGCAATACCAGCGCCACAAATGTATCTGTGCGGAAGAATCCGCTAGCAAGTCGCGCCAAGGCCGCAACGACAACGACGACGACAACGACTACGGTACGGCCAAGACCGCGCAGCTTTCAGCGACCCACACTGAGTTCGCTGCAGGCGCGCGCACGGCCCCAAAACAATCTCTTTCCCCCACGAGGTCTTTTCCAGCAGCAACGGGAGAAGGAGAAGACGCAGGCGCAGGATAATGATTCGGATGGCGATGCGGACTACGATGATGATGAGGATGGCGATGAGGAGGACCAAGAAACCGCTCAAAATGGAACTATTCGTCGCCGACGACGACACTCTAACAAAAAGAGCGTTACCCTCTCTCGTAGGCGACGTCAGGTGGATACTTTAAGTCGCAATCGGTTTCGCTTTCGTCGCCCCAAAACGGCAACGACCGAGGAGACGCCAGCGGAGGAGCAACTTGCTGAGACGACGACGACGACGCGGAGCAGGCTGAATGCGCGTTTTGGTTCGCGTTACAAGCAACAGTCTAGCTCGACGGCTGCAACTGCCGCCCATCGCGCCATACGCCCCACCAGACCCACTACGGCTCGGGCGCAGTTTACGCTACGCGAAAAGGATACAGCCGGAAAAAGCAGGCAGGCAGGCGCTGGCAGCTCGGCAAAGTCCAATTTTAGACGACCGCAGTCGGCACTAAGACGATCCGGCTCTGGCTCCGGTTCCAGCTCCAACTCCGGCTCGAATTCTAGCTCCGGCTCCAGCTTCAACTCCAAGTCTGCAAATGCGCGTCGTTTAAAGAACTACATCAGCAGTAGCAATAATAATAATAATAATAATAATAATAATAATAATAATAATAATGTAGACAGCCGTACAGCTAGCAATCCGCGCAGCCGTACCGGCACCGGTTCAGGCACTTCCAGCCGTAATCGCAACGCAAACCGTAATCGCAATCGTAACGATTACAACCAGGATGTGGCTTCAGCTGAGCTGGGCAGTGTTGCCATCACAGTTACCCATTTGGTGCCCGCTGAAGTGACCGTACCGGTTGTCAACGGTCAGCTGACGGAGTACAAGAATATTGTAACAGCCAAGACCAGTTTGGAGGTACTGGCGCCCCATCAATACACCCAGCAAGTGGGTAGCAATGGACAAACCTCGCTCTACCTGGTCCGCGAAGACACCAGCGTAAATGCGGCGGGTGTCACGGAATTAACTCGCTACCTGCTGCACGACACACTAACAACGACCGTCACGTTTACCCCGACAACAATCAGGGGTCGCAAGACCTCGTTTTCACACGTACTACCCTCTACGGTGTATGGCGTGGAGAGTGTCGTCTCCACGCTGCAGCCACAAATCGCCGCAAATGCGCCTCTGGCGAATATTCTGCTATCCCAGCTGCTGTTGGGCAACATTAATTTGCCAGCGAATCCGCTGCTGGGCGCACTAGCGGGTACCCAGCCAGCATTACCAGCGCTTGATGCCGCAGTAGCAGCAACAACTGCAGCTGCAGCCGTGCCAGTTACGGAATATCGCACACATACCTCCACTTATGTGACTACCATTTATGATGGCAAGTCTACGATTTTGCCCATTACATTCCAGGGCAAGAAAATATTGACAACTGTTTTCGATACCACAGCGCAGACGATAACAGCTACCGAGTACAGTGTGGACACGATAGTAAATACCCCAACACAACAATTTCAGCAACTCCAGCAACAATCTGGGCAGGTGGCGCAGGTCAACAGTTTGCTGCTGCAACAATTGCTGTTCCAACAGCAACAACAACAGCAACTACAGCCACAGCAGCAACAAAATCCAGCGATTACCAACACTATTTCGCCACAAATACTGCTCAACGATAATCTGCAAGATCTGGACGAAATAACTCCCTACGATGCACCCAATATCGAAGGCATTATAGTCGAACAGCAAACGACGAGCAAAAGTCACAAAAAGTCACGAAAACCGGGCAAAAGTCACAAGCGCCATCGACAACATAAGGAAGAGGACCGCGAGCACCATACGGAAAGTAGTGTTGTCACGCTCTACGTATCTGGCCGTAGACCCGGCGAATTTAGCACCATTTTATCGACTGTTTACAGTAGTTACGAGCATCTAACTCCCTCCACTTTGCACAAGCGACACGCCCAGCAAACCATTTCACTCGCAGAGGACCTCTATGCGTTTGAGGGTAGCGAGCGGGTGCAGAGCTACCTGCCAGCACCAGTGAATAAAAATACCCTAGGCGAGTTGGATCAAACAGCGTCGCTGGAGAGCATCATAGGCGATGTTCACTTGTGGTATGCCAAGGCCAAGGCTACCCAGGAGCTGAGTGCACCCTCTAGCAGCAGAAGCAGTAGTGCTACCGGGCTTGAGCAGGAGGCCCTAACGCATTCAATTTATTTTTTAGTGTAAATGACCTCGCTGAGTTGTTCCCACTACAGTTGCAGGTCACAAAACAGCATTTTGCAACACTATGTCCACAAAAAAGTACAATTAAAAAAATCAAACGTGAAATTCAGCAAAGCCAACAGCAGCTGCGGCGTTTGCGCAAAAAAGTGCTTGTGCGGCGCAAGCCACTAGTCAACACTAATAGCAACACTACTAACATCACCAGCAACTTTTACAATACTACCAGCAACTACAACAACAATTTCATGTCATTTTCACAGCCAAAGAACAAGCGTGTTGTCATTTTCAAGCATAGACTTACAAATAGAACAAACCAAACAACAGCAAAAAATAAGCAGTCGACAGCAACAGTGTTGTTAACAACACTAAAATCAGCTATACAAATAAATACAATTTTAGCAACACCAAAAACAGAAGCACAAAATCAGGCAATAATGCCCACAGCAATTTCGACTTTAACAACATTGAATATAACAAAAATGCCAACTATACCAACACTAAAAACAACGCAAATTTCAACATTAAAAACACCCCCAATAAAAACTATTTCAGCTTTTACAACACCAGAAATAACAACAAAAATTGCAAAAAAAGCAATTTCAACGTTACCAATACCGATTTTAAATTTACCAACACCGGAAATAATACCCACTGCGCGTAAAAATGCCACGCGGCCTGGTAAAAGACGCAAGCAAAAGCAACTCAGAAATAGACGCAAACAAGCAAACAGAGTGTTGGCAACAAGTAATTCAACCCTTGCGCATTCTTCAACACTGCAAGTGCAAGTGACCAGCACTGAATTGTATACACAAACCTATACAGTAATTGTGGAACGTGTTCACAGCGATCAGCATGAAATTATTGAATCCCTTTCCACATTCACCAAAGTGAAGACACGAATCGTGTCCATAACGCGAACAACAACCCGGGGGGATATTTTAATAATGCCCACTCAAATGCCTTGAAAAAGTGATGGGATATTTTTGTTATGCTCACAGAAATGCCCATCAAATTACATTACAGCTACTTTATATCTTAGTTATTCCCTTTGAACCTGCACAAATGCCCAAAAAAAGCTAAAAGGTATTAAATTCCCTTTAATACAATTTGGGGATCTTTTAGTCATGCCCACAGAAATGCCCTTTAATTTGATTTTATTGCCTGCTTTAGCTAGCAAGCAATGGGTATAAATATTTTAGTTATGCCCACAAAAATTCCTTAAAAAGCTAAAGCCGATTAATTCTTTTATTTACACAAGCGTGGGTTTCTCATTTCTCAGCTTTGCCCACAAAAATGACCTTAAAATTGCCGGGCTACTTTATATTGGACTATAGCTAGAGGAAAAAATCGCCCCAATGGGTAATTTTAATTTGAGACATGGGATTTTCATAAATAGCCGAAGGACATTTCAGCTAAGCCCACGGAAAACAAATTTCCCTGGGTACTTTTGATACTTTTCCCCTTTAAGCTTGCAATAAATAATCAAGTGAGGATTTTCCATACCTAGTGTAGTATATATATATATATATATATATATATATATAAATATATAAAAATACCAATGCAGTTACACACACACACACATACATATTTAATTATAAAAGATTTTCGTTTGCTGCTGTAAAATAAATGTATATCTATATATATCTATATAACTATATATCGTTGTTTTTATATCTCAACACATATGCTATAAGTAATTAATTACTGTTAACGCAAATCTAAAATTTAACATTTTAATTCTTACACACATATTTTTTGTTTTTTCTTTAATTTAAGAACAACAAAAAAAGAAACATTAATACAATTAGTGGCAGTAATTAAATAATTTAAGTACGATGTATAAAATGGGTTTGTTAATATCTTAGTATTTTATGAACATATATATAGATATACATATATGTGTGTATATATATTCGTTTAATTAAAAATTAATTATATATAAAGTCAACAACGTGCGTATTTTTTTCCCTTTTCTAATTGTGCCCAAATAAAATGATTGATTTTTTAGCAAAGGGTGCAAATGATTTAAACACAATATAATAATGTTTTTATGCCGCGATAAATATATATATAGAAAAATCTCAGCCTTTTTATTTATTATTTTATTTATATTTTATCGAGGCTTTCCTGTGGCTCTTTCGCGTATTTATAGCTAACTCAATTATTATTCTATATTTTTTAGCTGTGTTGTGAATATAAATTTATTTTACTATATAGAAAAGAAGGATGCTGCTACCAACATATATACATAACTTATTATCAATCTGTAAATATTCAGCTTTTATTTGTATTTGTATTGTGTCACAAAATTATTATCATAAAAAAACACTTTTGTAATTGATTTAGGCTACAATAAAAAACACCTTAAACACTATACAACAACAGAAACATCAGAAACAACAAGAACACCTAGAACTAAGAGTGATTCAACAGATCCACTGACAGAGCATCGCTCTCAGAATATTCGCTTGTTAGACTCAAATTTGGCCGAGTTGAGTTTGGATGAGGCCAGATTCAACTTGGCCACCCATGTCATGTCCAATGGAGTCGAACTAATCATCGCCAGCGATAAACTGAAGCATCAGGCAGCTGCAGCCTCAGCTTCAGTTTCAGCTTCAGCTGTAACTCAATTTCAGTCTCAGTCTCAGTTGCCACAGAAGCCAGTCACTCTTGCCCCCAGCACCCTCAAGAATCATATGATACTAGCGCTGCCTACAAACAACAAACAGGTAAATATTTAATAATCAAATAAATAAAATAATACATAAAATAAATAAACACAAATATTAATAGATCAAATAAATAAAATAAGAAATAAAATAAATATATAAATGGAAATATTAATAGATTAAATAAATAAAATAAGAAATAAAATAAATACATAAATAGAAATATTTATAGATTAAATAAATAAAATAAGAAATAAAATAAATAAATAAATACAAATATTAATACATCAATTAAATAAAATAAATAAATAAATACAAATATTAATAGATAAAATAAATAAAATAAGAAATAAAATAAATAAATAAAGACAAATATTAAGAGATCAAATAATAGCAGCACTCCCACAAGAAATGTTTTTAAAACTGTATTTTTAATTTATAAACTTAAGCTACCTATAAGTTTTTTAGAAAATGCCAGAACGCACTTAAAAATCATGTGAGAAACAAAAAAAAAAGTAAAATTAAATAGTTGCTTTTTATATAAATGGCAGAAAAATAACGAGAAAAATAAATGCAACATTTAGAAATCAATCAGAAATAATGCATAAGTGTTATTAGTTTTAAATTATATAAAAAAATAAATAAATATTATATATTTATATATATATATATATATATATATATATATTTATATATATATATATATATATTTTATATTATATATATTTATGTATACGTATACAAATATATATTTATTATATTGAAGAGAACTCCTTTAACTAACTTTTATTTACAATTGCAATTATAAATATATTTAATAGAAAACTCTCTCTTTGTCTCTCTCTCTCTCTCTGCCTTCTCTCGATCAGAACCTTAGTATATCTTTATACATAAAAAAATAAATAAGTAAATATATTTAAAACAAACATATTTAAAACAATACATATTGTTAAATATATTTAAAACAATAGCAGTTTAAACTTTAATTTATAATTGCAATTATTATTATATTACAATTATACTTATTATTAATAGAAAACTGTATCTCTCTTTGCCTTCGCTCGATCAGGAGAACTTTAGCATATCCTTGGGCGATAATCAGTTCATAACGAAGACCTGCCTGACAACCTACACATATCACACCACATATCTGACGAGAGGCAGTTTAACAGTTGAGAGCCGAGAAAAGGTTGTCGCCAATCGACAAACGGAAGAGCGAAATTTTCTAAGAGCAAGCAGCCAACTCCGCTTGGGCGTAACTCTTTCAAATGTAAGTATATTTATATATATATACATAACCATTACTATACTATACAAATGACTAGGAAATGCTTAATATTATTTAGAAACTAACTCAGTTCAACTTGAATCTAAGTAATATTGACTTTAATATTAATATAATGATTGTTTATATTATAATAATATTTAATTCTTTATTAATTACCGCTCTATATTCTTAAATTAATTATCTATCTAAAAGCTATTGAACTTTTGTAATTCTTCCATTTAATTTTTAATATAATGTTTATTTCTTTATAAACTAACTTTTGATGCTCTTTAATTAATTAATAATGCAATTCATTTTTAATAATGGGGATTTAACCCTAATATAATATTTGTTTATATTACAATAATAGATAAATTAATTATTTATTCAATAACTTCTGTAATTCTTCCATTTAATATTTAATAATAATTATATTCAAAAGTAGCCCTAGCAATTGATTAATTGTTCAACCATTTCTTATAGACACCCGAGCTGGTTGTGGGCACCTTCCCGACTACATATCATTTTTATAATACGCTGAGGAACAATGGCCTGGTACTTAGCTCGACGTACACGGTGATGAATACGGTGACTGGACCTGAGGATTATATATCGTATCTGCAGCCGTCGGAAGAAGCGACACCAGTGCTAGACACGAACACCTATTACAGTCGCCTGGCCGTCACGCGAACAGCGCCTAATGGAATTCTGACAGACTCGGAGAATGTTCTCACCCAACTGGTGATCACCGAATCCAAACCAGGACGGGGAAACCCCAAAGTAAAGGCAGCAAGCAGCGAGGAATTGGATGTGCATATTTTTGCAACGAAAACGTATTTAACGACTGTGACTTATTTGGCCACAACATCGATATACCACGCCTCAACCGATTCACAGGGTGTATCCAACTTTGAGACAAAGGTTATTGTGAATACGATTACGGATATAGTGCCCAGTACGCTACTCCGACCGGAGCTGGTTTCCATGTTTCGCACGGAATTAATGCAGAAGAAGGGCAAAAATAATCGCAAAGTGCTTGTTACCCTGGCAACACTACTGGGTGGCCAGACGCTGCAAGTGACGGCGGTCAATTTGAAAAAGACAACTACAAATCAAATTTCCTCAACTTTAATTAAGCCCACTTCCATTAAAAGCAAACCAACCAAAACTCAAAGTAAAAACGATGAGTTGCAAGTTGATTTGAGTGTGGCAGAGTCGCAAAATGAGCCAGTCTATGTGAGACCCTTAAAAGAAGTCCAAGCAACTCCAAATCCAAATCCAACCAGTGTTGAGCAACTAATTGGTTCTCTAAACTTACAAAGATTGCGACCAGTTTTTGATGTTATGGCGGACATAATACAAAAAAATATAGTCAACAGACAAGCGACAACAAATCTTAATTTAAGACAAACTTCAACTTCAACAACGACTGAAAATCCGTTGGAGGAGCAGCCCGTTTATATACCACTTGAGGTCAGCGTGCAGCAGAAAGCGGCACAAAATCGATACAAATCGCACGCGAATAAGGCTGAAATCGATATTAATCGAAGTCGCTTGACGGCGCACAGTTTGCACATAAATCCACCGGAACCGGCAATGCAAATTGATTTCAACGACGACGATAATTGGCTGTTGCACAATAATAACATGAGTCACATATTGAGTCCCCTCTCCATTTACCCGACTTATCCGGGCGCCCTGCTCAATAATGGCATACCCATCCGACCTGGGGAAATAATTAATGCGAATGCGGACGTCATCATTGGTAGGCCCAATGGTATACTCCACAGTCCACAAGCACAGTTCATGAATTCGTCTCCCAGGCCCAAAAACCCGCCAGATTATAGCGATAGATCGATTGCACCTTTCAAGAAGAAAACCTGGATACCTCCTCAGCCAGTTCCTTTGTCACTTTCATTGACTCCCCCGAGGCTTATACCCCTCGATTATGATAATATACTTTTTCCACCCGCTCAGAGCTCTTCTAAATCCCAGCCAGACTTTGGCTATATACTAACACCCCCCGGTAGTGCACCGAGATTACCCCAACAGCAGATTATGCATTTGAATGCGGAGCTGAATAATAATGAGATATTGGAAATTAAAGCAATACCTCAGATATTTAGCACCAAATTGCCAGCAGTGACAAGATACCCAGCGCTTGTCGCTGGGAGTAGCAGTAGTTATTATAATCAGAGACCTGTTAATCCCTCCGTTTACTCAGATAATGCTGGTAGTGGCAGTTACTACAGTGCAGGACCTGCTACTGCTGCAGCTTACGCAGATATAAATGGTAGTGGCGGTACCAGTTTCTATAAACAAGGTACTGCCCCTGCTAACACAGATATGGGAGGTAGTAGCAGTTACTATACGACAGAACCTGCTCCTGCGCCTCCAGCTTACTCAGATATGGGTAGTAGAGACAGTAGCAGTTACTATAAACCAGGTCATTCTTACTCAGAAAAGGGAGGTAGTAACAGTAACTCCACTCCAAGACCTTCTGCTGCTCTACTTGCTGCTCCTGCAGCTTACTCAGATATGGGGGGTAGTAACAGTGGCAGTTACTATAACCCAGGACCTACTACTGCTGCTCCTCCAGCTCCTCCGGCTTACGCTACCCATCACATCAATCTGAAGACCTCCGTTCTCAATCACAATATCAACATGAATGTGCCACCTTTGACCTTCAAGCGAGAGGGCGATAATTATCCGCTTGCCACCGCGGTGCGTGGTCAAATTGCTCCAGCACCCATGCCCCTAATTAAAATACCCCATAATAAAGCCAACGTTGAGGTACGGCTGAGTCCGCAAAACACACGCATAGCTGTGGAGCCGCCAGAGAAACTCAGAGAAGGTCAAAACCCAAATATAAACACATTCAAGCAGCGAAATCAAAACTATTTGAAAAATACAGATAATGTGCGCAGCGATTACGTCAATTCAACCCTACACTTAGCACCCTATCAAAGACCCACTGATAAATACAGTTTTATTAACAACAAAAATGCAAACCAACAACAATATATATCTACCATATCCAGCGATTCAGTTCAAGCTGCCACAAATCTTATACGTGCCGAGAGCAGCAAACAAAGCTATGCCAGTCCCAGCACTACGAGCAACAAGGTGCCGGTGCCCGATCAGAAGACTGACTATACCAGCCACAGTGACCACAATTATAATCTAACGCTCTCAAAAGTGAATAGGCATATACAAAATCTACAATTGCCTACATCTAAATTAACACCGATTAATCCCTGGTTATCGATAACACAGCAAACAGCAAACAAAACTCCCAGCTTGGGTCAGCCCTTCATTAAATCGAATCAAAGCCCAGCGAATAAGCCTAAAATTAATATACCAAAGAAGGTTTTTGTGGGAGCCGGCCAACGTTTTAATTTGCTACCGGGTCTCAAATTGGAAACAACTACAACACAATATATCGAGGACCTTCAACTGCTGACCTCGATTAGACCCACGAATATTTTGGAACCGCCACCAATGCCAATAAATTCACTCCATCAAGATGTTTTGGGCATGAAACCACCACCGGCAATTATTAAAAATATACCCAATAGATCTTCGAGTGTTGTGTATAAAATAAAGACCTCTGCACTACCAGCAACACCCTCCATAATTATATCTACCTTACAACTACAACTCAATAACAGTTTCAATACTGAGTCTCAAATTTTAAAGCCTGCTTTGAGTTCTTCTAGATTCAAAGTGTTGAAATCACAGCCTACTTTTACAAAGACCCTACCGAAGACCTTGTCTATAAACGGTACCAGTAAACAGCAAAAAATGACAGTAATTAAAACCGAAGGATCTTTCAATAACGTTAAACAACACTCAACGCAGCATACGAATATTGTTAACCAACACTCAACGCAGCAGAAAATCAACCCTACAAAGATAATTAACCAACACTCAACTCAAAAGAAAATCAACCCGACAAATAACATAAAACAACACTCAACCAATCTAAAATTAAGTCCAACAAATGCCATTAACCAACACTCAACCGTCATCAAACTCAGCCCCACAAATATCGTTCAACAACACTCAACGCAGCTGCAACTCAGTCCAGCTATTGAGCCAGCTGTGCTGCCAACAAATATTAATTCGATTAATACAAAAAAACTAAATATTTATCAACAAGCAACTCTGAAAAATACTCAAATAATTCCGAATCAAAATCAAAGCAATCTACTCTCACTGGAATCATCGGAGGCAGAAACCAAAAAAATACCCTTCTCCATTCGAAGCAATGCGCCCCACTTCGATGTATCGTTTATCGATAGGCAAATAACTAAACAACTCTATGATAAATCGATTTCCACGCTCAACAAAAATATTGCAACCCAATCGGTAGTACTAAAAAGTAGTAGTACACCAATAATTAAAAGTCGTATTATCGATACCAAATCGATAACATTCAAACCAATACAAACACACTCGATAACCAAACAAACCATTTCCAAAACGATAAGAAAGAGTGAAAATCCCGTAAAAACAACGAGCACAAAAATCGAACAAGTTCACAGCGATATATCGAATATCTTGGTGGTGATGAAAAAAGGAACCGGTGCTGATAATCAAAATACGATTAACCTGGCGGAGGAAGAAGAAGAGCTGGCCTTGGACTACGAGGGCAATTTGTCGCTGGAGATACCCCTGCGGGATGAGGAAATTGTGCCGCCCATCAACGCGAATAGCATTCTGCTCGGTGGCATTTTAATAGCCACACCCTCCAAAACCAATACCAAATCCAAATATACCAAAGAGTCTAGCAATGGGGTGTGCCAGCCCGCCTGCAAGGCGAATAAAAATGAAATATGCTCCAGTCAACCCGGACACGGAAATGACAATCGCTGTGAATGCCGTTTGGGCTTTGCGCGCATGTTTCCTGATCGACCCTGCAAGCGTAAGTTAACTATAACTAATTTAGTTTGTAGTTAAATTATTAAATGCTGAAATTGATTCACAATTTAATTTGTAAGTGAGAACTAATTGAGAACTAATCTTTACTTATACCTGAATAAATAAAAAAATATATATATAAATGCCCCCAGAAATGTACATTTAAATATTAAATTCGATTTTGAATTTAAATTCGATTTTCTACTTCTGATATTTCTATGGGACGTCTGCTATTAATCGATATTAAATAAATATATATATAAATATTATAAAAACCCCCATGAATTTGTATTATAGTTATTTTTGTTAAATTTACATTAAATTATTAAATTCGATTTTGAATTTAAATTGATTTTCTACTTTTAATATTTATACGTGGCATCCGATATTAAGCGATATCAAATAACTAAAATAATACATCTTGTAAATAATTCGTATATTCTTTATTTAAACTTTAAATTCTATGATCAATTTAATTTAATTTCATTGAATTTAATTAACCATTCCAGCTACATACACCTATGAGATGCGCATTCCGACCAGTCGTGTGGGAAGTTATCGGCTCAAATTCAGCACTGAGCTTATCAATAACTCATCTAGTCACTATCGACACTTGAGTTCGATTATTCTAGATGCTATCGATCGCATGGTTATGCAATCCGATTTCCGGGATGTTTATCACGGCGTACAATTAAAGGAATTCTACGCGAGCAACGATAACGTCGTAATGGGACACTTTTTGTTACAGGTTTGCAATTATAACGATTCTTAGTACATAAATATGATACAAATTTTAAATTCGATTGCAGCTGTCGGAGAACAGTAATGAAAAGCGTTTGGAAACAGTGTTCAAAAAATATTTGCGCCAAAGCAATTACAGCATTGGCGGCACCGAATTATATACATCGAAATCTGGCATCAATTTATTGACAGTTAAAGGTGAGCTTAAAACTATAAATCTTAAATAATAAAAATAATAATTATCGCTGATTTAGATTTCGATGAGTGTGGCAACGCCAATTTCAACGATTGCTCCTTTCACGCACACTGCTTCAATTTGATTGGCAGCTACACCTGCAGCTGTCTCGATGGCTATGTAGATATATCCGATAATCCAATTTATCCCGGTCGCCTTTGCTCCGATCAAATTGTTGGCTGTGAACTGTGCAATTATCATGGCAATTGCATGGCGCCCATTGTGAATGGGACCCCCGTTTGTGAATGTTTTAGTTGGCATTCGGGCGCCACTTGTCAGCTAAATTTGAAAATACTGCTCATCGGCCTGATTGCAATCGGTACGGTGTTCATTTTGCTACTGGTCTGTATGCTGCTCATCTATTCGCGTCACAAAGTGAATGGCGCCTGTGCAGCGCGTCCTATTTTTATAACGTCTTCGAACTATCACCCGAGCATGTTGTCAACATCCAGCAACAAGTCGCTGATTCGTGATTGCAGCATGGATAAACATGCAATTTTAATTGACACCAACAGCGAATCTAGTCACAATTCGGAGCCATATTCCTTCAAGGTAAATGCAGATAAAATACAAATATTTAAACTGTACAAGTCTTCTCTCTAGGCAAAGCCAGTCAGAAATAAACACGACACTGTTGATTTCGCTGAAAGTAACGACGAACCGCAAAGAATCAAGCCGTCTAATAGCCACTATAACGCCGATGTAGTTGCCGCCGACCAATCGGATCGTTCGCTCACAGTGATGATACCGCGCGCCAAATATTATCACCCAACAGTTCTGCCGCATGGTCAACTCAACCAACACCAGATGGCGCCAAATAAGTGCGATATGATTAAAGCTGTCAAGCCCACAAAGCAAAAACTATCGAAAGCATCGTGCAAAGAATTTGCAACGCCAAGCGGCGCTTTAGTCTCTGCCGGCTTCGAGGTGTCTGCCATTGTTAGCGATCGGGAGAGTAAAGTGAATGCAAATGATGTGCAAGCAACGAGAGTGTATCAGAAACATCCGCAAATGTCTCGAGCTAATTTAGAAACTATTCTACAGTCAGGCGAGTAAGTTTGTGATGAGCGTTTTTTCATTGAAACAAATATGTATTTATTGAAATAAATATGTATTGTAATTGCAGCGAAATCCATCGCATGAGCTCTTGGATGAGTAATATTCCTGCCACTGCACTGTAAGTATTGCCGTAATTGTTAACAGTGCCAGCTGTTCGCTGCTCACAACAGTTGCAGAACAGCGACGTGTCGTTGCCAGCTAGTTAACAGCAAACAGTCGGTTATGATTTAAATTTAAATATCGTTTTATTTCCCAAGCAGATCAGCTGACGTGCGCTCGTTTGATGAGACAACAGTGCAGGCAATAACCAAATCAATGCAGCTCTGCTTTGACATGCAGACCCAAAGCAATACAAATGAGGTAAATGAAATATAATAAATCTGCTAAAATAATTTATAAATATTTATATTTATTTAGGAGGCAAATACGATGACTGAGCGAGATCTCGGTTCGACATTTTTGCTGCCACACACACATCTCTATAAGCCCGAGAAGGTTTGTCATTTTTATGATTGTTAAATTAAATCACTATATTAATTTATTTATTTATTTTAGCTCGAAAGTGATCTGTCCGGCTTTGACTCCATATAATGGAAATGTTCAACTGTATTTCAACTTGTGTATTATACTCATTCATTCTTGTCAAAGACACATTGAATCGTTAGCATTTATTTTAAATGAATTTAGCGTCTTTTGCGTACAACAATATTTATATTTATAGTCTTATTTATTTATTTATAGTTTGTGTAAAAATTGCATTTATTTAATGTGTTTTTTGTGTACAAATTGAGACCGTCGCATTTATTGTAATAATTATTTAATAATTTCATTTGATGAAATTTTGTGCCAGCTGCTGTGTTTGTAAGTCAAACAATTATAATAAATCCAAGTTAACTAAATAAATACCAATTTGTATTTGTCGTAAATATAAATAAAAGAAAATAAGTTAGGAACATAATTAAAATGCGTTTTTTATTTGACCTACTTGACCTACTTATTAAACTATATAAATTCAAAGTAATATTTATTTGCACTATAAAATTAACTTACTACCTAAAAACTCAACTCTAAATTGAACTAGAACTTCTCAGACTTGCAACATTTTACAACTACCCCTACGAGGAGTCTAGGATAAAAGCGCAGGGTGTGACAGAAAGACAACGGGACAAGTGCCATAAAAACTAAGTAAAAATAGAAAATGGGGGTTGATTAAAACTTTACTGGACGCTGGTCGATGTGCGCTCGGCTTTGTTACGAACTATATATATATATATATATTAAGGGTTCGAGGACTTTCGTTTGTCAGCAACTAAGCAGAGGCGTCCTCAGAAGGTTTTCGGGTACTGGTACCCTCTAAAACAAATTCAAACTGCGTCACTGAACTACCCTCTGACCATTTAATCGGAGTCGGGGTAGGGGCAACCTGTTCCAATCGACCACCGTCCGTCCACACACAAAATAGAATAAATGACCAATTTTTCGCAGCTCTACCAGAATAGGGGTTGACCAGCGGTACCTTGGTACAGGTGTAGTCTCTACTCGAACTGCAGTACAATTTAAGCAGTTCACCTGAAACAGTTTGCTCAAAAAACCAAAATATAAATATAGACAAAATACACATAAAAAATATAAAAGCAATTATTAAAAAAATATATATAATTATTTTTATAGTTAAAATAGTGGTTTTATAATATAAACAGTATTGGTATGTAGTGTAGTATACAAAAAAAATATATAAAATATTTAATTTGCCTTAAAAGAAAATAAGTACGTAAAGTACCTTTATACTTATTTCAAGTATATGTGTAAGATGAATGATGAAATTATATATATATAATATATATATTAGTGAATCTATCCATAAGAATTAAAGCTTTAGTATTTCCACAAATACGTCAAAAAAGAGTTGCATAATTTACGCAGCGGAATTCGAAGTACACCATAAAATGTTGTTATTTAATTATTTCATATTTTCATTATTATTTTTAAATTAATTTCTTTATAACGAATTGCTTGATAAATGTGCAAATATTTACTTAAATCAAGTCATGTGCGAAACAAAAAATAATACATTTTTCTCATATGCTGAACAAAGAACAAGAAAAAGAAAAAGAAAATAAAATAAATTCAATTCCCACTTTTCTCCATATATATATATATATATATATATATATATATATATATTATAATAATTTCCCCTTCATTTGGGGATAACACTCGTATTTTAAAATGGCGCCCGCAAGCTCTTCCTCAGCGAGAGAGAAAGAGAGAGTTTCGGAGTTACCACCCTATCGAAAGCATCGCGTCATTTTTTGACCAATCACGCCACTGACCAACAGGCCAATGGCTAACTTACGACTCATCTTTCCCCAAAAAAATAAGTGGGTGGTTTTCTTTTTGCGTAAATGGCCAATACAAACTGAATACAAGTCTTTGATTGTCGGTCGATATTCCCTTTACATAAATATAAGAATAAATAAAATAAAAAATATATAAATATAAAAAATACACATATCAAAAATATAAGTATAAATGGAATATAAATATCCCTCGAAGATTGCCAAAAAACAGTCTGCTTTTCTATTTTAAAAAGGAAAAGTCATTTATTTCTTTACTTTTATTGCTTTATTGATATTTTATTTTATTATTTATATTATATATATTAATGCTTTATTCACATTTTATTATTTATATTGCATATAACATATTTTCATTATATTTATAGGCAGGCTAAAGAGTAAACTGTGCTCTCACTTTGGTTAATTATTATATAAATATATATATATCTTTATTTTTTGGTATTATAATTTTACAACTTATTTTTGGATCTTTATTGAAAAATACCTCAAACTCCGTAAAATTCTTACAGATATTGGATAGATAACTAAGGAAATGATTACGGCTAGCAGCAAAAAATATAAGCTAGTCGAAGACTGCCAGGTAATGATCCGGACGCCCGAAGTTATCGATGAATCGGACGAGGAACGGGAATTAACCAACCTTAACTGGCTGCTGCGTAATCAGAATTTGGCCTGGCCAAAAACAATTGACGGCAACTCTGAAGATGATTTAAACAATACTCAAACAGCGCCAGCTGAGAATGACGAATTGGATAATGAAAGTCAAAATACAACAAAAAGACAAAAGTTATCTGATTTTGGTGATCCCAAAAGAGGAGCCATAAATAAACAGCTAAAACGCAATTTAACCAATTATGCCGAGTCAAGAAAACAATGCACAAAAAATGCAACACACTCAAAGCGACCAAGTCCCGCCGAGCGCTACGATATATTCATCAATAAAATAAAACGGTAAGCGAGAGAATACCCCTAATAAATATGGAATGCCAATTATAAATATTGAGCTTTTTTCTTTTTACAGTGACTTGGCGGAATATCAGCATTCGGCGACTAAATATAAAACGGATGTGACTGAAAAGCCGCCTTTCAACTATTCCCATATCATTGGCATGGCAATGCTGGAATATGGCAGGGCAACTTTACAGCAAATTTGCGCTTGGATCGAGTCGAAATTTGCTTTCTTTCGAGTGCGCAAAAAGTGGAATGTAAGCCAGAGATTTAACAGTGGCAGAGATTTAACAGTGCAGCTGTTAAAGCTGTTAAGAAATCTCAGTTTGGCAAATTTCCCTTGAGGAATTTCCCCCAGTGCTTTAGGCAGGCACAGACTCTCTGTGGTGGTGGAGAAAAAGCCAATCTAAATATTACCAACTTGCGATTAACCACACATAACATACACAACACACACACATATTTACGCTCACTTCGCTTATCTTGCAGCAAATTTACGCTTAGATCGAGTCGATATTTGTTTTCTTTCGAGTGCGCAAAAAGTGGAATGTAAGCCAGAGACTTAATGTGCAGCTGTTATAGCTATGAAGTAATCCCAGTTTGAGGAATTTCCCTCACAGGCTCATACATATTAACGCTCGCCTCGCTTATCTTGTTATCTCTTTCGCACACAACCAAATGCTTGATCAATATGCGTTTCTATTTTTGACTATAACTCGGCTATTTCTCAACCGATCCTAATGAAATTTATACTGCTGATTACTAATAAATCAATTATATATTTAATAAATTATATGTATATATATTAATTAGCAGCTGCTGCCTTTCATATTGCGCGTTTTATAGCTAAATTATCGATAACACCAAATTAACTAGGGGACTAGGAGCACTTATGTGCCAAATTTCAAGTCGCTAGCCTAGAACAAAAATTTTCCACTTTTCCGTTATATAATATATAATAATTTTTTCTTTGCAGAATTCGATTAGGCATAATTTATCGTTGCATCATTGTTTTCGCAATCGCAAGCGCGAGGAAAAAGGCAAGGGGGGCTATTGGGAGCTGGGCGTCGATCCCAAGAAATGTGATAGGAAACGCATTCGAAATCGCAAAGGAGCTCAATCAAAACTAAATCAAAATTTGGAGACAGTAACAACAACAGTTTCCAATAAGAAACTCTGTAATAATAATAGTACGGATCTAATCTACGGCATTACGGATCAAAAACCGCTGCAAAGACTCTCAAATATGGCTGGAAATGATGTGCAATTGGAGTCGACGGATCAAAACTTAAATCTGGACATTAATTTGGCATTTGGCACATTAAACAATAATGTTTTAAGCTCAGCTCCTCCCTCCCCTCCTCCGCATCCTCCACCACACGATGATTCCTTTCTATATCCCGCCGATGAGTTGACATTGGCGCTGACTGCAACCAGTGAAGCTTCGTTTCATTTGCAACCACAATATGAACTGGGCACGATTATAATCAGCACCACGACGGGCATCATCGATGAACCCAACTCAGCCTCATCCTCCACCTCCGCCTCTGCTTGCCTCAATTCCATCAAATTTGGATGTAATAACATGGTAATAACAATATAATATAAATAATGATACGGTAACAATCCAACATAATATAATAATTATATAAATATTCCTTATTCTAATTTAATTTTCATTAATTCCTTAATAATACAATAATATATTACAAATAATAGCATGGTATGTAATAATATAAAACATATTACAATTTCATATTTTATATTTATATAATTTAATATAATTAAATGATCTTATTGAGTAATAGTAATTTAATTAAATAATCTAATAAATATAATGTAATAATAATATGATTTCATCCATCATGAATTCATTAATATTTTTATAATTATTATGTTTTATTTGTATACTTTCTGATTTCTTTTATATTGTATATATTTTATAGATCGGCTATATGGATAACAATATAAATATGTAATTTAACAATAATAATTTAATTTAAAAATAAATATAACGTAATATAAATAATAATATGATAGCAATATAATTTAATATTTTAAATATGTATGCTAATTTCATTCATAATGAATTCATTAATATTTTAATAGTCATTATATATTATTTATATAATTTCTAATATCTTTTTAGATCTATTCGGAGGACGAGATACCCACGCCCAGTCAGAATGTTATCATCTCATCCCATAAAATGGATGCGAATAGGGATGCAAATATAGCATTGATAGCTCCGTTGATTTCCACATCTGATATTAGTTGCGATTATAGCAATTATCGGCCGTATATCGATGGGGTGGACGAATCCTTCAGTTATCTGCATGGCAACGAGTTAAATCGCAGCGAGGACATTTTGGATAATCTGCTCGATGTGTGTGTTAGAGATTATTAAATAAAATCAATGACAATGTCGCCAAATTAAAGTGTATTTAATTTAATGCAGCATTACACTTAACTTAAAATTACACTCTTTGTTTTGTTTCTCATTCTGCAAATTATCAACGAAAAAATGCCTAAAAATCGTTTATTTTAAATATTTGTTTTTATTTTCCATTCAAATTTATCATTAATAAATAGCGGCATGTAAAAATTACTTAAAACACATTTATTTTTAAATACTTATATATTTTTTAAAGAATGTACAGTACAGTAATATTCGTAATTATGTAAATACTTAATTATTTCGAAGTGTTGGAATTTAGACACAAAAAATATAAAATTAAGCCGCACAATATAATTATATATATAGAATATATATAAATATAAAATAAAGTAAATATTTATATTGAAATTTGAGCTAAATTTTATTCAAGTTTCTGTTTCTAATCACTAAAAAGAGGAAACAAAACGATAATTGAAGCAGTATTTTTAAGCGAACGATTCTTTAAATCAGATTAAAGTTTTGGGAGGCTTATGTTTTTTAGTGTTACACAAATTAAGGAGAATATAGTATATAGAATATATTTGACTGAACATTCATTTGATAACTTTACTTAATTTAAGTGCAAATAAATTGGAATTTTGACTCACGGTCATTTAGGATTTATTCATGCAATAATAATATAACTAGATATATATTTAATTGCCTCACGAAGCCATTGATTGATTGATTGAGTGGTTGACTGATTAATTTCAAGAGCAAGCGCATTTAATAATAATAAATAAAATATTATACATATATATATATATATATATATATATATATTTACATTTAATTGCCTGTCTCAGCCTCTGATTGACTATTTTGATTAATTTCAGCTGCAAGCGCATTCCGTATTTATAAATATATATAATATATTATATTTTTGTCTCTCAGCCTCAGATTGATTGATTGACTGATTGATTTCAGGAGCAGGCGCATTCGACGACCTGCATATCGCTCCACGTGGATATCTTGAGTTTGTCCGTGTGCTCCTCATCGAAATGCAGAATCTCCAGCTCCGTCAGCTTGGAGGGGGCACAGCAGGGTCGAGGCACGCTATTGTGATCCTGTTGCCACATCAGACTCTGCAACAGGGCGTGGTGGTGGGCGGGATTGTGGCGGGGCGGACAGCGACCGCGGCAATAGCCGGCATCAAAAGTCTTTGGGTGAATAATGAACTCGAATCCTTTTATGTCCTGAAAGGCGACATTCAACTGATGGCGACAGCAGCGCTGATGCGACTTGTAACAGCTATTGGGCCACTTTAGCGGATGTTGACTGTGCGGTGAGGTATGCGAGAAATAAGTGTGACCAATCGGCGCCGCTGAACGATGAACGCCTGCCTCGCTGTGCGTGTGACCAACGTGTCCGATAATATTCAGCACAGGCGACAAATGGAAATTAGCAGGGGGAATTATCAGCAGGTATATTATCAGCCGTCGAATTTTCAGCAGGCGACGAATTCGTATGGAATTCACTTAAGATGCGCGCACCAATTCGCCGGCATTTATCGCATTGAATTTCGACGCCGAGATTCTCGTGGCTCTTATTTATCCAACTGCGCACCGCTTGCGTCACATCGAATTCCAGCCACTGGCTGTGCGTCGTCTCCTCCCCATTTGAATTCGAATTCGAACTGGAAAACTCAATTTGACGCGCGTCGAGCTGCTGGCGTCGCTGTCGCGGCAACAATTGATACACTTTCAAGTTTAAAATATGCTTGCGCAGTTTGTTGCGTGCTGCGAACGGATGCGCAACGTGGTTTGCGGCGGTTGAGCCGCAATTGTTTCTATTCTTCTGCTGCTGATTATTATTATTTAATTTACGTCTGCTGCCGCCTTGGCCAGCAGCCAGGGCTGGATTATAGAGCAGCATTAGCCGCACATTTGCCTCATCCACTTTCTCGTAGTTATAATCATTTTCTTTGATTGCCAGCGGAAAGTGCAGCAAAATATTGGTTTTATCGCCTTGTTTTTTATTATTCTTTTTAGTCGCTCCGCGTTTTTGGCGCCATCTTTTTTGGGTTATATCGCTGAAGCTATTTGTCACAATGCTTAAGATTTTCAGTGTGGATGCATTGAAGAATTCATCGCTCGTCTTATCTGTTTCCTGATGTTTCCGAAGTCGCTCCAAGTATTCGAGATATTGCTAGAGTATTCTAATTGGGCTAATGTGGCCTGCACAAATTAAAAAAATAAATATTTTAATTAACTAATTAATCAACTAGAATTAAATCAAATAAAATAAACTAAATGTTAAAAACAAATTGGTAAATGTATAAGACCAACAAATAAAATAAATTAATTACTTACAATTTAATAAAATTAATAATATTAAATATATATCTCATATATATATCTCATAATAATAAATATTTGAGAAAAAATAAAAGATGCCCAAATAAATTATAGACATTAATTAATTAATTACACTTAAAGAAAAATAAAATTAATTATCAATAAATATATAATAATAAAAACTAAATAAATAAATGAATCCTCAAGGAATAATAAATATTTAAAAAAAATAGTACAAATAAAAAAAACACCAAATAAAATAAGTAAAATATATAAAAATTAATAAAATTAATAATATTAAATATATATCTCATATATATATCTCATAATAATAAATATTTGAGAAAAAATAAAAGATGCCCAAATAAATTATAGACATTAATTAATTAATTACACTTAAAGAAAAATAAAATTAATTATCAATAAATATATAATAATAAAAACTAAATAAATAAATGAATCCTCAAGGAATAATAAATATTTAAAAAAAATAGTACAAATAAAAAAACACCAAATATAAAAAGTAAAATATATAAATAAATTAATTCATTATAATTAAATAAAAAATCATCAAGGAATAATAAATATTCTAAAACACTATCGGTTAAAGCAAAAGATGTGGAATTAAAATACATTTTATTTTTTTAAATTTAATTCAATCAAATTGAAAAAATCAATGTAAAAGAAAAATATGCCCAAATAAAAAACATAATAAATAATGCATTATAATTAAGTGAAATAAATCATTAAGGTATAATAATTATAAAAAACACTAGCAGTAAAACTAAAAAATTCCCCGCAAAAACCGTTTTTAGCTAATTTAAATAAATTTTCATTATTATTATTTTGTTATTGGTCTCCTGCTTCTCACCTTTTTCATATCCGGTAATTTTTTTAGTCCCAGTCCGTTCATAACTAGTTTGGTTAGTTTATCTTTATTAATAATTCGACGATTGTACATTTGGTGATGAGCTTTATGATGATTTGAATGATTATGACCATGATTTGTTGATGATTTCTTTCGCTCAAAGGCGAGTTCTGCTGCTTCTGCTTCTTCTTCTGATTTGAGTATTTTTTTTTGGCTGTAGATTTTGCTATGACTTGATTGCTTATCGGCAAGACGAATAACGCTTCGTATGCTGCGTATTTGCTTTGGTGCTTGATTTAATAATTCGTGTGATTGATTTAATAATCGTTGTGTTTGACTTAGATTAATCAGACTGTATTCGTGCAAGAGCCGATTACTGAACGTTGAATAAAAATAGTTTTGCTCACTTTTGCTATTCATATTTAATTGATTTAAATTGGCTTTACCAACACTAGCTGTGTCACTTGTCATTTCTTGGCCGTTGCCTTGCGAAATCAGTGTTGAATTACATGTTAAAATTATGGATGATAATAATAACAAAATTATCCAAGATATTTGTGTTAATTTATATAGGAAATATGTGGAAAATGTTGTTGCATTTTTGCCTTTTTTTCCTAATTTATCGATATAACAACAATCGAATACAATCGGTCGCAAATAGAAATTTAAATTTTCATTTATTTGTTGGCTTTTTACAGCTATTCGAATGTGATCATTCCAGTTTGAGTTCCAGTGCCACTGCCAGTTCCAGTTCCAGTTCCAGATACTTTGGAATGTTGCTGCAAAATATTCATTGCGTATTTGCATTTTGATACCAACACATGGCCTCCTACTCCCCCTCCCCGTTCCCATCCCCCTCCCTCTACGTCTTCGCCGACGCCTTCGTCTTACTCCTCGCATCTGAGCGAGATGGCAATAAATCGATCACCGCTGCTTCTGCTGCTGCTTCTTATTTTTATTTTTTTGGGGTTCTCCCACACACACTGTTTTTTTGTTTAATTGGCCATCGAAGCTTTTACATACTTTTATTTACATTTACACAGCAGCAAAAATGTGTGTTGACATTTTTGTTGTTAACATATTTCAGGAAAAAAATACTGTTGACTATTTATTGAATTTGATTAATTTAAAGATCACAGTTGATTCCATGTATTATGTTGAAATTAACAATAACAATCGACCTACACACACACATTTCTTCTTGTGTGTGTGTTTATTTATTTACACGAAGCGACGGCAAGTTTCAATTTGTATTTCTATTTCACATTCGCATTCGCATGCGCACTCGCGTTCGTACTCGTGTTCATTCGGCGCTTCGTGTTCAACTGAAATGCCAAGCAGTAAGTGAATGCATAGCTTGCTCGACCAACAACAGCCACACTCAATACAGAGAGGGCAAAGGCAACAGCAGCAGCAGCATCGGCACAGGCAGACGCGGAGGCGGAAGGCAGCAGCAGCCGAGGCGTACTCAACTTAAACATTCACCCACACCCACACCCACACATATATATAAATTGCCTCAGCTGCGTGAGTTGTTAGCGACGCGCATTAAATATATTCTGTTACACGCATGTTAACAACACTTGCAATGGCACAATTTGTGCTTAATATTTAAAATGTTATTATTGACATTTAGTTAAATTATTATATACAAAAATAAATAACTGTGAATTTAATAGTTTACATATTGAATAAAATAAATGACTCATAGGAAAAATAAATCTGTGAGCCACATTTCAAGTGCTAAAAGTTTCTACTTTTACAAACTGCACTGTTTATTAAATTAAAAATGTATATGGCTTAATTATTCGTATATTAAAAAAATATGTATATATTGAAAAAAATTATTACTTATGGGAAAAATAAATCGATGAGCCACATTTCAACAGCAATAGCGTTTTTACTTTTATAAACGTCGTATATCTTTATAATTCATATATTAAAAATAAAAAAACTCCTAAGCAATCTACATGTCTCTGTAGAGTATTGTTTATGTTTTCTTATTAATTGATTAATTGATATAATTTAATAATTTATATGTATTCATAATTTATATATTGCAAAACTAAATAATTTCTGCACAGTTCTGTTGATGTGTGTTATTAATTGCATACCTTTCGTGTGTAAATTAAGGCATCTAAATTCAGAGTGTTGAAATCAAAAAGAAACACAACAAACAAACAACAAGACTTAACGTATACCTTAATTAAATACAACTGTTATTTGTGAACAGTATTTTTTAGGGCTGCGACGCCTTCACTCGTTCGTGACACGAGCAGGCGCGATCTACATATATGCTATTTATAGATAGCTTGTGTTTACGCACATGTGAGTGCATAAATCGTTGCATTCGTTTTAAAAGTCACGAGTGAAGCACGACCCACGCTCAACTCTAAATGCAAACAAACATATTAATGGGAATTTTTTGTGTACACGTGTGTGTGTGTGTGCGCGTACACTTCTGTTATGGGCATGTAATGTATTTTTTAAAGATAAATGTGAAATGCCAGTCAACGTTTCATTGATAAAAAGAAAAAATAGGCGTCTCGCAACGTAAACATTCTTTGTAAGCGATAATTAGTTGTACACTAAAATCAAATGGCTGGCTTTTTACATGGAGAGCCGCTGCTTATGTAAACAAACACACACATACACTCAAGATAAGCAACAGCAATCACACAACACACACACAAGCAGTGTTTTTGTTTGTATTTGTGTAAACGTCAGCGGGAATTCTTGAATATTTCATGTGATTCATTTGAAATTTCGGCAGAGGGTTTTAACGTTGAGCAAGCAGAATCAAAGCTTTATCTCTAAATTTATATTCAATTGATGGGCATCGCAATTTGTTATTATGGGTTTTCACAGATTAAATGTATATTTTATATGGCGATTGTTTTTTTCTGCTGTTGCTGCAACTTTAATAGATTTAAATTTCGAGCGAATTTTAATGCTAGCAGTGCTAAGCGCTTTGAGCTTGGTTTGCCTAAGCGCCGCAGTGTGGCGCTTTTAAGCTTCAAGGTGCGCATAACAGCCGCTTGGCATTTCAGTGTAATCGATCGTTGAAGTTGTGCTTAAACTTAAATGCGTTTAAAAGGGAATTCGACTAGCTAAACAATCTGTAGAAAATTTAAATATAAAATAATTAAAATAAATGTTAAAGAACTTAATGGACTTTATTAAAAATAGTACAGTTAATACATAATTATATTCACTTAGAAATATGCTGTTGTTGTTATGTTAATATATATATTATTGTATATACATAAGTACATACTACTGTCTCTAAATATAGCTTAATATATTTATGTATTTTTCTTTGTTTTGTTTTCTTTTATTGATTCATAAATTGTTAATGTATATTTATATCTACAGTAGTCGTCAAAATTATAGGTACAGCAAGCATACAAATATATCTGTAAATATCTGCTTATAAAAAATCAAATAAAATTAAAAGCAATTTAATAATTGTCTTTAGGTTTTTTTCTTTTATCGAGTTAATTTTCATTTTTGAGTACAATTTTAAACACCTAAATGCTAATTTAACGTGTATTCCAATCGTAAGGCTATTCAGACATATTTTAACTACTTTTATTCGAGCATACAAGCTAAAAATCAATTAAAAACTAGAGAATATAAATCATATATTTTAATATTATTATTTTTTTGTGAAGCATATCATTAATAATTATTAAATGTTTGTGAGAGTTATTCGATGATAAACAAAATTGATACGAATCCTTAATACAATATATATCACATGTTCTAAAGAACTTTGCTCAATTTTGAGCCGAATGAAAGGGGCAGAATAATGCGAACTCTTTTAAAAAAATTTGGTAAATATTAAATGCACATTAAATGAATTTTGTTTGAAAAGAAACTCGGTTATGAATAATTGTTCTTATTTTTTGCTGACATTCTTAAATGTTTATATGGAATTAATTTCGATAAAGCACCTGCTCTAAATGCTTTTTAAAAGTATATTTGTGATATACTCCTTAATTGGAAGTATCGTATATATATATATATATATATATAACTTAGCCTAGGCCTTAAAATGTTATAATTATAAATGCAATATATGTTTTGCCTGTAACAAATGTGTTTTTTTTTGTTTAGCAAACTTTTCCATTTGAGAGTTTCTATACAATTCAGTCATAGATATCTGGATATATATATATATATATATATATATAGATACACACATATATATATATATATATACAAATCGATGTTTTTTTTGTTTAGCGTAATTAAAATAACCAATATGATTACTAAACGCTGGCGTATCGGAATAAGTATGTTGATTTTAATTGGTTACTTTTTTGAATATTCCTTTTTTAAGTCACATTCAGAGTGCATTATTAAATACTAAATAAACGAAATCATTTTTAAATACTGCTGCAATACTGAAGCTGAACTCTAAATTGGAATTTAAAATGGGATTTGTATTAAATTAACTGCGTGATGGTTTCAATCTCGAATTGGCACTCAATAGCATAGTTTGATGTGTGAATGCATTCAATTTAGAGTAACTCTGAAGTGAATTTAAGTTGGAATTGGAGTTCGAGTTGATGGTGGTCAGTTTATCGGTTGTGTTATGTTGAATCACATTTGGAGCAGTTGATTCTTGTCGTCAGCAGTTTGAGGTATCCTCTCCATCGAGGGTGCATGCCACACTCTCTAACTTGCTCGACAAATGCATCTTTTTGCAATTCGGATCCGCATCGAGGGCGTCCATTATCTAAAAGTGAATAATTGAATATTAAGTGAGCTATTTGATAAGTATGAGTATGAGTATTAAATGGATGCGCTCACCTGCTCCTTATACTTGGTTATATAAATGTAGAGTTCCTTGAGTGCTGAGATTGTGTCGAATTCATCGATTTGTTGAACGGACAACTGTTGCATGGCGGTGCTCATTTCCTGGTCACTGATTTGGGGTAGACGGGCGACGTCCCTATAAAATTCCTTGACCATTGTACGATAATTAGGAATATCCTGTACAAATTACAAATGTATTAGATATGTGTAAACAAGTAAATAATAAAAATAAAATATAGAGATATATTTAAATAAATATATATATATAAATGTACTCTTAATTAGTATTAAAATATAATTAAATAATTATAAATATACTAGATATTTACAAATAAATAAATATTATTAAATAAATATGTATATATACACAAATAAATAAATTATTACTAATTAATTAATGATTAACCTTAGCAAATAGCAGCTTATTCGAGGGCGAATCCTTGCCCAGACGATGCTCCGTCGTCGAGCAGGCATCCATAAAAGTCTGGGCAATGACACTGAGACAAGAATCCACTGAATACGTCTTGTTCACATCGAATATAAAATCTGGATTCTTGATGAAGTTGACCCAGAAGCGCAGGGGTAAACTATTCGATTTCCAGGCGTGCAATATATCCGAATCGGCTATATCATAACGCCGAGCAGCCTCGTCGAGCAGATCAAATAGCCATTTAACTGCTGGGGGCAATTCCTCGTTCACCGTCAGGATTATGGAGAAGAAATCATCGACAAACTTCTGAATAGTGCCTTTGGTTGCCAGCAGGCGGGTTAAATAAACTTCGGGAATGGTTTTGTTCACTCGCTCGATGCCATTGCCCATGCAATGAGAGCCCCCCCCTTGGGAAGTGGCCAACACATGGCCCGACATCGCAGAGTTCTTGATATTCATATAGTGGTCGGGCATAGTCGGCTTGACCAGGTGATAGAGGCGTGGCTGCTGCAGTCCCGACTCAATATCATTATTGATTATAATATGACTTTGCGAGTTGGTTATATAATAGACTGCAACGAAGAGGAGAACAGATTGACATATTATAGATAATATAAAGAAGAGGAAAAAAAAAAAATTAATTATCAATAATAATAAAAATAATAAATAAATAATAAATCAATATTATTATTAGAATTATTAGATGATTCATATAAGACTATTACTAATTAGTCTACTAATAATACTATATTAAAAATGTGTAGAAGAAAATCAATAATTTAATGAAAAATAATACATATATTTTGAAAATAAATATAACATAATAATATTATAATTATAATTATTAACGATACAAATACGTATACAGAGTAATAATAATAATACGTTTTAAAAAATAATAATAATAAATAACAACAATCATTATTAGAATTATTATATTACTCTACAAATTAGATATTAAGCTATCATAATCATATCATATATCATAATTTAATTGCAAGTAATAAGCAACTATTCAAAATGTTGTATTAAATATAAAAGTTTACTGTAATTAATTATTCTAATTATAAAATTATGAAATAACTTTGTGAGTTAAGTATAAGAATATTAATAATAATATTTAAAAAATAATATTAAACTGTTTTGTAAATAATTATCCTAATTCTAATTAGAATTATTAATATTTAAACCCACTAATAAAGTATTCTGTAATCAATTATTCTAATTATAATTATAATTATTAAATAACTAAGACATTAAAATATATTAAAAAATGAGCATAAAGTAATAAGTCTATTTGAATAACTAAGTAACGATTACATTAAAAACAAGGATTTAGCACCTTATGAGAGTAATTATGAGTAATTAACAAAGTTAATTACTCAATTGAAATACTTACAATTATGATAAGGCGCCTGCTGCTTGCCATATGGCATATTGTAGCTATCGTTTTGTCTGGCAATCAGGGACATGACCGCCGATTCCTTGACCCCATAGTGGGAGAGAGTATTCAATCGTTTCCAGCCGTTGATGGTCTTGGTGGTCAGATCCTCGTCCTGCAGCGTTAAGTGTCCACCGCGACCGTGTCGCCACTCCAGGTCCACCTCATGGACAGCGGGACGCATCGAGAAGGGTGTATTCTTAAAGATCGCATCGAGTATTTTGAGTTTGACTTGGGAAATGGTGTCCCAATCGTTGACGCGACACTGCACCTTCTCATCGAGATCGTCCTGTAGGATGTGCAGGATGACAATCGCATGGGAGACCTGCTCGTGCAGCAAACGCTCTTCGGAGAGCGAGTAGCGAGCATCGTGCGTAATCGAATCGACCAAACCCTTCTCCACCTGGTGCTTGATCGCCTTGAAAAGCAGAAAGAGACTGGAGCCGGCATATTCCTTGAGATAATCATACATACAAATGGCCAAATAGTTGGTCAGCATCTTCTCCACAACGCTCTCCGTGCGTCTCAGCATCAGCTGCGGATGCTTGCTGGCCAGCGACTTGTCAATGAGTCGCAGCAGCAGAGACTTTAATATTTCGGTGGCATACTCCATTTTGTGCATCAGCACAATCATCAGCAGTGAAGCGACATTGACACGATCCCGAATGGAGAAGGAGGCACGCTGCGACTCCAGCGTTTCGATGAAAGTGAGCAGAAAGTATTTATTGCTTATGAGCTGCTCAAACTGCATCATAGCTGCATCGTAATTGTTATGCTGATTGAGGCCAGCCCGCATTTTTGGCGAGTTTAGGATGGGATGATCGGAGACGCCGGGAAAGAAGACCTTCATGATGTAATTGACATGATCCAGTGTAGGTATGCCGCTGCTCTCGAGGTCCGCCGTCAGATCGGTCATGTCCGTCTGCAGCTCGGCAAAGGCTTGTTTGCACTCGGAGCGCACATTGCTCTCCAAGGTGATCATTTGGATCTGTATCCGTTTATATTCCCGTTCGGCCTGCGTCGACCGCCGCCGGAAGATGATTAAAATGATGACGAGTATTATAATCAAAGCGACGACTGTTAAAATGATGCCCAGCATTGCATGCGAAATAGCATACGGTTTATTCAAATCGTATCGCAGATGACCGATGACAAATCGCAAATTGCGACCGACTTTGACGACGACCAGGGGCAAATCCTTGGCTTGCTCGACACCATTCTCATCCGTCGCCGCAGGCTGCTGTTCCGGCGGCATGCAGAGCAGCTGCGTCAGGGCCAAGCTGGTTATATTGCACTGTGCGGTGCCAATGGTGACATTTACATCATACTCATCGGCAGCTAGATTCAAGAGTTCCCCCTCGATAACCAAAGTGTCGCCCTTGTAAAGTTTAACGCCATCCTCGCTGGGAAACGGCAGATAACGCGGATCGGTCAGATAAACAATTGTGCTGCGTATATCATGAAAGTATTTGTTCAAATCACGCACCAATTGCACATTATCCATGACAAAACTAAGCTGCAGATTAAGTTGATCGTGCATCTTGACAAACGCTGCCACGTCCATTTTGTGTGCCGCAAAATAACTGGAGGCAGTCGAGCCAGCCGTGGCATAAATATTGAAATTGTCGCTCAGATAAGTCTGCCGCTTCTTTTTACTGCTCTCCAATTTATCGGGCAAACCCAAACCGAGTTTCCACAGCTCAAACCTATTGTTGATGGGCGGCGAAGGACACTCCATTTGGCTGGAATTGATGACAGTGCAGGAAGTCTTGTTCACACGCTCATTGTCGAAGAACACCTCCAGCTCCGGATTCTGAATTGAGTCCAGATACATGCCGTGTACGGTTAGGATGCGTCCACCACTGACAAAACTGCGCAAGGGTTTGATTTGCATGATGCGCGGATCCTGCGTGTAATCAAAGATAGAGCAGGGCGACGGAGGCGTGGGCAAATTGTAGGCATAAGAACCGTAATTGGTGCGCAGCAGCGAGTGCTGTGGAGTCGCCGCCAATTGTTGCTGCTGGCAGGTGTATGTCCGATTGGCGCCATCCACAACGAGACGCAACGAGCGTATCGGTTCCGGTTGCGTTGCTTCCGAAGTGGTACAGGAGAGACGCGAAGACGAGGCCTGGGTGACATTGATATGGCACTCGTACTCATCCAGAAAAGCTCGAATGCTCGAACCTATGTTCAGGTACTTGCCCAGCAGCGATAGCTGGGTGCCGCCCGATTTGGGTCCCACTGTCGGATAGAGACCCGTTAGCTGCAAATCCTTGAAGTGGAATTGTACGCTGGACTCCGTGTAGCCAGCATCGTTGGCCACCTTAATCGGTGCGGACATTTCGCGCAGTGCGGCGCCAGTGCGGCATTCGATCTTGACGGAAATTTGATAATTAACCAACTCGCAGGGCACGCTGCCAATGGAGATCTTTCCACGCACATCCTCTTCGCGTATGCCTAGATTGCTGCCCTCAATCGTCACCAATGTGCCGCCCTCGATGGGACCCGACAACGGCTTGATGATGTCTATTCGCGGCCGCGGACACTCGTTCTGCAACTGCACATGGTTGTGCTGTGAATAGATGTGGGTACAATATAATTACTCAATTCAATAGTGTATTTCATTGATAAAGACAGAGTTTTTATCGATTTACTCTAACTGCTGTATATATAGATAAAATTAAATAAATAAATATATGAATATAATATAATTATATTAACTTGAATGAATAAGAATGAATATAATGTATAATCTTAATTCAATAATATATTCGGTTGATTAAGAGTGCTTTTATCGAGTTACACTAATTGGTGTCAATATGGATATATTTAAATAAATTAATATATATACTTTATATTTATAAATAACTAAAGGAAGACAGAGGCGACAACGGAGCTGGGCACAAGCACCAGGACTTCGACAAGCCAGATGTCTTTTGGATGGTTATAATCTTAAGCGATTTGAGCAAGTAATAACCATGGGAAAAAGCAGGATACTCACCGGTCTACTGACAGGGCATTGTAGACTAACAAGTCACCTAACTGAACTAGGCATCTATAGCAGCGAAATATGCATGGTTTTGTAAAAGCGAGGAAGAATCCTCAATGCACATCCTAGCAGAAAAGAAGATGCAGCATCCTAGGGATACATATTGAGTTTCAAAGACATCGAAGCGCTCAACCCAACAAAGATTCTCGCATTCGTGAGGGAGATGGGGTTGATGGTGGAACTATTGCCTCGGAAGGGGCACAATACATCAAGTAGACGGACGACGGATTTGGTGATTTTGGGCTCAGATGTGGGCGTGGCTATAAAATCGATTCTTAAGGGCGGCTACCAGTAATATAACTACAAAATTTGACGGCTCTAACTCAAAAACTACGCATGATATAGCCATACAAAATATTTTGGGGCGGAGGGGGTTAGAGTGCCATATGCCAAAGAAGATGAAGTTCTGTAGAAAACTATGTATTTGAAATAGCAATATAAAAATATCTATTAAAGATTAATAAATCTTGTGTACTGTGAGGGAAACTAACCGAATCGAATCCATGACTAGTTGGTGAGTCGGCGGCACAGGTCTCGTTGTAGACACAAGAGCTGCTGCACCAGGCGCACTGATATTTGGGATCCCTGGTGACGCAGAGACTGCAATCGGCGTGCTCCCGATGTGAGCCGAGCACATCGCACTTGTACAAGATAACGGTGGCTGTATCGACATAATGCTGCCGATTCCAGGTGATGTCCACCTTGGCCTCATACTCATGGGTGTTCGTCTCATAGAAATAGGGTGTCTTCTCGCAGACAACGATGCGATTCGATTCGATGTGGGCGGGCAGAAGCATCTGAGCGGCCTCAATTTGAATGGTGCACAAATAGCCGGCATGGGCACTCTTTGGCTTGGGCAGGTTCTCAATCTCCAGGCGGATCTCTTTGGGCACGCGAACCGGCAACAGGATGGGTGAGAGATTCCTCTTCAAATGCGGACATTGCGTGTCTGTGGCAATGGCGCTCTCCATGTTCCTGCACTGCTCGGAGCGATGCACGCATTTGTTGTCAAAGATGCACCAGTTGCAGTTCCAGGAGCTCCGCACACACGACTGACAATTGCCGTGATGCGAACAGTCGAAGAAGGCAAAGGAACGCGACACAAAATCCTTATTTGTCTCCGAAGATCTAACAGCCAACGGCACCAAAACATGATCCATGTTGCTGGCTATCTGCGGACGCTCCTCAATTGGTGGCGTGCCACAGGCCAAGCCCTGTTGCAAGATCTCTGCGTCGATTGGCGTCGAGTTACCAAACACACAACGATATTTTGCATTAAACGGCTCCGGCAAAGTGCGTATAACCAGTCTGACCTGCGTCAGCTCCGTGATGGGTATTTTGTCCGGTTCGATGGACACGAAATCGATGCACTGTTGTCCCGAGCCCAAGGATAGCCAGCGTGAGGCAGAAGTGTCCCGTTGACAAGTGGAGCGCACCGTGCAACGTTTCTCCAACGAACACCAGCCACAGAATGGATCTCTCGACTCCAAGCAGGCCGTGCAATTCGCATAAACCGAGCAATGTTCGATGCGTAATTTGGTTATTTTACGCAAGGATATGACGTAGAGGAAATCCTTTCTCGGTGACATCATCGTATTGGGCAATATACGACTACCAGCATCGACGACAATTTCCTCATATTCGCCGGGTTTTTGACCTGAGAGGAGTACTTTCTTAATGGCACCCTGCTCGGTGCCCAGAAAGGCCAACGAATGTTGTTGATCGGTTGTTGTTGTTGCCGTCACCGATGTCACAGATACATTATCGAAATGGAATAAGGCATGGGCCAAAATCGGCGCAACTCCACTGATCTTTAGCCCCACATTGCAAAAGTTATAGATATTCCCCAATGAACCCACAATTGGGCAGCGTCCGTCGTTTATCGTCCCGGATATATAGCCAAGATTGCGATCTTTAATGGTGCCATTGAAACACATGTGTATATTTTCGATAAATGTATCTTCGATATCTTTCAGGCTATATATACACATCGCCGATTTATTCTCCGGCTGATCACTAATCTCCTTGGAGGGGGAGAAGACGGTGACGAGGACATGATCATCCCGCTTGATGCCCATTTGATGGGCCAACTTTTGGCTGGCGTGCGTTATTTTTGCGTCCCTTAGGATATTATAATCGATATGTTCATCGGTCGCAGTGCAAGTGATCGTTATTTCCGTATAGCTATCATAATTGGGATCCGTTATGCAAATACGTGCCAATCTTGTCACATAGCCGGCCTCCTCAGCCAAATGTGATTTCTTTTGTACGAGCACAAAATATGCATATTCCGATGAATTGAATCCATAAACATAATCCACCAGGAAATGATCTCGATACTTAACATCAATATTGATAATCGATTGTTGTATCGAGAACTCGGCGTAGTTTAAATCATCCAAACGTCGCGAGGATATTGCCGGAACATCGTGTCGATAATCGCCGACATTTGTAAACGTGGTGCCCACATAGAGTATATCCTCCTCCTTCCACGAATATCGGGCAGGACCCACAAACGCATAGGTTGACGCATATTCATCGTTGGCAGCCAGCGGAACTGCCACAAATTGCGGCGAGGCAGGAAAACGCTGCAAATTGTAAATTTCACAGGCACCTACAAAAAAATAAAGATATTAAATAATATATATATAAATATATATATATTTATAATATTAATATATAGCTACGATCAATATTTAATATTTATTTCATTTGTATATAAAATATTTAAAACTGAACGAGCTATTGAGAAAAATTATTATTTGATTTTAGTTGGCATTAAATAAATATAGCTAAGCCATTTTTTGCTAATCCAATACTATTATAATTATAAGTTTAAATAATAATTTAAATAAGCATTTATAAATACTACATTTAAACTCATTTTGTTGTTACTATTTTTGTCATTATGCATTTAAATACGCCCAGAAATCGTATAATACCTGTTTTTTAATTGAAATTTAATTTAATTGTATTTGTTGTTTAATCTGAACTATTTTATACTTTTTGACTTTAGTTGACACAAAAAATAAATAAGTAATTCAATAAATGGCTAAATAAATAAATGAGTACATAAATTGATAAATACAATAAACAGTAAATAAATAAAAAAAAGTAATAAATTAATAAGTAAAGTAAATAAATAATTAATTAATAACAACTATGCCATTCATATATATTTTTGTATTGATCCCAGCTGTATATAAATCTATACATACATTTAGATATAGAAATAGACCTATAAACGGATTCGTACCTTGTCGTATGCTGCCGCAAGATATGAGAATGCCTTCGTTGTTGGCATAGCTCACCACAAGTATTTTATTATAGTTATTGACAAGCGAGGTCTCCACATCTTCCGGACAACCCCCGGCATGGCACTGAGGTGCATCATGTTTGGGGCCCGTTACTGCCTCCTCGAGGACTCTCAGATTCTCGTTGAGTTTGAGGATTTTATTTGTGGCGCCGGCAAAAAGCACATTATGCGTAAAATCAAATGTTAAATGTGTGAAATAATTTTTCACTTGTGCTGAGGATGAACCAGATCCAGTTCCAGCTCCAGCTCCAGCTCCATTTGTACGATTTCCCAAATTAGCCACAGTTGAGGTGGAGGAGAAAGACGCAGCAGAAGACTGCTGAAAGTTGCCACTCAAAATTGGTGGCAATATAAATTGAGCAACAATATCGCCGGATGTAAATTGTTTTGTTTCCAATTCCGGTGAAGATTTTATTCTGGCTCCATGTGAAATATTAATTGCATTAAATAATAATGCATAGCTAATAATAATAACAATAGAGGCGGCGCCATTTTGTTGTTGTTTTTGTTGCAACACCATTCTAAAATTGTGTGTGTTTTTCTTTCTCTCAGTGTATGTTTTTTATTTTTCTTTCTCTTCTCTTTTTTCATAGGGAGTTTGCAGGCGGAGTGCGTTGTGCAATTTGAACAGCCAGCGATTTATCAATGCTCTTTTTTTATCAATCACATTCTGTGTTTAACTTCATTCTCGTGTTTCACATGCTGAATTGCGTTTGTTTTAACTTAATTATTGTACGAACCAAAAAAAAAAGAAAGAATTCTGGCTTAAACACGAACGCACACACGCATACACACGCGCAAACACATATGCAACTATAGTTGGTGGAAAAAAGTGTATACTTTCATAATAGTGCCTATCGAAATATCGATAATACCATAAGCGATTAACACACTCCAGGTATGTAGTGCACATTAACAGGCGCATAAGCAGTACCGTTTGAGTAAATTGGTCAGGCTACTTTGTGTACATTTGCTATTTGCGTTAGTACGCAGCTTGGGCGCGTTAACAGTGCGGATTGAGCAGGTAGCCAGACATGCGAAACATTTAGCAAGCTGGTATGACATTTCAATTAAGTAAAATACATTTGAATTGGGTTTGTTAAACCTTTTCGTTGCAGACTTTATGTAAGGAAAATGCTTGGTTTTCTGCATTTAACATATATTAAATATTCATTATAATTAATTCATAAATGTATTTAATTTGTTTATAATTGCGCTGATCAAGAGCATATTAAAAGGAGGATAAACAGTGCTCCTTGAGCATTAACAGTGACGATTGAGCAAGTGGCCAGACTGTTTTTCTATAGGAGGCGAAGTATTTAAAAATATGGAGTGGCTTTATTTGCTGCATTTACCAGATATTAAATATTCATTATGAATTTGTGTAGAATACAAAAGGCAATTAGTTAATTTATTTATTATTGCGTAGCTCCGAACAACTTGAGCATTACCAGTGCAGTTTGCGCATAGTTGATAGACAGTTCCCAGAATTTAAATACTGCTCATCGAGAATAAACTTGACAACATATTAAGTATATATTAACCATACAAAATGTAAATATTTAATTTATTTGACCGATGCTATTAAATAATCATTTAAAATTGGGAAGACACATCATATTAATATATAATTAATATGAACCTTAGTATTTAGATTATAGTATTAAAAGCTAAAACTTAAATAAGAAATGCAACTTGGTGTTTATGGCTTAATAATTTAACTAGCAAAGAATGTTGTGTGTATGTTGTGTGTTTTTGGGTGTGTGTATGTGTATTTGGGAGTATGTATGTATTTGGATGTGTGTGTATATTTGGATGTGTGTGTGTATTTGGGTGTGTGAACTGTGTGAGCTGAACTGAAACTAAATAAGTACATTTTTATATTTATGCTCTAAAAGTTAGTTTTGGTTTTCAAATTCTCAAATCAAATTCTAATCTCCAAAACCTTAAATTTATTAGGTATTTAAAAATTAAATTGAGGATAGGTCTTTTAACGAGATACGTAAGTATGCGTATTTTAAGTAAATTAGTAGTAGTAACTAGTATCGATGACATTATCGATATTGTATTACTGCATCATTTGCAAGTATCGATTCTCTTCGAGCAGCGAGTTTAATGAAGTTGTCATATCATTGATAATCATATTGCCACCCGGATGCGGATGTGGATGCGTTGAGCTGCTCACATCCGGCCAAATGTGATTGTTTTGTACAGCTGCTGCTGCTACTGTTGCTGTTCTATTGGCAGCCATTTGCACATGAACTGACAGACTGATATTGCTGCTGTCATTGTTGCTGTTACTCTCCATCCAATTTTGACAACTCTGCACATATTCCAGCGTGCGCTGATATGTATCCGATTGCATAGATGTCTGTTGTTGTTGCTGTTGTTGTAACTGCTGTTGTTGTAATTGCTGTTGTTGGTGCTGCTGTTGTTGCTGCTGCTGCCCTTGCGCATTCTGGCCGTTAGCTGGCGCTGCAGTGGGCGAAAGCTGTGATTGGCTGACGACGCCACATTGAATTTCTGCTGCTGCACAGCTAAGCTGCTCACTTTGGTTCATTTTGGGCAGCGTCGGAACCAGTTCCGGCAAACTAGTCATTGACGAATCAATGAGCTGATTTTGTTGCGAATTTTGTGGATTTTCGGCGAGTTGATAATTATTTTGATTGTAGAGATTTGTGGGCTGATAGCGATGACTTTGGTGGTTCGCTTCTAGTTCATAGTTCCGTTGCGAGTATGGGCTGCCCAGGGCTGACATAGTGTGAGCCGATTGTGGCGATAACAGTTCCAGGCTGGGACTTGCCAGTGGTGCCGGCAATTTGGAAAGATTTGCATTTGTTGTAAATGTTTTAGTGGAACTTGATTTTACGTTTTGCAACTCCTGTTTGCCAGTCCTGGCTTTGGGCTTTTCCGTTTCCTTGACCAGATTTAAATATTGCAGCATTTCATCGGGCAAAATTAATTCCTCAACTTCGTCTAAATTAACAACTTGCTCATTGGGATGATTTAAATTTGCAGTTGGAATTGCCATTGGAACTGGTACTGGTGCTGGAACAGGCACTGACACTGGAACTATTGTTGTTGTTGTTGTCGAACTGCTGCGATTGCGTTGCATTTGAAACTGATTCCGGCAGGCGATTGGTTCCGATTGGCGTCGAAATTGTTCCAGTTCGTTTGGCGAATTGTGATAATAATTGGCTGGAAATTGCAGCATTCCACTGGAAGAGCGAGCAGCACCAGGCGGCTGTTGTTGATTCAAGCGCTGCAAGTGACTGGCTATGAGGTGGGAGGAGGGCGGCGGCGGCAGACTCAAATTGCCCATGGCAAAATCACTTCCCATGGAATTTCCAGGCCTCATTCCAGACGTGACGCCAAGCCCATTTCCAGGCCTAATTCCAGGCACTATTTCAAGAGCATTTCCAATGACACTTCCCGTTGCATTTCTTGTCCCATTTCCAATACGATTTGCCGTAAAAGTAAAGCCGGAATTGGAATTGAAATTGGAAATTGAATTTAAATTTATACCATTTCCAGTTGTTGCTTGAACATTGGAGAGCTGGCTTGAACGCCGGGAACAGCCCGGCGAAATGGGATCATAGAGTGATGGCGTCGCTACGGCCGTATTATAAACCATACCCGGTCTCATCGTGGAAATCGAGGAGAGCTGCGAGCACTGACTACTCCTGCGACTCGGCATGCTGCAGTAATAGGTGCTCGCATTGGAATTTTGACTATCGCGCCGCACTTGCGAATCAGCCGTAGTTGTGCCCGGCTCCATTTTGAGTTCCGTAATGCGCTGGTTCAGTTCGATGATGCCAATGGCGCGATTAGTTTCGGGTATATTCGATAGCAACGAATTGCTTTTTGTTTGGAGGCGACTCCGAAAAGGCTGGCGGCAAATTGTGGCAGCAACTGCTGCCGTTGCCGTTGCAGCAACTGTAGCTGTTGCCGTGGCTGGGGCAATAGCTGCTGCTGTTGTTGTTGTTGCAACACTTGCTGTTGTAGCTGCTGCAGCTGGTGCTGCTGCATGACCATGCCCATTAACCATTGCCCTCAAAACTGTTGGCAAATCGGCGGCATCAACATCAACATCA